TCTGAACCTTGATAAACTCCTATCTCAAGAGATCATACTCTGAAATATATCAATAATATGTATTTTGCCGTTCTAGCGCACCTTTTCGACCACCTTCAATTTTTACACAATTTAAGCCATTTTAAGGCGTATTATCATTGTTTTTGTGTCTTATCTCTTCAAAAATGTGTCATTTTCAACAATTTTCAAAAATGGGCAAATGGTCAAAAAGTGAGTTATAAAAAAAATATGGTCGAAATGGTCGAAATATTGCGCTAGAACGGTAAATAAAAAAAAAATGCTAAATAAATGATCTTTACAGAAAATCTTAAACCTCACGGCGTTCTTTTGACGACGCCCCTCCCACAATTTCCGTAATATTTGACGTCTTTGGTGCATACACAGAACGACGCTAACTCGCATACTTATTAAATTCGAAAATAATTTTTTTCCTCGGAAAATAGCGTTTTTTCAAAACTATAGACGTGAAAAAAATCGATCTTTTCACAATTCCTTTTCTAGTTGACAAAAAAACATTTGGGTGAAAGTTTTTCTTATTTTCTGAACACTTTTATTCCTTTTCACCCTCAAAATTAGTTAAAGCCCTTTTTTCAGTAAAAAACGTGGAATTTTGTGCCAAAAATGACTTATTGTGGTTCTATGTGTCTTTCCCCACTTATTGAAAATAAAAAAAAATTTTCTTTACAGATTTAGTTTAATTCATCCACCTAGTGGTATTTTTTCTCCTCTGCAACATCGCCATACCATTCTGATGTTGCGAAAATGAAGAGATTGATTGATTCGAATGAAAAATTAATTTGACACTGAAAATGTTGCTGAAAGGCTTTTTTTTGCTTTAAAGGAGAAATTTTGTCAATCCCAGCAGTTAATATTGGAAATTGAAAAAAAATTCCTTCGCATTTTGCTGTCGCAATAAAAAATAATTACCGTAAATCAGAACAAAACAGATAAAGATACAACTTAAATAAACATGAAAAATCACCTGAAGCACTTGAGCAACAAAAAATTCAAATGTTCGCGCGCAAGCTGTCTACCGTAAATCTAGGTGGAGCAACTTTTCGAAGCCACTCCGCATTTTCAAAATTTTTACATTTTCTTCCACTACGCAGAACGCCGTGATCTCTGACAAATTATGATCTTGAAGAACTTGTAAAATTATTAAAGATAAGAAACTTTAGAGGAATAAGGAATTAAAGAAACAGAAGTAGGTATTGTAAACTTAGATTCTTCTAGTGGTAAAGGTACTCATTGGGTTTGTTATTCTAAAAATAAAGGAAAGATTTATTACTTTGATTCCTTCGAACTTGATCCTCCTTTACAACTTCAAGAATATATCAAGAGTAGAAATAAAAAAGATAAAATAGAGCTTTCAACATTCAAAGTTCAAGATTTTGGAACACATCATTGTGGTTATTATTGTTTACTACTTTTAAAATTATTAGAAAAATATGGTTTTCAAAGTAGTGTTTTATCTCAATTTTTATAACCATATGCCAGAGTCTCAAAAGAATCTGGAAAAGAAAGCAAGAAGGCCGGCTTGGAAATCAACTTCGCGAAAACGTTCATAATGGCTAATCGAGCCAAGAGAAATGTCGAGATCGATGGAAAAAGAATCGCCTACACGGATGGGTTCATCTACCTCGGTACCCATCTCCACTTCGCTGATGGCTCGAAAACCGAAATCCAACGCCGAATTCGTTCTGCATGGAGCGTCTTCCACAAGTTCAAAACATACTTAAAGGCATAGGGGCAATAAAAAACGGGGTTTCAGGTGAAAGCAGTATCTTATATAGTTTTTCTTTGCGAATCGAATGGTGTACTCAAAAAATTACAGATATGACCACTTTTGAAGAAAAACGCGATTTTACTTTCCCGCCTTTAATTTTGAAAAATGCTTTGGATCGGTATGCAGACAACTGTTTACAGTAGCCGTGCACGCGATGTTGCGGACGTCTCATTAGACTCGCATTTTGTGAGGAATAACCGGATATCTGCTTCAAATTAAGGGTTTCTTCACTGAAAAATTGATTAAGAAAACAGAAAACACACCTCGATAATAAAGAAAACACAAAAAATCGCAATTCCAATCGAAACCTGTGTAAAATCATCATTATTCCCCAGAGAAGCATTTTGCGAACATAGTTTGCAAATTTCTTATAAATAGAAACTTTTAAAGACGAGAAGAACTTTGGTGACAGCAGAAAAAATTGAAAATTGAAAGAAACGAAGAAAAAAGCGAAAATCCGGAAGATGGCGAAGCCTGTTGTCCATAGAGCAACTTTACTGCAAAGCGCCCTTTCTGCGGAAACTCAAACTTTCCTCTCTCCGACTTTGAATTATTTTTTATCTAAAACTAGGAAGTTCTGTGCATTTCCAAGTTCACCGTTCGATTCGCAATGAAAAGCTCTACAAAGTACTGCTTCGAACTGAAACACCGTTTTTACTGCCCCTATGCCTTCAAATGTTAAATGTTACTTCGAATACAACATTGTTTCTTTCTAACAATACTCTTATTGAAAAGACTTTCTCGAAAATCTTCAACTTTTAACTTCTTGACAACATTTTTCTTTATTCCTTCACTCTTTTTAAATTCATCTCCAGGTTTTGGAACTTTTGGAAGTGTGACCTTCTTTTCTCTTCCTCGCTGTGACCGAGCTCAATCACACATTTGCCCCAAATGAACTAGACACACGCGACGCAACACGCAAACGCGTTGGGCTAGAGTGGAAGGCAGAGACGCGTGACCAGAGACGCAGAGGAAAGCGAGAGACAGCCAGCATCGCATTCTTCCATATAGCTGATTCACGGCAAGCTTGGGACGCTAAGGGGGCGTGGTCTGTCTGCGCTCTCCACGAGCCAGGCACTATCTCGTGCATTATCGTGTCAGGGCCCTTTTTTGGATAGCTCAAGCCAGTCGTGAATCAGCTATAAACCTTTGTGAATAGAAAAGAGACTTGCTTTTCTTCCGTTGTTTGCATTGATTTTGTGATTTCGGGTATATGTCAAAAGAGCTGCGAAAATCGAGCCTCCTCACTGTTTGAGATAAAACTGCCAGCGAAAAATGGGCTGCCGAAGAAATTGCTAAGGAAAAAACAGCTGAGAGAAACGAGCTGCGAAAATTTTGCCCCTCGTTGGCAGGTTAACACGCTGTCTCTGTAATTTTCGAAATTTTTTCAAAAACAGCGGGTACAGAAATAAAAAATATATTTTTTGATTCCAATGAAATTTCAACCAGTGTTATCATATGACGTCAGGATTGCGGACACGATTTTTTGAGCCATTTCCTCTTACTGTAGCCGGGTTACGGTAGCCAGGTTGCCAAGTTGTGCGCGTACAAGACATTCCATGGAAGTAATTACGATGCGTTTCTATGCCCAGGGTGACCAAAAAATCGACTTTCCAAGAACAAAAAGTATCGTATCTCAAGAATTTCTACACTAACCCAAGATGGTATGTACTGAAAAAGTTCCTAAAATTGCATTAATTATCGATTGATATACAACTTTCCTAGAGAAAACTCGTCAATTCTTAGATACGCAGGTGACCACCCTTCTACCGTAACCCGGTTACGGTTGGAGGAAATGGCTCAAAAAAATCGTGTCCACAATCCTGACGTCATATGATAACACTGGTTAAAAATTTCATTGGAATCAAAAAATATTTTTTTTTGTACCCGTTGATTTTGAGAATTACAGAGACTGCGTGTTAATCGCGCGACTGTGCGCTCCACCGACAGCAGTAACAAAAGTTTTTTAAAAAGTCGTTCATTTCGACGCTTTATTATCTTGAAATCAAGTTTTTTTTTCTTGTTTCATGTGTAATGGTTTCAAATAACATTGTGTAATCAATAAGAGTATTCTAAAACGTCAGAAAAAAAAAACAAGACAAACATGCAGAAGTTAGAAAAATGATAGCGAAGATACATAATATTTCCCAGATTTTTGCGTTGAATGATCAATTAAAAAAATTTTTAATTGCGCGTTGCATATTAAAAAAATGATGAACATAACAAAATATCAATTTAATAAAAACATAAAAAAAGAACAAAATGTGAGCATGACAGGGGTTTTTCCGATGAAAGTTGTCTTTATCTCTCGTGAAGTTGCGGAACCAATACTCGAACTTCTCCCCATCGCAAGAATTCAATCCACCCTGATTGCACGGCATTCCTAATGGGGTGAGGGAAGGTGAGCGAGGCGTCAAAGTTTCTGAATTTACGAAAAATTTAGTGCGCGCTACGGATAAAATGCACTGAGTATCAAACGTTAATAACTTGTTTGTTCGATCGCCTTCGGCTGAAGTACTGTAGATTTCAAATTTCGCGCCAAATTTTTTTTGACGTCTCCCCACCCCGTTTGGGAACACCGTTGATTGCTTTTAAGCGCCCTGAAAATTATTTTTTTTCATTTTTTAAAATGTTTTCCAGACTATCATAGACTGACTTCGCCCGATTTCATTCAAAGCGGAAATTAAATAAAACTTTTCTGCACGAGATCACAACAAGAAAAAAATAGATGAAAACAAAAAGAAATAACAAAAATAATAATAAAAAATTTTCCGAAAATTCAAAATCTGTCATCGGCGCGTCGTCGGTGGAGCGCAATATGTAGTCAACTATTTTGCCAACGGTGGGCAAAATTTTCGCAGCTCGCTTTTCACGGCATTCCTATTGGGGTGAGGGAAGGTGAGCAAGGCGTCAAAGTTTCTGAATTTACATAAAAAATTTAGTGCGCGCTACGGATAATATTACGTCACAATTACACTGAATATTCAACGTTAATAACTTGTTTGTTTGATCGCTTTCGGCTGAAGTACTGTAGATTTCAAATTTCGCGCCAAAATTTTTTTGACGTCTTGCCACCCCGTTTGGGAACGCCGTGCTTTTCGCTGGCAATTTTTTCATCAGCTCACTTTTCTTAGCTCGATTTTCACAGCTCTTTTGACATATACCCGTGATTTCACATGACGTTACTTTTCCCATTAATTCTTTGATTTCAGACATGACGGCGATCACAATTCGATTGGTTGGAGAACAAGAAGATCGTTTATTCAAAGGAATTGACGTAGATAATCAGGTTTTACTTTGATTATTTATTCTGATTGACTTATTTTTATATTTTCAGATTCCGTATGTTGACCTAAAGAAGCGTATTGAGACTATTACGAATATTCCTCCCGACTTCCAAGAAGTCCGATTCCGTGGTGAAAAAAACTATCCGTTGTGGAGTATCCTATTCGAGACATCAAGTTTGGCGAAGAGCTTGTACTGGTAAAGAATTTTTACATTTTAAACTTTACTATTTATTATTAGGATGTATAATTTTCGGAATTTAAGGTCACCTATTCCCTATCAGTAAATTTTTAAAAATGTATTTCAGAAACATTCTCTTCTGGAATCCTGGCGTGCGTATTTATTGCTTTGTGACAGCGCCAAAGATATCGAAAAAGGAAAACCTGAACGAACAAAGTGTGCGCAAAGAGCTATAGCCAATTCACAAAAACTCGAGGATTCCGGATTTTTCGAAGCCTACGTCAACTTTGTGACAGTTTGGATCGACACCATCGGTCAAATGATGAGGTTTGCAAATTTGTTCAATTCCTTTTAAAAATATTGACAAAATAATGATATAGTCAATGTTTCCCGACTTGAAAGGCGAGGGAGGCGGGGCAAGGGGCGGGACGCGTAGCGTGTGCGTTTGCGGTTCTTGTCACGTGTTCAATTCAACCGCCATCGACTCTTTGAGAAGCCCGTTTTTCGCTTTTTTTTTTATTCCTTTTTCAATTATTTAAAGATTATGTTCATGTGTGCATCAAAAAATGGTAAAAAATTGAAAAAGAGCGGTTGCCGAGCTTTTTAAATAGTCGGCGGCAATTGAATTGAACTCGCGCCAAGAACCGCAAACGCACACGCTACGCGTCCCGCCCCTTGCCCCGCCTCCTTCGCCTTTCAAGTCGGGAAACATTGACTATATTCGCATTTCAGGTTTGTCGACCGAACGCGAAACGCTTTTGAACAAAGCGCTACAAAATTCTTCACCAAGATGTTTCCCAATTCAACAATAAGCTTTAAGCCTAAGCAAGGCGGTAGTCGAGCGGGGATTGTGGGGACTGTCACTTGCAATGGAGAAGAGACACTTTAATATATGAAGACTTATCATCACGCCGGTTCTTCAATTTCCCTGCAAAATGCATCAAAGCGACACCTGCCGGATCTTCGCGAAATGTTCGCATATCCACTTCTCGAAAATATTGGAGTTGGACCTGTTGTATTCTTTCCATTCTATGATGGATCGACATACATTCCATACATTGCAACTAAGGAAGTCAAAGAATTCAAAGAGCTGGACAAACTTGAGGATGTTGTTCTGCAAAATAAAGTAGTTGTTGAGGTGATACATTTTAAATAATTTTTTTAATTAAAAAAATAATTTAAATACTTATTTAAATAAAATCCATTTCAGGCTTACCTGCTCTCACTTATCCTTGGCATACGCGACTTGAATGAGGGGAACATTGGTTCAACCAAGGAGAAAGCCCTGTCTATCATTGATTTTTACGTTCCGGATACTGACAACTTTCTACGACGGAGAATACTCGATGATTTGAAGAATAAGAGCAACTTTGGTGGACCAGGAAAAGCCAGTGAAATTCTCACTGAAATAGGCCATGAAGAGAGGATGAAAATTGTCAAGGATGCCCTGCCCCATTGGAGTCGAATCAAAAGCATAACAAGCGATATCATTGGTATTGAGAAAAGCGAATTACGGGAACATGGAATAAAGCTCGGGACTGCTACAAATGACGTAGAAAATTATCTTCAAGACATCAAATTGAATTATGACTCGATATGTTTAGCTTTTCAGTAGTTTCGTTTATCATGTTATTAATAAAAAGACAGACATACAACCACAAGGCTTACCTATAACTAAGTTGGGCTCTTAAGTTTTGGATCTATTCCCAGCAGACTCCGTTTGACCAGGTACCCGTGCTTCAGCCCTACTCTAATCCATCTTAAGCGTGTCTATATCATTACAACCAATTAAATTCCCCATTCACCTGTGCTACACTGTGTCATAACTTATAATGCCTTCTTTTCTATTTACTTTTTTTAACCTCTGTGCAATCTTCACCTCTCATTCTTTCATTACTGGCTCAGAGGCTCGTGAGGGCCTCAAGTGCCTTTTATTTATTTATTTCAGGCTTAATGCCAATGTTCTCTCTCTTTTTTCTGTACATGTTATTTTGTTCTGCCTGTAAATAAATAATATTATTAAAGTGAAAGGACCTTTACTTTTACAAACTCTTCGAGGTTAATGTTGGTCAATGGTTTCAGATTTTTCAATGACCTCTAGCTCCGCCATTTATTTAGCATTTTTTTATTCACCGTTCTAGCGCAATATTTCGACCATTTCGACCATATTTTTTTTATAACGCACTTTTCGACCATTTGCCCATTTTTGAAAATTGTTGAAAATGACACATTTTTAAAGAGATAAGACACAAAAACAATGATAATACGCCTTAAAATGGCTTAAATTGTGTAAAAATTGAAGGTGCGCTAGAACGGCAAAATACATATTATTTATATCAAATTGGCAGCGCCTTAAGGAAAAGCTTATTTCAAAGCAAAAAAACTTCAATGAGGAAGTTAATTTCACCAAATACTTATCTCTCACTGACTCCCGAACCGGTGTTTGAAAAATGCCGAAGAGGTCCGTGAAAAAGTTCATAGCCACAAAGCGCACAAAAAACATTCTAAAAAGTCATATTCACACCATTTTTCATAAAACCTGTTGATATTTTTCTTTCAAATTGAGTCAAGTTACGTTTCTCAGAACTATAAACTATTTCACGCTCGGTAGCTTTTCCGTATTGATTTGCGTGAAAATCTACATCTGATAAACCCAATCTCAATCAAAAGTCGTTCAGGCCTTTTCTTCGATTACAAGAAAATTAAATACGCCTCCCTAGGATTTTGAAACTCAAATCCCTTTATTTGCTTTTTTTTTTCTCGCCACTTCTAGTATTTTGTACAAAAAAAAAATTTCTGAAAAGATCTTGAACCTTTTTTGAAAAGTCAAAGATTTTCCAAGGGGGCGGCATAGCTCACCTGGTAAAGACTCATTTCTAACGTCCGCAAGGTCGTAGGTTCGAGTCCCCCCGAGGTCGACCAAGCCTTTCATCCCTCCGGGGTAGATAAAATTGGGAACTGCATGCAGCGAAAAGGCTCAATCTCTGCCATCGGCCTTTGGAAAGCCGGCACCGTACTTCTTCCTACGACCTCTCTTGTACCTGATGTTCTACGAGCGACATTCACAACTTCTCTGCCTAAGGCACAGCTCCTGCTGCCGTTTAAACACAGTTAAAATCAATGAAAGTCGATTGCACATGTATTCATTGAAGATGCAATAAAAATCACTTTTTTAAAAAGATCTTTCAACTGAATTTTAGAACAGCCAACTTCTAATTTTGAGAACTCGAACTTTATCTGTTTTTTTTGCGCATTTTCAGATTTTCGAGTCTTCAAGTCTTTCAAAGCTAAACTCAGGGCCTCAAACTCTGAAAACGAAACCTTGATTTCTGTTGCGAAACTGTGAGTAACGCCATCTATGGCAACAAACGACAGCCGTTTTTTGGGCCCTAATACGCTTATCGAGAGAAACAATCTCCAGGAAATTACGGGAGAAGGTTCCAGGAGAAATTCTTGGGAAAGAAAAAAAGGAAGGAGACGAGATTCTTGATGGACGGTTCTTGTCGGTCTTTGTAAACGCCTTTACTGGGTAAAAATGGAGACAAAAAGTGTATAGTCTGAACTTTTTGGAGGGTTCTCGGGAAATTGTCGTGAAAAATGACCAAAAGTATGAAAAGACTAAAAAAAAGATCTTAATAAATTTGATAATCAAAAAAATGTCAGAAAAAAATCTGAAAAATCTGGAATTCACACCATTTTCCTTCAGAAAGCTCTACAGGAAACGCTTTTCCAGCTGATAATTTGTTAAATAATCTTTTAAAATAATTTCTGAAATTTAAAAAAAGTCAACGTTTTGATATTTCCCGACAAAAACTAGACAAAAATTATGACCATGTTTTTTTCTTTTTTTGAAATCATAATTTTCTCTAAACCCTCCATTTTCCACACACTGTCTCGTCACTGATTTTCCTAAAGATCACGTAAATTTTTTTCAAAATTTGCATAAATTGACTCTCTCATAATCCAGATTTTTCTAAGCTTCTACTCAAGTCGTAATTTTCTCTGAACCTTCTCCTCTCCGCACACTATCTCGCTACTGATTGTCCTAAAACGAAATTTTTTTTCTGAAGATTCATGACTGAACTTCCAACTGGTTAAGCTAAGCTCCTCGTATACTTTTTTCTGAACCCTCCATTTTCCGCACACTATCTCGCTACTCATTTTGCTGAAAATCACGAATTTTTTTTTCAAAAGTTACTTCATTGACTCTCTCCTGATTAACCTTTTTGTATACTGCTTTGATATTTATAATTTTCTCTAAACCCTCCATTTTCTGCACACTGTTTAACTTCTGATTCTCTTAAAAATCATGAAAATCTTTCTCTTTTTAAAATTCCATAGCTCCCTCTGGTTAAGCTCCTTTTAAGCCTTTCTCAAACTCATGAGTTACTCTAAACCCTCTCCTCTCGGCACACTATCTCGCCAGTGACCCTCCTAAAAATCATGAAAATCTCTTTTTAAAACTCCATAACTTAACTCCCATCTGGTTAAGCTCCTTTTAAGCTTTTCTCAGACTCATGAGTTACTCTAAACCCTCTCCTTTCGGCACACTATCTCGCCAGTGACCCTCCAAAAAATCATGAAAATCTCTTTTTAAAACTCCATAACTTAACTCCCATCTGGTTAAGCTCCTTTTAAGCTTTTCTCAGACTCATGAGTTACTCTAAACCCTCTCCTTTTCGGCACACTATCTCGCCAATGACCCTCCAAAAAATCAGGAAAATATGTTTTCTCTGAAGTTCCATAACTATACTCTTGCCTGATCAAGCGCCTTCCACCCTTTCTCAAAATCATAATTTTCTCTAGACCCTCTTGCTCCCGAATACTATCTCGCCAATCTTCTCAAGACCTATTTTTTCAAACAAAACCGTCTTTTCAAGAAATTTTTCATTTTTATTCCGATTCAAAAAATATATTTTCTTCCATTACGCAGCTTTCTATACAACAATAAAATGACTCCATTCCCTACGTACTAAAAGAACCAAAAATTTCAAACAAAACCGATGACGCAAAAATTAAAACAAATGGTTTCAATACAAAAAATGAAGCGATTGGTGTATAAAAAGGCCGAAAAAGGGGAGAAAATCAAAGAAAAATGCTCCTGAAAGTTTTTGCCGTCGCCCTTCTCCTTGCCGTTGTCTACGCCGCCCCAACGGTTGGATTAGAGATTTTTTTGATTGTTAATTAGCAAATTAGCTCGATTTCAGGGAAAAAACAATGCCGTGAAGAGAGAGGAGCAAGAAAACGAATCTCAAAACCCTCTGGTAAGGTCTTTTTTTTCGGAGTGTTGAGGAGTTATTCTGGTTAATTTTCAAGCTCATTAACTTTGTAAAATTTCTTCGCCCCACCCTGCGCCTTTAAGCCATTGCATCATCTGTAAAAAAACTAGTAATGGATGGACCAGTTTTCGAAAATTCTAAAAAGTGGCTAATTTTCAAAAAATTCTTGGCCTCCATTCAAAAAATAATCATGTTTACTGCTAGCAAAAGGGAGTTGAAAAATCAAATTTAAGTAATTTTGAATTTTTCGGATCACTTTTTGGTCTTCAAAGTTTCAAAATCAACACCCATAGAGCGCAGTTGTTCAAGTTAATTTTTTTTTTTTCGAGCTCGAAAATCTCTTCAACTTGTCACAAAGTTCACTTAGCCTTCTCACAGTACCTCAGAAGCTTAAAAAAAAACAGTAGAGGTCAAAACAACCTTCAAAAAGCCCTTCTTCTCAAGACCATTTATTCAACTCCACTCATGCTCCTTTAAAACTTATTATGAACAAGCTATATTTTTTCAAACTTTTTTTTTTGTAAATCTTTCCGATCTATTCCCCATGAAAAGAAAAGAAGACAGGCGATATTATTTGTGCACCTGACCTCGAAACGACATTCTCAAAAGCTTCAAACTCTTGCCAAGTTTTGAGCCATTCCAAATGCGGCCACAAGAGTTTTTAGTTCCCTATGCTTCTCCAAACAATATATGAATGAATTATAAGATTCTCTTCGAGTTGAAGTTTTTTTGTTGGCCGCATAGGGAATGGCTTATGCGCCCGACCTTGAAACGACTTTCACACAAACTTCAAACTCGTAAAAATATTGAGCCATTCCAAATGCGACCATAGAAGTTATTAATTTCGTATGTTTTTTCACAATCTTAATGAATGGACTGTACGATTCTCTGCAGTTTCAAGCTTGTTGGTCGCATGGAGAATGGCTCATGCGCCCGACCTTGAAACGACTTTCCTACAAGCTTCGAGTTCATGAAAACATTGAGCCATTCCAAATGCGACCATAGAACTTCTTGATTACCTATGCTCTTTCAAATTATTTATGAATGAACTCTGCATACTCCTGGGGTAGAAGTTTGTTGGTCGCATTGAGAATGGCTCTTGCGCCCGACCTTGAAACTACTCAATAACAAGCTTCAAACTCGTGCAAATATTGAGCCGTTCCAAATGCGACCAGATGAATTTTCAAGTTTGATGCGCTTGTTTACAATATTCATGAATGAACTGTACGATTCTCTGCAGTTGTTGGTCGCATGGAGAATGGCTCTTGCGCCCGACCTTGAAACGACTTTCGCACAAGCTTCAAACTCCTTAAAGAGCTTTCAAGACCAGAAAACATGTACATTTCCTATGCACCTTTAAAACTTTTCTGAATGGAATATATGATTTTCCTCGGTTTTTTGGTCGCATGGAGAATGGCTTTTGCGCCTCTCTGCTCGCAAACCAATTTGAACAGGAGATTCTTGAACCACTCATCTTAGGTCCTCCCAACGAGTTCGGAAAGCCATTCCGACGAAGATCAGGAGCATCCGGTCGAAAAGAGAAGCTTGAGCAAGACGGCCGCCATGAGAAGGGCCGACAGTTCGCCGAGTTCTGAACCGATAGAATGCGACGAGGACGAAGAAAGCGAGTGCGAAGCGGAGGAGGACGACAACAGCAACGCCAGCAACAACAGCAACGACAGCAACGACAGCAACGCCACCAATGCCAGCGACGACAGCGATTAGACAATTCCGAAAAACTTATGTATTTTTCGATATTTTCTCTGATAAACGTGTTCAAAAATGGGTTGAAATCTTTCAGAGCTTGGGAAAATTAACCTGATAATCTTCATAACATGTTTAAAATGCAGGAAAGCGTTGAGAAATTTTACATAACCCTGATAGTTTTTTTTCGCCTTGAGACCTTTTTAAGAAATGTCTATGCTTCTTTAATTATTTCTGGAACCCTTCAAAAATGAGCCGAAATCATTCAGAGCTCACCAAATCAGTCTGAAGGGTTTCAAGACGTCAAGCTGACCAAAAGTATTCTTATTTGACCTTAAAAAAAGCCTCCTCGTCTTGAAAATGGAGAAAAAAACAGTATTAGGCGACTTTAATGAAAAAACTGTGCCTCCCGAGTAGTCCCCCCCTGGTCTGGAGCCACTAGTTGTAGACAAGCCGTACTGCTCCCCCATGCTGAAGCAGCTGATCATCGCAAAGCTGAAAACTCGTCAAGTAATATCACAAGAAGGGCGAGATGACCTTCTCGCCGTACTTGATCAACGACAACTTCACGAACCGACAAAAATCTATTTGATTATCATAGAATTAGCAGGGATTCTTGTCTGAGGACGGATGGGAACTTCTTTAAAATGAGCCGAAATAATCAGAGCTCAAGAAAGTTAGCCTGAAAAACTTTGGAGTCCGGTCAAACTGCCCAGAAGTATAGCCAAACCTTGAAGAACTCTGAAAACGTCTTTTCGCCACGAGACCTTTGTAAAATTCGTCACTGCTCCTTTAAACACCAGCAAGCCAAAAAAAAAATGTCCAAAATCGTAGTACCCATTTAAAGACAAAGAAATATAAATTTTGCAACAGAAAGTTCGTGTTTGACCCCGCCCTGCGCCTTTAATTCTAAGTACTAAAGAGTGAACGTCTCCGAAAAAGAGCCCAAGCCAATCCGTTCTTAAGAAAAACAGCTTGAAAATCTTCGAGAAGTTTTGGGAAACCTTAACAAACTTTGAAAACGTGAAATGAGCAGGAAAACTGGCACGATTAGTTATTTAAATCTCAACCTATCTCTAAAAGTCCAGTCAAACAAGACAAAAAATAAAAGTCCAAAAAAGCCCGAAGCGATCGATTGAGAATCCAGACAAGAAAAAAAAGTCCAGAATGCCAATTCCATAGATTTACAAATCGAGTGAGAAATTCAAAAAAAGAACTTACAAATTTTTTTCCTATCGAAAAAAATGAGTGAATTTCGGTGTTCCAGAATCAAATTGACCAGGAAATTGAATCTGAAAAAAACTTGAAAAAAGTTATGATGAAAAAAATTTTTCTAACCCGAAAAATTTTGAGCCATTCCAAGTGCGACCACAGCATGTAGAGACGAATTAACTTGAAATAAACTCATTTCAACGTCTTTTTGCTTTCCTGAACGTGGTTTTTGATGAGTACTCATTTTAAAAGGATCATGATAATTTCAAGAAAAGGGTCCTGGCACGAATGGGAAAAATAGTGTGCGAAAAGGGGAGAGTTCTACAGTATTTTAGGCTTATTTTTTGAGAAATCTAGCTTTGAATTAGGTTCATATCTTTCATGTAACATTTTTCTAGGCTGAAATATTAAAATTCGAAATTTATAATCTTTCCAATCGATTTTCCATCCAATTTTGAACGCAATTTTCAACTTTTGGGTCAATTTTTTGTTGTTTTTGGCCTAAAAATCGATCTTTACTCTTTTTCATAACATCCTGGAAGTTTCCTTGACAAAAAAATCTTTTTATTTCGACCAAAAATTTCGAAAAATTTAACTTCGAAAAACTTTTTTTAAATGATTTTTTTCTATCCATTTCTAACGGAATTTTCAACTTTTTTTGGCACAAATTTTTTTGTTGTCTTTGGCCCAAAAAAATCGATCTTTACTTTTTATTGCATCCTAAAAGTTTTATTCTTAAAAAAATCTTCAAATTTGAACAAAATTTCAAAAAATTCAACTTCGAAATCTTTTTTTAAAAATCGATTTTTTTCATCCAATTTTGAACGAAATTTTTTTGAATTTTTGGAGCAAATTTTTGTTGTCTTTGGCCTGAAAAATCGATCTTTAGTCTTTTTTTATCATCCTATAAGATTTCTTCTCAAAAAAATATTGTATTTTGACAAAAATTTTTCAAAAAAATTTAATCGACTTTCCATGCATTTTTTTCAAGGAAATTTTTTTGAATTTCGGGGCAAACTTTTGTAGTTTCTACCGTAAAATTCGATCTTTACTAATTTTTTTATAACAGCCTGGAAGTTTTTCTCCTCAAAAAAATTTTTTTCATTTCGACCAAAATTTCGAAAAATTTAACTTCGAAATCTTTTTTTTAAATCGTTGTTTTTCATCCAATTTTTGAACGAAATTTTCAAATTTCGGGTCAATTTTTTTGTTTTCTTTGGCCTAAAAATCGATTTTTTTGCTCTTTTTATAACATCCTAGAAGTTTTTTTATTCAAAAAAATATATTTTATTTCGACCAAAAATTTCAAAAATAATGAAAAACTTTCCGATCGTTTTTTTCCGTTCATTTTTCTAACGAAATTTTCAACTTTTGGAACAAAAATCGATCATTAATCTTTTTTTAATCATCCTATCAGATTCTCCTCACAAAGATCTTTTTATTTTTGACTAAAAAATTCAAAAAAATTCATATCAATACCTTTTCAATCAATTTTTCATCGCTTTTTCATCATTTTTGAACGAAATTTTCAACTTTTGGGACAAATTTTTGTTGTCTTCAGCCTTAAATTCGATTATTACCCTTTTTTTTTATCATCCTATAAGTTTTTCTTCTCAAAATTTTTGACTGGAATTTCAAAAATTTTTGAAACCTTTTTAAATCGATTTTTTTGTTGTCTTTGGCCTGAAAAATCGACTTAATTTTTTTCATAACAGCCTGGAAGTTTTCTTCTCAAAAAAATATTGTATTTTGAGAAAAATTTCAAAAAAATTTATTTTCAAAACCTTTTTTTAAATCGACTTTTTTTCATCCAATTTCGAACGAATTTTTCAACTTTTCGGGCAAAATTTTTCTTGCTTCTGGCCAAAAAAATCGATATTTACTCTTTTTTTATAACAGCCTAGACGTTTTCAAAAAAATCAAAAAAATCTATGATTTTGACCAAAACTTCAAAGTTCTGAAATTCTGAAATTCTGAAAACCTTCCAATCGATTTTTCCATAATGTTTCAAACCTACGTGACGCCTATTCTCGAATATTGTAGTGAAATCTTTTTCTCCCTCTATCTCGTCTGAGGAATGCTTCAAACTCGAGTCTTCTCTACGCCAATTCAGTAGAAAAAGTTTTTTTATAAGATGCAATGTTCGCTTCAGTTCTTATTCTGATCGTCTCAGCCAATTTGGCTTTAAACCTCTCTTTGTACGTCGTTGTATTAACGACGTTATTTCTCTTCATAAAAATAATTTGCGGCTCTGACCATTTTCTCAATCGCAATGACTTCTTCACTATTTCTCCTTTACAGAGGAATCCACTTCGACTTCGCACTTCCGGTCAGTTCTCTAACGATTTTTTTCCAAAAACTATTCCATTATGGAATAAACTTACCTCTAGAATAAATTTTTAACGTCTCTACGGATGCGCTACGGGTTAAACTTAATGATCTCCCTAACTCTGCCTTTTTTTCGAATCCATTCCTTCCCGTTTGCTCTGACTTCCTTTTCTATCCCCGGGTCATAGTCTACTCGTTAGGGTAGACTAATTCCCGTTTTGGTTATTCTGCTGCTTTCGTATTCTGAACTATTTTATTTATTATTTTCTAACAGTATGCAGTGAATAAACCTATTATTATTATTATTATTATTATTATTATCCATTTTCAAACGAATTTTTTTCAACCTTCGTGTCAAATTTTTTTGTTGTCTTTGGCCTAAAAAATCCATCTTTACTCTTTTTTTATAACAGCATAAAAAGTTTTCTTCTTAAAAAAATATTGTACTTTTGAGAAAAATTTTTCAAAAAAATTTAATCGATTTTCTATCCATTTTGAACGAAATTTTTTTGAAATTTGGAACGAAATTTTTTTGTTTTCTTTGGCCTAAAAATTCGAACTTTACTCTTTTTTTATCATCCTATGAGTTTTTCTTTTGCAAAAAAATCTTTTTATTTTGACCAAAAAGTTTGAAAAATTTTTTTTCGAAACCTTTTTTTAAAAATCGATTTTCCATCCAATTTGAACGAAAGTTTCAACTTTTGGGATAATTTTTTTCTTTTTTTCATTTCGACTAAAAATTCGATCTTTACTCTTTTTTATCATCCTATAAGTTTTCTTCACATAAATATATTATTTTGACCGAAAAATTCCCATTTTTTTATTTCTTTCCTACACAAATTGTTGACGCTTCTTAACAACTTTTTATGTTCCACTGACTCGTCCAAAAATTTTCGAATCTTAAAAAAATACTTTCCTTTCAATGATATCATGAAACTTTAGATTTTTACTTTTCTCTCGGCGAAACTTTCTTTTTTTTTTCAATTGATAAGATAATCGGTTCTTCGGGGACGGAATTTCGCAAAAAAAGGAACGGAAGTCTCGATAAACTCGTTTCTAACTTTTTTTTTTTCAATTCTCCTTTTTCAAACAAGGTAAAGTCACATGCAAAAAAACAAGAAAAATCACAAAAATGACTGGAAAAAAACTATTAGAAAAATTCTTTATTCCAATGAAAACCACATATAGAAGCTCGGAAAGTAGAAGGCAACAGCGGGAAAAAAATCTTTGATAATTTTTTTTGTGACTAGATTGGCAATAATCAAAAATTCCCCGAGAGCTGATAAAAAAATACAAAAAAGGGAAAAATGCACATCTTTCAACTGTACCCATAAGAAAAAATATTCGATTACAAAATGACAAGGAAGAAGAATAGAAAGACGGACGTCTTTGAAGTGCGCACAGTTGTCATGTCAATCTGAAACCAAATAAACTGAAAAAAGGTAAAATTTTATAAAATACAGTGGTCGCACTTGAAATGGCTTGTTCGCGTTGCTTGCTACTATAGATCTTCCAATGACGCTGCGCGCAAGTCGTTTCAAGTCGGGTGCTTCTCAAAGCGACTTCAGCTTTCCTATTAACGACGCAAAGACTTTCAAGTTAACATTTTTCCCGGAAAACTACTGATAATCTTACAAAATTCATCCTCAACTAAAATTTGCTTTATTAGTGGGACAATTTTTAGTGGCCACTATAGGGTTTTGACGTTCTAGTGGGCACTATAGTAGTCAAATTAGTGGCCACTATAGAGGTCTACGTGCTACTACACCACTACAAATTTTAGTGGCCACTTTAGGGGTCTATGGGTCAACGTAACTGGTCCAATCTGTTTGTTTTTAAATTATCAGTTACTGGAAGGAATACTGGATGGAAAACTACCGAAGTGGCCACTAAATCGAGAACCTCTATAGTGGCCACTAAAAAAAAATAGTGCCCACTGTAGAGGTGGGTTTAGTGGTCACTTTAGAGTCCTCTCCAAGTAGTCCTTGGCCAGCCTCTATAGTGGCCACTTAAAATTTTCCCAGTACAAGTGAAATTTTTCGTTTTCTCAAAATCAATATGGAAACGAATACTTTACATGAACTAATAAGTTCGCCTGGTGAAATTTGAAAAAACAGTAAAATTTCAACGCCTTCGGTTAAAAATAGGATGAGATATCAGTGGAAGGCTTGAACAGAAAAAAAAAATTTTTTTGAGAACTTTTTTTAAAAAATGCTGTAAAAAGTTCACTCAATTTTTTATGAAGATTTAGCTTAAAAGCATTAAGAATATTGATGATTTGACCTCGAGAGATTTTGGAAATGAACGGACCCAATCAGGAACACGTAAAATTATCTTCTCATTCCGATTTTCAATGAAAAAGTCCTGAGTTTCAAATATCTGATCAAAAAATACTCATTACCTTCCATTTTTTCCTACCTTATCACTATCTTAAAATGTCTCCCATCCTTTCAAAAGGCCACGAGAAAATGCCTAAAACTGGCAAAACCTCCCAAAAAAAGGTGACAATTTATTGAGTCAGCGCCGATGATGAAGCGACTTGAACTTAATCACTTTAGGACACGGTAACTCGCCTTTTTTAAGGTTAAGGGGGACACTTTTGGCATTTTCTCGTTGTGATAAAGTTAAAAGAAACGAACCAAATTCTTTATAGTCCTTCTCCTCCTTGTTGGCCACCTCGTTGACGTAGTCATCTGGAATATTTTCCATTGTAATTATATGAAACAATGAAAAATAGGGAGCATTTTCAGAGCTTTCACGGAAAAAAAGGGAATTTTAAAAACTCAATTTATGAGACTATAGAGATGGTCGAAGCTTATTTAAAATCATTTTTTCTGAAATTTTTCGAGGGCGCCCCCAAATTTGACCTTCCGGAGACTTCTAAGTTTCCACTCATGAAAAATATCTATTCAGAAAAAGACATTTTGTTATGCGACGCGCCATGGCGCAACAGGTTGTGTGCCTGTCTACGCTCCTCACGGTCACGAGTTCAATCCCCACTGCGAAGCAACTTTTAGTTTAAAGGCATAGGGCCAGTAAAAAACGGTGTTTCAGTTCAAAGCAGTACTTTGTAGAGTTTTTCATTGCGAATCGAACGGTGAACTTGGGAACGTACAGAAGTTCCTAGTTTTGGAGAAGAAATTATTCAAAGTCGGAGAGAGGGAAGTTTGAGTTTCCGCAAAAAGGGCACTTTGAAGTAAAGTAGCTCTATGGACAACAGGCTTCGCCATTTTTCGGATTTTCGCTTTTTTCTTCGTTTCTTTCAATTTTCAATTGTTTCTGTCGTCACCAAAGTTCTTTTCGTCACAAAAGCTTTCTATTCATGTATAATTTGCAAACTGTGTTCTCAAAATGCTTTTCTGATGAAAAATGATGATTTTACACAGGTTTCGATTGGGATAGCGATATTTTGTGTTTTCTTTGTTATCAATGTGTGTTTTCTGTTTTCTTAATCGATTTTTCAGAGTAGAAACCCTTAATTTGAAGCAGATAGCCGGTTATTTCTCCCAAAATGCGAGTCTAATGAGATGTCCGCAACATCGCGTGCACGGCTACTGTAAACCGTTGTCTGCATACCGATCCAAAGCTTTTTTCAAAATTAAAGGCGCGAAAGTAAAATCGCGTTTTTCTTCTAAAGTTGTCACATCTGTAATTTTTTTGAGTACACCATTCGATTGAGTACACCCCCTTCAAGTACCACCTCTACGCGGTGATGGGGAGGCAACGTCATTTATGGCGGCTAACGGTACACCGGTCACGCAATTCGGCTTGCTTCTGCTAACAGAATGGGCGGTCTTTTTTAGCCCTGGCAAGGCAAAAAGGATAATAAGACCACAATTATGCTATAACACGTTCAACACCACGGATGGATTTTTTTCGCAAGAATACCAGTCAACCAGGACGACAACACTGGATGACCGATTGCATAAGATCTCCTGGAAAACGTGTGGTCCACGCTTCGATCAATAAAAGGCACTAAAAGGCAATAAAAGGTCGAAAGCGAAGATGGACCATCTAAGTATCTAAGTAAGTATCATTCGATTCGCAAAGAAAAACTATATAAGATACTGCTTTCACCTGAAACCCCATTTTTTACTGCCCCTAGGCCTTTAAGAAATTTTGGTACTGGCGAATCACGGAAAACACACACAAGGACGGAAAAGTCACTAGAGCCAGCCCAATGATTATCAATAATATTCGGATAGGACCTGACACCGCTCAAACGGCCAACTAATAAGGTAAGTGCGTGAGGTGAGCATCGCAGATATGATTCAAACTTCGGTGGTAGGTAGTCCCAGGTAAGAGTATTCGAGAAAAAGGAAAATTATCTGCCAAGCGCCATGGGGTACTGAGAAATAGCTTGTCGAAAATGTACAGGAAAAGCTCAAAAACGAATTCTCTTTGGGTTTTTCGTGTTTCTCGTGATATGTAGAATAATAGTGAACGTTTTAAAAATCAAAAAACTAAAGAAAATCAGGTTTTGCGCTTTTTCCGTAAATTTTCGACAGGCTATTTCTCAGTACCTTATGGCGCTTAGCAGTTATATATTTTTATTTTCGATTACACGTACTTAGAACAATCTACCACAGAAGTTTGGACCACATCTGCGATGTTCCCCTCACACACTTTCCTTGTAAGGCCTAAAAATAAGAATATAGATCTATTTATACGATTTTTTTCATTTGAAAACCCGTGGTCAATTTCATTCCGTTGAAATTTTCGAGCTATTTGTCACTAATCTATTCCATGAACTACCAATTTTTTGCAATTTTTACGGTCCTTAAGAAACTTTACAAGAGGTTAACATTTTTGATCCCGATTTTCATAAAATTTAAAAACAAAGTTCTCATAGAAATTCAGATTTTTCACGGGAAGGTGGAAGAAAAAAACGCTTCTAAATCTACCAAAATAAGCTTTTTCTTCCAAAATATTCATTTTTGGGCGTAAATCTCACGCAGAGTTAAAAAAAAACAAATTTTCAACTTAAAATCCATCAAGTTACACATCAATTTTCAAAAAGAACTCCGTGATAACTCGACCATTTCGATCCCGTTTCTGATGATGAACCTTTTATAAAACTTCAAGTCCTGACAGAAAGTCATAGCTTTCACGGGAAGGCCTAGAAGAAACGCTACTAAATCTACCAAACCACGGAATTTTCTCCAAGCTGTTCATTCTCAGCCCTTTTTTGGATTGATCTAACTTATTCTGTGTTAAAAACACTAATTTTCACACCACAAATTGATCACCGTTCGGTAAAATTTTCAAAAAACTCTTAGGAACCTTCTTGATCTCGTTCCTGGGAATGAATCTTCTTAGAAGATTCCAAGAAAAATATTCGGGAAAAAGGGGAAGAAGCTCCGAGAAGCTCTGCTAAACCTATCAAAATACGAATTTTTCCAATATAAACACGATTTTTCAACCCATAATATATCAAACTTCATCCGATTCCCTTTCCTAAAAAACTCCAGGAAAACTCGACCTTTCTGATCTCGTTCCTGCGGATGAACCTCCAGCTGCTCCTTCTCCTCGGCCTTTTTCCGTCGTTCCTCTTCTTCTTCCTTCAGTTTTGCGACCAGTTCCTGACCGGAAAGAATCCGACTCGGAGCTTGAAGCTGGATATTCCCGCGATCGAAGGAAAGAGGATCATGAGCCTGAAAAAAATATATATTTATTATAAGGACGTCTAGAAAGATTTTTTTCGAACTTTTTCAAAAAATGACAAAAAAATGAACCAAATTAATCCTTGACGATCTAATTTGACACCTCAACTTCCAGAAAAAATTTTCAAAAAAATTTTTAAAAAAATTCCGTTCCGCTCCCGACTCATTTTTTTCAACATAGAAAAAAATGGACTCGGAGTTTTTTTCAATTGATTTTCCATTCACCTTATGTTTCCTCTGGAAGGACGCCGTCTCATTCTGCGTGTACTTGGGCACACCGACAGCCTGGAAAAAAATTTACTAAAGTCATTATAGTTTTTTTTTTTTTTCATTTTCATTTTTTCGATCAACACATTTAACGCTTCATCAACCAGTAAGAAAGCAAGCGATTTTCAAAATAAGCACTTCGGAGATGTGACCACAAAAGCAGAGGAAGCGCCAAGTTAAGGTCTAGAAACAGAGAAAAGTTACAAAACGGCAAACAGAAAATTATACTGTTAATAAAATTTTCAGAGTTCCTAGTCCCTAACGGACCTCGAAAATGAAAAAAACAGACCATTACAAGATTTGATTTACAACCAGCTTCAAGAAGGTCATTATATCACTAAAGGAAAACTAAATCCCTACAGTAACCACCAGCAAGAGGTCAAAAAACTATGGAGAGCAAAGAAACCATTTATCAGCAGCTCCCAGGAACCCCGCACCTTATCATGATAAGCCATCAAAGCTATCACTAAAGAAAAGCTTTATGAGTCGAAAAACCTCGAGTCCGAAAAATAGCCATAAGATCTTTTAAACAGTACTTCTGAGAAGTTGAGTACAAAAAAAAAAGCCGACAGAACATCTCATGAAAGACCTACAGTAACTGAGAAATGCCGGAAAACCATGAGGAAAACAATTACAGATCTATAGCTTTGAAACTTCGGAATGCCGTTCCATCACAAAAGGAAGACCTAATCAGTAAAGTAACCCCCAGGAAAGGGCAAACACTAGAGAGAGTGAAGAAAAACCAACTTATCACTTTATCATGACAAGAAACAGCAGAGAGAGAAATCGAGAAGTTCTTCCAGAAGATCAGCGAGAGCCAAGTTTGAGGTTTGCTATTGAAACCTAACTCTATAACCAAAGGGATACTTAATCAGTTAGATAACGATCAGCATAAAACTTAAAAGATACAAGAAAAATTCATCGCTTCCACCAGTAGATCATCTTATGTTTACGAACCATCAAAGCTTAAAGACGGGAAGAAAATTTGAGAATTCCATTCAGATTATCATACCTATAGTAACTTTATAAGGAGATAAATGAGAAGAGCCAAGTTTGAAGCCTACTTTTCGAGTACTTGGCCAGTTCTTTTTCTTCTACCTAGCCCTAGACCATGTTCTAGTCATTCTATCTCCAAATGAATGCCTAATCAGTACAGTAACCACCAATATAGGCCAAAGAGAGCGAAGAAAACATTTATCCGGCGCTCCCACCAACCCATCACCTTATCGTCACGAGCCATCAAAGCTGAATCATCGGAACGGGACGACGAAAAATGCCGTCGTCGTCGGAGCACTCCCGCTACCGCCTCACGGTAGAGAAGCAGAGCCAACCAAAAAAAAAAAGAAGAAGAAAGGGGAATCGTCGCCTCCATCGAGTCGCCATTTTCCCTCAGATTTTTGTCTTAACCATGACCCGTCATCACCATCAAGCCGCTCTTCACTTTGCCGTTGTGTGAGTTTTATTGTTTCTTCTTTATTTTCTTCTCTCCCAAATGGATGAGGGCCGAATCCAAATATAATACCGAGTTTTATTGTTTCTTCTTTATTTTCTATTTTCCAAATGGATGTGGGCCCAATCCAAATGTAATAACAACAAAATCGTGGCGCAACTTTGTTTGAACAACACTCGGACCAAAATATACAATATAAGCCGGCAGGTTTTTTTATTTTATAAAAACTTCTACGCTTCTTCATTTTATTGACTCTCCAGATGTTCTTGCTCTTTTTTTATAAAATGATACCCAGAAAATATTCAATCCTTTATCACTTCGAACTGCAGAACAGTACCGTACCCTCGAATCATTCTGGATCCATTTTTTTCAATCAGCTTCATCAAAAACTTGTTTAAAAAAATATCGGAATTATAACACCTTCTTTTTTTAATGTTGCAACGGAACCCGAGATCCACTTCGACTATAAATTCAGAAGTTAAAAAAAGAAAAAAAGCCCAAAGCCCAAAAAAAGCCCAGTCCTAAAAAAAGCCCATGCAAGCCTTAAAACTTTAAATATTATTCGACTAATAAGAATCCTTAACCTTTCATTTATTAAACGACCTTTCTAAATCCCGTGTAAAAATATAAATGAAAAACATTTTTTTCAGAGAAGAAGGAAATGTGGCCGAAAAGCCGCCGTACAGTTATGTCGCACTTATCGCGATGGCAATTGAAGCGGCTCCAGAAAAAAACGGCTCACTCTCAACCAAATTTACAAGGTAAGTTATTTTTAATTAAATCGAAGTAATCAAAAAAGAGCTGTACTCAACTCAATTTAACGGCTATAACCCTGTAACCCTAGCAAGCATAAAAAGGCTCAAAAGTCCCTCAGTTCCTTCATCTTTATTCAGTGAAAATCCTAAGGTCCTGTCAATTTTGGGCTTGTAAAAAAGAGACAAGTTGACCATAGCCCCATTAACAAAGTAGTGTGGGGAATGATGAGGTAAATGATCTACGATAAAAAAAAACAAAAAAAAAGTTAAATTTTCAAGTGATTCCTTAAAAAAAAGCTAGCGGGCTCAAAAATCATAGGTGTGGTTATTAAAGGAGCATAGGCCACCATTATAAAGTTTTTCGAAGCGAACAGATCTTTTCAGTGCTATTTTTGGTCATGCTGCGCCTAAAAAAGACTCTCTTCTCAACTACCGTACCCATCTTACAGTAGCTCCTTGATCGCTCAGAACAGACTAAGGGTAGTGATTTATAAAATGGATCAAGTTATCAAAAAAACTGTGACCTTTCTCATCAGCTACCGTAACCCTCTTCCTATCCCTCAAATGCTCAAAAAGGCGCCTATGACTTCTCAAAACATTCCTCTTCAATTTCAAAACATTTTCCTTTTCAATCTAATTTTAGTTCATCGACGCCAAATTCCCGTATTATCGAGACGCGGACCCGAAAAGACGGCAGGGATGGCAGAATAGCATACGGCACAACTTGTCGCTCAATGATTGTTTTGTTAAGAAGGTTTCCCATTCCTTACTGATATTTATAACAAGGAAGGTCATTCAACTTTGCCGGTTGGGATGCTCTTGGAAATTGATCAGGATACTCCTTGAGGTACCAAAAGGAGATCCTGGAAGTCTCAACATGCACAATTTTCTAGTTTTTGAGAAAGCGCAACCCTCAGAAGCTGCCTTTAAAAGTTTTCAAGCCCTTATTTCTCGAAAACTGGGAAATTTTACAGGTTGAGACTTTCAGAATATTCATCTGGTACACCAAGAAGTGTCCTGGTCAATTTTCAAAAAATTCCTAGCCGTAAATTAAAAAATAACCTACCTTCTAGCTACCAGTTATTAGTATTGTTTCTACTTTCAATTTTTCGATTTTTTTTTTTCTGACTCCAGGCCCGAGACGGTCAAAGTCACGCCAACGACCGCAAAGGCAACTACTGGATGATGGTTCCAGAGTGTCAGCCAATGTTCGACAATGGGAATTACAAGAGAAGGTCAGTTTTTCAACCAAAAGCCATGGAAAACTGTAAAAATTACTCCCCACGCATCCGATTAATATCATCAATCTACCGCTTTTCAAGAACTTGAACAAGGGCAGGTAACTTCAGTCTCGCCAAAAGAGGACCATCAACCTTATCATAATTTCCAGAAATACACTGAAGTATGAACAGTAGAAGGCTTCACAGAAATTACAGGCGGATAAAGCGTCTTCCAACCTATCACCACAGTCAACCAGCAGCTCAGACCGTAGAGCCGACAGTTCCTCTAGCCTGCCTGAGAAGCTTCCATTGGCCTCCAATGGATCCGATGAGCTTCTTAAGGGTATGTTCATATCTTATTTAGCTCAGAGGTTAAAAGAATTTTTAAAAAATTCATAAGAGCCATTTTACGCATTTTTTTTAATATTATATCCTACGCTTCGAAAAACCACAAAAAAAATTCTAGGTAGGCCATTCCACTCTGTGGTTGGTAATGTTCTGAAAAATTGGCATAACATCCTTTGTAGTACCAAATTAAGGTCCAGATAGTCTCAACAAGCCCAGCTTTTGATAGACAAGTGCTCAAAGCCCTAATAAGGCCTATTCCACCGCAAGGTTCAACCTTTCTTGTCAGAGTCCAGTTATCACACTTCCGATTACCGTTAAAATCCAACCCAAAGTTCCCTCAACAACCAAAACATTTTCAATCTGACATATCATCCTTTCAGTTCCCCTATCATCTACCGCAAGCCACCGATCTCCAACAAGGGACCATGTTCGACACGACAACTCCCCAAATGGCGCCAAGTTTGACCTACAGCGGATTCTTTCCATCTGTAGCCACCTCGAGCACTATTAAGAGCGTCATCAGTGAGCCCGAGGTCAGTAATTTACAGGGAAAACTTACAGAATAGACTATCTAGAAAGTTCAGTTCTAAGAGACCAGTGAAACAATATCGACTATTAAGATCCGTAATACAAAACGAAGTTGATTATAAGACCTATCAGGAAATTTTAGTTCTTACAACTCCGTTAAAAAATGGGAACACTAATTGAACTTGAGCATAAGCTCTCCAGTTTGAATTTTTCTCGCTCAACGACTATGAATAAGATCTTCAAAGTTCGCAGACGTCTTTACCTAAGCTGAATTGTCAGTTCTCATCTAAAAATAGGCTACCTAGGTCCGAAAATGACTAGAACAAATGAACCAGAAAAAACTGGAAAACCAGCAGAACATGAAGACGACTCTTCAGTGAACTCAGCGGACGTTTCTGAGGCTTTGTAGTGATCCCTTTAGGCGTTCAGCACTTAAGTGTCCACTTGAAGAGCTCAGAAACGTCCAGGGCTCGTCGGGTTCGCGTTGACTTTTTCTCGCCCAACCATTATGAATCTTATATTAAAAACTCCAGACGTAGTACCATAGCCTTCCTGAAGCTTTTTTCTCATACTACCGGCAAAAAAAGACAGATAGAAAAACTGAATAATTTTCAGCCGGAACCAAAAGAGCTTGTGACTGAAATGAAGCCAGTTCAAATCAATGCAAGATTGCCCGACGATGGACCTTCGTACATTACGGCGGTTTCACCGAAGAACGAAGTGGTGAGTGATTAGGAAAAACGCTATTCCCAAAGGAAGTGTCAGTCTTTCTCCCTTCAAAAAAGACTCTTTCTTGCCCCTTTTCCTCTGTTTTTTCTACAAAATCGAGTATTTTCAAGACGGAAGAGCAACCAATCAGTCACCAACTACCTCTCTACCCCAACAGTTTGATGCCTTCCTACAGTTGGCACGGGTTACCGCCGTTCAGCTTCACCGACGAGCCCGTCTACTATACCGGTGTTTGAATATTTCCTTTTCAAGTTGTTGTTCTTCAATTAAACCTATTCTCCATTGAAAGTTAATATTCATTCGAATGGAAAAGAATAAATAATTGAAGATTCTCGATTGAATCAACCTCTTTTAATGAAGTGTTGGCGTCTATTTGAGTGAAAAAAAAATGATAAATTATTGAAAGATTATCCAAACGTTTTTTCCATCAAATTTCAAGCCTAATACTTACATAGATGGTTCATCTTCGCTTCCGACCTTTTATTGATCAAAGCGTGGACCACAGTTTATTTTTGGTCCGTTTTTATGCAATCGGTCATCCAGTGTTATCCTGGTTGACTGGTATTTTTGCGAAAAAGTTCCATCTATAGTGTTGAACGTGTATAGCATAATTGTGGTCTGATTGTCTTTTTTGCCTTGCCCGGGCTAAAAAAAACCGCCCATTCTGTTAGCGGAAGGAGGCCGAGCTGGGTGACCGGTGTAGCCGCCATAAATGAGGTTGCCCCCCTTATTACCAGAGGTTGTACTTGAAGAGGAAGCCTTATTCGAGTAAAAATAATAGGTTACCAAAGAAACGAAAAAATTATATTTTCCTTTAAATTTCAATCTATTTTGACAACTACACTAAGCCTATTGGTATACGTTTCGATTTAATGATATATTCAGAGAAATTATTCGGGAAATTAGTTCTTTCATCTCGTTATTCCATACTGTAAAGTCTCCTTTCTTCTACACAGACGCTAGAAACTGCATAAGTTCAATTTAACGTAAAATTCGGCAGACAAAATCGAAAAAAATCCTTTTTCTTCGCGGGTTACTGTATAGACTCCTTTCTTCTACACAGAAGCTAGAAACTGCATACTTTACAATTAAATTTAACGTAAAATTCGGCAGAGAAGATTGAAAAAATCCTTTTTCTCATGGGTTACTGTATAACCTACTCAACACCTCACGGATGCACAAAAATGCATACCAATAAATATTTCCCTTTTTTGGAATCTCGTCATTTTTTCAACAAAAAACCAGAACTGCTGGGAAAACCTAAGTGGCTACTTACGAGATTCCTCAAGGACTACTTGAGGAAGGTACCAACTTTCCGTCCTTAAGTGGCCCCTAGAACGTCAAATCCCTCAAGTGGCCACAAAAATTATGGGTTACTGTATCCTTCAAAGTGCATACACGGACACTCAAAACTGCATACTTTACAATTAAATTCAACGTAAAATTCATCAGAAACTATTCGAAAAAATTATTTTTTTTATGGGTACTGTACAACCTACTCAACACCACACGGATGCACAAAAATGCATACCAATAAATATTTTCCATTTTTTTTTTTGAGGGAAAGATCGTCCTCTAAACGACGAAAAACCCAAGCTGCTGGGAAAACCTAAGTGGCTACTTACGAGATTCCTTAAGGACTACTTAAGACAGGTACAAACTTTCCGCCCTTAAGTGGTCACTAGAACGTTAAATCCCTCAAGTGGCCACAAAAACTGATTATTTTCTTAATGGGTTACGGTATGCCTGAAAGTGCATACACGGACGCTCAAAACTGCATACTTTACAGTTGAATTTAACGTGAAATTCAGCAGAGAAAATCGAAAAAAACCCTTTTCTTCATGGGTACAGCCTACTTAACACCCCACAATGCATACCGATAAATATTTTTCCTTTCTTTCGAAGAAACTCGTTAATCTCATCATTTATACAACGGAAAACCAGAACTGCTGGGAAATAACTTTAGTGGCTACTAAGGGGGTCCCTAAAAACTAATTAGGAAGGTTGCTAATTTTAGCCCCTCAGGTGACCACTGAAACGTCAAATCGCTCAAGTGGCCACAAAAATTATGGGTTACTGTATCCCTCAAAGTGCATACACGGACACTCAAAACTGCACACTTCCGAAAATTCGCGCCTATTCAACTTTTGAAAAAAATTTTCAAGATTTTTTAATTTTCTCTTCCTTCTAAATTTTCGAACTTTCAAATTTTGAATTTTCCCCTTACCCCAGCAAAAGCCTTGAGCTTGTCCTGACAGGTCACCAATTCGGCTTTCTTAAAGACTACTTGAAAAGGTTACTAAATTTTAGCCACTTGGGTCGCCACCGCCCAATCCCTGAAGGGGTCACTAATCTTATCATTTTCATTCTGGGTTACTGTATCCTTCAAAGTGCATACACGGACACTCAAAACCGCATACTTCCGAAAATTCGCGCCTATTGAACTTTTGAAAAAAAAAATTTCAAGATTTTTTAATTTTCTCTTCCTTCTAAATTTTCGAACTTTCAATTCTAATTTTTTTCCCTTACCCCAGCAAAAAGCCTTGAGCTTGTCCTGACAGGTCCCCAAGACGGCTTTCTTAAAGACTACTTGGGAAGGTTACTAATATTTAGCCTCTTGGGCCGCCACTAGAACGTCAAATCCCTCAAGTCGCCACAATAATTATGGGTTACGGTATGCCTCAAAGTGCATACACGGACACTCAAAACTGCATACTGCCGAAAATTGGCGCCTACTTGAATCAAAAAAACATAAATTCAATCAATTATTGTATTTTTCTCCCGTTTCCATCCCTTTTAAAATTTTCATTTTTTCTCCTTACCCCAGCGAAAGCCTTGAGCTTGTCCTGACAGGTCACCAATTCGGCCTGAAATTCGAAAAATTTTACTTTTTTTATTAAGAATAAAAAAACCTCAAAAAAAATTTTTGGCTTGTTCCTTCTGTTTATCCAACTCAGCCGTCGTTTCGTTGAGCGATTTCTGGGAAAAAAATCCAAAAAAATTGCGAAATTTTCTACGAATTACCTTCAAATCGTCCATTTCCTTTTTTTCAGCTTCATCAGTTCCTCTGAAATTCTGATTTATTTGAAAAATTTTAGAAAAAAATGGAAAAAACCTCTAATAGAAGCATCGTTTTCCACGTGTTCTTTCGGTACAGCTGGACGAATTTGGCATTCATTCAGGGATTTCTGAAAAAAATTTCATTTTTTTCTGAGATAGAGATGATTTAATCACTTGCTCACGGCTTCATTATCAGGATTTTTGAGCATTTTTCTAAAAAAATCCCTTGAAAGTCATTTTTTTTGTTTTCTTCAATTGGACGATTCCACCTGAAGACAGTAAATTCGAAAAAACTGCCAACCTTTGAAAAAGTCTCAAAAAATAAAAAAATACAGATAATTTCGTAGTAAATTCACCTTTTATTTGAGGCCTAGAGCTAGGAAAGTTCAAAAAAATTGTGTATTATCCCAAATTTTTTTAACACATTTCTCCGCGAAAGTTTTTTTATTTTAATCTAGATTAAGGACATTGAAAGAAAAAAAATATCTGATATCTTTTTCTCTTTGTCTCCAAGAAGAACATTGAAAAATTGGTACTCAGCATAACTAAAGTGGTCCCTATAGGGGTCAGGGGGAGAAAAATCCCTGAAGAGGAACAAAAGTGCTATCTATAGGAATAAATATAAGGCTTTTTCCTAGTGGAATTTCGGGGTCTGAATCCCGAGCCCCTAAAGCTCAAGTCGTCCCTATCGGGGTCTTCAAATTCTTTATAATGATTTAAAAGTTTAAATGACAAAAAATGTTTGTTTTCATAGAGTTCATAACAACCAACGACTAGACCCTTAGGGCCAATTTTCTAAGCTTCCGACCTTGTGGCCCCTAGAGGGAAACCTTCAAGGGCCTTCAAAATTTCCCCAGTAGGGACCACTCTGAAGCTCAGTAGGTTGCCGTTTTAATGTCAGTTCCTGAACTAGTTTTTGAAGAAGGGATAATTCGAAATCTAAGAAAATTTTTAGTGGCCACTATAGAGGCTCGCCAAGGACTACTTGGAGAGGACACTGTAGTGGCCACTAAACCAACCTCTACAGTGGTCATTTTTCCGTTTTAGTGGCCCCTTCAGTAGTTTTTCATCCAATATTCCTTACAGTAACTCTGATAATTTCAAAACAAACAGATTGGACCATTTATGTTGATCCATTAGCCCCTAAAGTGGCCACTAAAAATTTCAGTGATCTAGTAGTAGCACTTAGACCTCTGTAGTGGCCACTAATTTTAAACCCCTTAAGTGGCCCCTAATTTGACTACTATAGTGGCCACTAAAAATTTTCCCAGTTCCTTTTTTTCTCAAAGCTTTTCCAAGAGCTTCGCCAAAACCTTCCACAAACAAAAATTTTAAAAAAAACCCCATTTTTTACAGTCAGAAGAAACTTTTTGGAGAAAAAAACCTGGCAATCGTCCAATTTAACCCCGCAATTTGTGGCCGCCGTTCTCAGGTTCGGAACGATTTCTATAAAAAAAATATTTATTCAAAATCTCAAGAAAATCACACAAAATCTGCTAAAAATAATGAACCTTCTCGAAGTTTCCTGCTCGTTTCTTCGTCCCTCAGCGACTTTTGCTCCATTTTCTCCAGCTTTTTCTCGACCATCTGCTTGTGGTCCCATATTACTGAAAAAATATCGGAATTCATAAAAATTTATCGAGAAAGATGAACATTTTAATCGAGCCTTCAATCCAGCCGACTGTTGTTCGCACGATTCCAAAACGTTTTCTGAAAGAATTCAATTGAAAATGAGGCATTCCGTGACATTTTTACTGATTTTATTCAATCACCATAAGGCTTACAAATCCTCGGAGAACGCCGTTTTCCATAATTAGTGCAGTTTGAAGATTCAAAAAGATCTTAGGTCGAAGTAAAATGTATTTCTAGGAATTTCCGCTATGTTCTGAGTGGAGCAGGAGCACTTCAGCAAAGTTCAATCAAAAAAATTCAACCGGCGGGGGCTAAAAAAATGTTATCTTATCAGATTTTGTTAGATTTGATTTGCTTCAACTCCACCCTGACTAGAAATAATCGCAACATTCAAAACCACCCCCCAAATTTTACGGCAACCTGGAGCAAATCCAACTTAATCAAAGGTCTTGAGGCGAAAACACTTTTTCAACCTTACTTCAGGTCGTTCGAGCCTTTCCAAAAAAACATCTTTTGAGTAAGATACTAATACAACTTGAGAAAATGTCTCCGTTTTTCCTTTACAAGTGAAGATTTTTCCGGGCCAGAAAAATACTCAACAAACTGAAGAGTGCTAGAGTGACTTCTTTAGAAGTGAGGAGGAGGGAACCCTAAACGGTCATCGGGACAAAAAAGTGTCCCCTATAGATGTGAAACTCAGGTGGCCACTACAGGGGTCTTCAAAGGCATAACTAAAACCACTATAGGGGCAACTTAGCGCAACAGGTTGTGTGCCTGTCTACGGTCCACAGGGTCACAAGTTCGATCCCCGCCCCGACCCAACCAAGGGGTTTAAGAAATGTTGGTAGTGGGAAACCACGACTTCAAAATCCCCAGCCGTCACACACAAGGACGGATATGTCACTGGAGCCAGTCCACTGATTATCATCAAATTAGGACCTCGGCTAATCGACTTGAGGCGCCGACGCCGCTCAAGCGGTACAAAGGCGTAGGAAGAAGAAGAAGAAGACTATAGGGGCAACTTGTGCAAGCTTCAGTGCCCCTCAGGATGGTATAGTAGCTAGAAATGATATTTCAAGTGTCCCTAAAGGGATCACTCTAGCCTTCCAAGTAGCTATTTCATTTTTATTTTAGGATTCACATTTTCCCCAACCCTCACCCTGACTAGAGATAATCGCCGAGTAGGTGATCTGCTGACTATGGTAGGCATAAAGGAAGAAGATCAGGACGAAAACGACGAAAATCCGATTGCGAAGCGTCGAGGCGGACTGGCCGCCGGCCAAAAATCGCATCCAACCTTTGGATCGCCAAACCCAAAAAGATCGTCAGAAGGCCGTCTACATCACCCGATATGTTCCGTGGAGCGAATCTGCAGAAATATGTGCTAATAATAAATTTTTTGAATCTTATTCTTGACGAAAAACGGATGAGGAAATTCTATGCTGCCCTTAAAAAATTGTGAATGGAACTACAGCGAATGAGAAACGTTCTTTAACAAGAAAATACTTTAAAAAAAATCAATCAATTATTTTTATTTCGTAAATCGAGATGATATGTGTCTACAATTTGATAAAACTAGGCTGGATGGTACTTTAGGAAACTATGGTTAGATATCAGTCGGAAAAAGGCGTCATATTAGAGTTTTCAATTAAAAAAAAGTCCTATTTTTTCAGGCTTGAAGTTGCGGACCAGACCATTAACACGTTGTCTCTGTAACTGCCAAAAACAACGGGTACAAAAAAAATTTCATTTTTGTGATGACCCATCATCAGAAATGCAGAACAAACTTTTTGAGCCATTCCCTCTTACTGTAGCCGGGTTACGGTAGGCAGGTTGGCACCTGCGTATCTAAGTATTAAAGAGTTTTTACTAGGCAAGTGATATATCAATCGATAGATAATCCAATTTCCGGAACTTTTACAGCACATATCATTCTGGATTACTGTAGGAATTTTCGAGTTACGGTAATTTTTGTTCTTTAAAAGTCGATTTTTTGGTCACTCTGGCCGTCGGCATAGAATCGCATCGTAATTAATTCCATGGAATATGTCTTGTACGCGCGCAACTCGGCAACCTGCCTACCGTAACCCGGCTACAGTAAGAGGGAATGGCTCAAAAAGTTGGGTCCGCATTCCTGATGATGGGTTATCACACTGGATGAAGTTTCATCAAAATCAAAAAATTAAATTTTTTTTGTACCCGTTGCTTTTGAAACTTTTTGAAATATACAGAGACAGCGTGTTAAATTATGAAAATGTAGAGTCTTATAGTTTTACAACTTCACTAAAAGGCCAAAAGCGGAGTTTTTCAAGACCGAACAAGATTGATTTTTGAAATCTGAGCGTTCCAATTTTTTTCGGTACCCTCAACCAAACCTTATCAAAAAAATTAGCAATCTTTTTCAATCAACTGATGAAAAACATAAATGGAATGAGTAAGCCTGGCGTCAGCCAAGTCCCTCCCCCTCCCCCTCGGAGCCAAAGCCAAGTCCCCCCTTTTTTTACACGTTTCTAGACTAAATCAACCACGCTGAATCCGAAAAATCAAAAAAATCACAATGATTTTTTTGGATTTGAAAAAAACTTTTTTTAATAGTGCATTTAATGAAATATCTCAGTTCGCACACCTAAAAAAATTTTTAAAAAAATTTGTCAAGTCCTCCCCCTCCCCCTTTGCGGTCGAGACCGAGGTTATTCTAAGTATGGATGTAAACCACGAAATCGGAAATAAAAATTACTCCCTTTGAAGGAGCTAATTAATTTTTTGGCAATGATAATTACTCTCTTAAAGGAGCTAATTCATTTAGAACTTTTAAACTTCGGGCAAAAAGAAAAATCTCCTTCCAAGCTTCAAAAAAGATCATCTAGGGGTCCTCAACAGACCTATTCCACCTACTTTAATAACAATATGCTTAAAAAGTAGTCGAAAAAAATCAAGAAGATTCAAAAATGATCCTCTTAGGCTATGAAAAAAATTGATCAAAAGCTTTTTTCCCACCATTTTGGGAGCTTTGAAACATTTTCAACTTTTCTAAAAAAATCCCTAAAGGTTTTTTTATTTTTCAGTTCTACCTATGATAAAACTCTTCGACGCACCAAATAAAGATCTTGAAAGCCTAAACTTAAGAAATTCACTAGTTTTCGAAAGCTCAAAGTCTCAGAATGGCCCATTCAGCCGACGTTTTATGGTTTTCTTAAACTTTGAGAACTTCTTTCTGAATTAATAGGGAAATTCAGCCTATCTTCTTCTAGTTCAGAAAAAATAGCCGATTAAAAAAATCCAAAGTTATAATCAAAATAAACAAAAAAATTAAAAATTTTCATAAACTTGAGCATAATTTATTTGACCTCATTTGCACTGGAAAAATGATAGAAACAATTTTCGAGCCGTTGAAAAAATAGAGGGGCACTTCAAAGGTTCAAATGTTCTTATTAAAGTAATTTAAGTTTCTAGAAGTTCAAGAAAGCTCCTGAAAATGTCCATTTCAAGAAAATAATCATAAACGTCTATTTTATCGGTATTTTTCCGCACATTATTCTAGAGATCCTTCAATAAATCTTCAAGAAAATGCTTCAAAAGCCCAAAAAATGACGAATGAAAAAAAAGGCTAGAAAAGAAAAATAGTCACGCGAATGTGAATATTCGCCAAGCTGTCAGGGGTGCCTAATCCAACTTTTCCTAACATAGAAGGAAAAAAGAGAAACGCAATTATAGTCAGAACCGATCAAATAGCCCTGCCAAAAAGCTTCAAAATAAGAAATTGTCACGAAAAATAGGGTTCTAGCAACAAAAAAGAGCTCATTTTCGAGCAAGTGATTTTTTTTCTAGCGTCTAGTTGAAATTGAAGTATTAATTTAACATTTAAGAAAGGGAAAATTCGAATTTTGAAGAATATATCGACCAAAAAACTTGATTTCATTCAAAATTACTCAGTTTAAAGGTGCATATTTCATAAAATCTGCCTTGAACTATACAAATTCCATAATTTTTGTACAAATTAGGAAAATTCCACTCAACTTTTACCATATAAAAAGTTTTTAACAACTTTTGAGATGCCAAAAAGCTTCAAAATAAGGAGTTGCCATGAAAAATAGGGTTCTAGCAACAAAAAAGAGCTCATTTTCGAGCAAGTGATTTTTTTTCTAGCGTCTAGTTGAAATTGAAGTATTAATTTAACATTTAAGAAAGGGAAAATTCGAATTTTGAAGAATATATCGACCAAAAAACTTGATTTCATTCAAAATTACTCAGTTTAAAGGTGCATATTTCATAAAAATCTGCCTTGAACTATACAAATTCCATAATTTTTTTGTACAAATTAGGAAAAATTCCACTCAACTTTTTACCATATAAAAAAAGTTTTTTTAACAACTTTTGAGCTGAAAAAAATTGGAATTTTGACCCTTCAATCAACACATAACCATTGATTTTATGAACCTAAAGCTATTTTTCTTCGAAAAATAGAAATTTGAATAGACAAAAATAATTCAAATGCGCTCTTTTGACCTTTATACTGAGAAAAACAAGCCATAGTACCCAGAAAGGTCGAAATTTCATCGAAGTTAAGTCAAAATATTTTCAAATCAAGGCTAAAAATTCTAAAACTTGGAATCCAAAAATTTCCAATGCGAAAAAACTCAACTACACCTCAAAACCTTATGAAAAACCCTCAAAAAGCTTAAAATCGAACGAAAAAGCTAGGAAAGTCTCGGAATCTTCAACAAAGACGACATAAGTTACAAGAAAAATCAGATTTTTTCCTGCTGGTTTCAAAAATTCTGTTGAACAGAATCGATTGAATCCGCCAAGTACAGCCTAAGCGTGGGAAAATGGTCCAGAAAGCTCAAATTAACTGTAAAAAACCTAAAAAGGTCTCTGTGTGTGAGAAATAAAACATTTTGATTTAAAAAAAAAAAAAAATCCGGACATAAATGATTTATTAAATCGTTGAAAAAAAGCTATAATGGTCGATTAAACTTTCTCAAATAACTCTAAATCATTGAAAAATTGCCCAAAAAGCTCAAATTTCTTCATAAAAATCTAAAGAGGTCTCAAAATCCAGGCATAAAGGATCGATTAATTCTCTCAAAGACCCCTTAACCATTGGAAAATCGCCCAATAAGCACACATTAATTGTGAAAATCCAAAAAGGTCTTGAAATCCGGGCATAAATTATCGATTAAATCGCCCAAATACAGCTCAAGAATGGGAAAATCGTCTAACAGGCTCAAATTTATTATAACAAGCCCAAGAAGGTCTCAAAATTCCAACTCAAATGCTTAATTAATCGTCCGAAAAACTCCAGTGGTTGACTAAGTTTTCTCAAATACAGCCAAAGTATAGGAAGAATCACAAAAAAATGTAAAAATTATTGCAAAAAGCTCAAAAAGATCTGAAAATCCGGGCAAAATGACCGGTTAATATTCTCAATCACCCCTTAACCATTGAAAAATCGCCCAAAAAGCTCAATTTTTTTAATAAAAGCTCAAAATAGATCTCAAATTATTGACAAAAGTAACTGATTAAATCGTCCAAGAAGCTCAAACGGTTGTTTAAGTTTTTCAAATACCCCTAAACCATTAAAAAAATCGCCCAATAAACTTAAAAATTAATGTAAAAAAATCCAAAGAGATCTCGAAATCTCTGAATAAATGGTTTATTAGCTTCCTAAACAAGGCCAAAGTATAGGAAAAGTGGGACGAGAATCTAAAATTTATTGTAAAAAGCCAAAAAAGGTGTCGAAATCTCGTCATTATTGACCAATTGAATTACCCAAATACAGCCTAATTATAAGAAAATCGTACAGAAAGCTTCAAAAGTCCTCAAAATCTCTTAATAAACAATCGATTAAATCGCCCAAATACAGCCTAAGTATAGGGAAAATCGCTCGAAAATCTAAAAATTATTGTAAAAAGTCTAAAAAGGTCTCAAAATGCGGGCATAAATGATTGATTTAATCGTCCAAATCAGCTTAACCATAGAAAAATCGTACAGAAAGCTCAAAAAGGCCTCAAAATCTCTGCCGAAATGAATACTAGAATTCGTAAAACTCGGAAACAGCGAACAAAACTTGAAAGCCAAGCCCCGCCGCCGCGTCCTCTCGTTCGTTCATTTCGATTCATCGGGCCACCGAATAAATTGAATTACACCAAACATTGGACCCTCTTCAACGATAGGAAAGACTCGAGTTTCCTTCGTTTTTGAACTTTTTCGAAGTTAAAAATTTTTGGATTTTCCAGATTAAAAATTTTTCATTGAGCCAGTCATTTTTGAGAAAAAAATCTGTATTTTGATCAAAAATAAAAAAATTTTAAAGTCAATTTAATCGCTACGAAAAAAATAGAAAAAAAGTACAGGAAAAAAATTTTTGAGAAGGAATTTCGACATAAAAAGAACGAAAAAAATGGAATCTCTATGGTGATAGTTGCAATAAAAAAAGCCATTTCTTGTGAATTTATCTTTCGCAAATCGCTAATTTTTTTCTTTTCCTATAAGAAATCTAGAGAAAAATGGTTCATTTATGACAAAACTGTGAAAAAATTGCACAAAACCAGCGGAAAAGTCTCAAAAATTGAACAGTTTCTAGCTCAAGAAAAAAAAATAGTAGAAAATGCCTGAACCTCTTCTTTTCGCACACTATTTCGTTAACCTTGTAACGACTCTTTCATAATATTTTCTTAAGATAGCAATAAATGAGCTAAAAATGGGAAAAGCTGAAAAAAATCTCTGAAATCTCTAATTTTGCCCACTATCTCGTTAACCGTGTAACGACTTTTGATATTGAATTATGATCCTGGTAAAATGACTAAAAGATGAAAAATCGGAAAAAAAACTTCTAAAATCTCTCATTTTGTTAAATCGAGCAAAAATCTTACCAAATCGTGCAAGTATAACCGTGAATGAACTACAAATCGAAAATCCACAGAAGAACGCTCAAAATTAGTAGTAAACTCAAATCGTACAAAAATAGCGGTGAATGAACTATGAGTCCAAAAGCCCGAAGAGCAACTAATAAAAACCAAAAGCGCGTCACCTCTGCGCCAAGTCCGCAGACACCGCAACAGAAGTCCGCAAACGCCATTCCGACCGGCTGGGGAGTTAGATTCGCAGGGTCCAGCCGGGGGGTTACGGTAGAGCAGCGCGTGTTGACGTCGGACAGAAATGAAGAGAGAGCGGGTGAAACGGGGAGGTTATAGAGAGGGCTCGCGGCGAGACAGTGTTCGGGATGCAGAGAGGCAGGATTTACTCAAAATGCGGTGGGGGTGCAGTTGGCGGAAAGTTGTTCTTGGCTTCTTATTCCTCGGAAATTAAGCTCCTTTTTTGGATTTTTCCTTTTTCAGTTCATTCATCGATGGTTTTAGATTATATTTATCGATTTTCTCTACATTAGCAGCGGAATATTGTTCAGAAAAATGAGGTTTCGAAGTCTTTTTTTAAAAAGTAAACAGAAATTTAGTGAAGTCCCATTGATTTTAGTAAGATTCCCAGCTGATTTTATTTCTAGAAAATCTCAATTATTTTCAAATTCTGTCTTTTTCTGATCCAATACATCGATTGGAAAGCTCAATTGATTTTCGAAAAATAGCTTTTTTTCGAATTTTTCAAAACATCTTGAATTTTCAAACAGATTAAATTGGAGTTTTAGTGAATTCCAATGGAAATAAAGCTTAATTTTCGAATTTCCCTTTATTTTTTTACTTGAGCTGGGAAAGTCATGATTTTTTTCTGAATAAGAAAAAAATATTTGAATCCGTCAAGGTTAGAAAAATTATAATCTTTATTGAATTTTACAAATCTTCTTTTGATTCAAATCAATTTGATTAAAAATTATCTCCAAAAAAATGTTTTTTTATTTTTTTCTTTTTTTCATTTTTTTCCTATGCTAATTCGATAGCTTCGATGAATCCGACCTTTTAAATTAAACAATTGATTGGCAAATTTTAAAGAAATCAGTCATAAAACGTCAATTTCGATCCATTTTTTTACCTTAATTATGCACTTTTGCATTGAAAATGACCATTTCTGGCTCAAAAAAATTAAAAAAATCGATATTTTTAATATTGATCTATAAGCTGGAAAAATAAGCGTTTTTTTCTATTTTAAACTCCAAAAAAAGCTTCAGTTTTTTTCTCACGCCCTTTTTAACACTGTGAGGAACGTAGAAACTTTGAAAAAGTTTCAATTTTCCCATTTTTTTTTATTTAGAAGGTCTCAAAAATCAAGAAGATTCGATATAATTTATCATTTTTAGTATTAAAAGAGCTGTGTCCTAATTTCAAACCGACAAAAAATTCACATTTTAATCTTCTCTAATGCTTCTCAAGGTATAAAAAAACTTGAAAAATATACATTTCGAGCCAAAAAAATAACGCTTTGTCCGCTAGAAATGGATTTTTTTAAAAATTCAAATAAAAATTTCTAAAAAAACTTTCCCACACTTTTTTTTACACCGTGCGACCATAAATAAAGCGTCCAAATTCATAAAAACTATGATTTCTCCAATTTTTCTTCAGAAAAAGGGAATTTTCGTTGTGCTTCTTTATTAGGAGGACCCGAAAGACAGAAAAATCGATCGGGCCGGCGTTCTTAATGGTTATTTAGTTTCGAAACGGCCGAAATTTCTATTTCAGAACAAAAAACGAAACTTTGATTTTTTGGACACTTCTCCCAGTACAGAAACCGTTATTAATTTTTTTATCAAGCCGAAATTTTGTCTTTCCTTGTTGAATCCCTGATTTTTATTCGAAATTCGGAGCTTCGAGCTTTTTGGAAGCTTCTGACAGTACATAAGTTCTTGAGAAAAGGTAAATTTTTAATTTATATGTTTTAAATGATCACTTTTCGACTTCAAACCCAGAAAATGGAGGTTTCTAAAGGTTTTTAAAATGTTTCCCGTACAATTTTTCAAACCATCCGACTATAAATAAAGGATCAAACTACATAGAAGCCTCTGAATTCTCAATTTTTCCCATAAAAAGGTGGATTTTTCGCTTCAATTTTTCATAGGTTATAATATTATTTATTTACAGGCAGAACAAAAATAACATGTACAGAAAAAAAGAGAAAAAAATTTGGCATTCAGCCTGAAATAAATAAATAAAAGGCACTTGAGGCCCTCACGAGCCTCTGAGCCAGTAATGAAAGAATAAGAGGTGAGGATTGCGCAAAGGTAAAAATAAGTGAATGGTAAAAGAAAGCATTATAAGTTATGACACAGTGTAGCACAGGTGAATGGGGAATTTAATTGTTTGTAATGATATAGACGCGCATAAGATGGATTAGAGTAGGGCTGAAGCACGGGTACCTGGTTCAACGGAGTCTGCTGGGAATAGATCCAAAAAGGAAATTGTTATCGAGGGATAGTAACAAAGACCTGAAACGATCTGGAGAAACATTGAGGTTTCCCAATGTAGCCAGTTTATTCCAAAGAGGGATGAACGTCTCAAAGAAATTTTCGAAACGAATCCCTACTCTGATAAGACGTGATGGAGCACGTACTGAATTTGATCTCCTGAAAAACACTGTGAGAAACTGGCAAATGACTCTCCTTAATATAGATTTTTATGTAGTGTTCTTAGACAAAAATTCGACTCGTCTTCTAAAAAAAGAGTTTGTGTTAATCTGAGCTAACCTGTCTTCATAACTAGAAAAACCTAATGTTTGATCTCATGAATGTTTGGCGAGTAAATTGACGGAAGATGTTTTCGAGGGTGTAAGATAGTTCTGAAGCTAGGGGGGACTGAACAACTCACAACAGTAGTCCATATAGGGAGCAACGTAAGTAAGAAAAATCCGGCTCATTAGAGCGGGAGACAGGGCGCGGAACGCTCTGATGATTTGTTTACTTTTTTTAGTTTGCATAAGGCTATAACTTTACGAAGGTGAGGCTCAAATGTTAGTTTGTTATCAATAAGAATGCCTAGATCGCGAACAGCTTCCGCGGAAGAGATATTTATATTATTTATAGTATACTGAACATGAGGGTTGCTACGGCCTAGATGGAGAAGGGTGGTTTTGTGTTCGGCCAGGGGAAGACCCCATTGACTAGACCATTGGATAACGTCGTTGAGACCTTGCTGAAGCGCTATAGGATCGTCAGAAAAAAATTTTTAAGATCATCAGCAAAAAGATAAGCCTTTTACATTATCAGATAAGTTGCTGATAATGTCATTAATGAATATTATAAATAGGAGTGGGCCGCAGACTGTTCCTTGCAAAACTCCAGATGTAATGTTAAAAGCCGAGCTAGATATGATACCTTCACTAATGACAAATGATTTTCTGTTGGATATGAAGGATGCGAACCAGCTAATAAGTTTTTGGTCGAAACTGAAATCTTGGAGCTTGGCGAGCAGAAGGTTATGGGGGAGCATGTCGAAGGCTTTGAGAAAATCGATATATACTACGTCTACGTTATTACCAAGAGCTAGGGATCTCTTCCAGTGAGTGATGCAATCGAGAAGAGCTAGTTTACAAGAACGATGATTTAAAAAGGAACAATTGATTTTGAAGAAAATGGCTAAATGGTCAGTGTAGATAGGAGGATTTTTGGAACAAAGATCAAAAAATAAGTCGGGGCGGTCAGTGAAGATTAAGTCGAGTAATGATGGGTTGCCGTTGGAAGATAACCTGGTTGGGAAGTTGATGATTTGATTGAGCGAATTTTGCGTGCAGAAGTTGATTAAAGGATGAGTTGAAGTGGATATGTCAAGATCCCAGTTAATATGAGGAGCATTAATGTCGCCTAGTACGACATTGTTAGAAAAAGCTAAGTTTCTACTCAAAGTGTCAACAAGGTTTTGGGTCTCTGCAATATTGCAGTCGGGTGGTCTGTAGGTTAATAAAAATCTGATTTTAGTAGAGGCGGAGGAACTATTGACGTTAGTAAGGAGGTCAAAAGCCAGTATCTCACAAAAGTGTCTGCAGTGACCAACCTCGGTGCCGCAGTCCACCTCGCTAACCAGCATGGATTTCCGGTACATCAGGAGAACCCCGCCGCCGCCAGTTCGTCGGTGGTCATTGCGACGGTCCGCTCGAAAGAAATTGTAGGAGTTGTTAGTTAGAAATGAGTCTAGGTGAACTTCGTTGAAAAAGGTTTCCGTGCAAAAACAGAGGTCGATTTGATTGGCTGTGATATAATCTAATAAATTGAGAAACTTAGTATTGGAAACCAGTGACCTACAGTTAATTAGAATACATTTAATAAAGTTTGAGGACTCACACGCGGAGATGGAAGAGGAAGTAGAATTGGGAGGCAATTGGCGAGGGCAAACGACCTAGGCGGAAACGGAGTTATCAACGACGACAGCAACGGCAGGAAGGACGGGAACTGGCTGTCGACCAGCGGCTGGCTGTTGACCAGCTTGAGATGGCTGTTGGCCACGAATGCCATTGGGCTGTTGACCCGCAGCTGACACTGGCTGTTGACCAGACTGAGCTGTCGCTGGCTGTCGACCAGACTGTACTGAAGCTGGCTGTTGACCAGACGGGGCTCGCGCTGGCTGTCGACCAGACTGTACTGCGGCTGGCTGTTGACCAGATTGAGTAGTTCGGCGTGGGCGGCTGGTGCTTGACGGCTGTGGAACAGATTGGATGTTCGGCTGTTGACCGATTCTGTTTGGACGAAGAACAGACGAGAAGAGACGAGGACCACGTGGGCGACCACGACCACGACCACGACCACGACCGCGACCACGAACGCGACCGCGAGGTGCGGCCGGAGCTGAGACATTCGAGTTGAGTGTATCGGCAGAGATATTGCTATCGATCTGCATATGTGTCGGCGCTGGACAGAGGTTGATATTGGTGTGTCGAGGCCTCTTTGCCAAGGGCGAGGTCACAGGTGTTTGTGTTTGTTTAGGGTGACCTTGGAAAGGCTTGGGATTCTTCAACTCGATGATAGTGAGATCCCTGACGACGTATTTATGAAGACCGATTGCCGCGTTATTTTCGTAGGCTGTACGACGGAGAGAGTATAAAAGATTCAGCTCCATTTGTGTCATGTCTCTTCTAATTCTGGGATTAGGTTGACCCGAAAAGAGCGGAGAAGATGGGTGTGAGGAGGCAAAAAATGCACTGTAGAAGCCCTCAATGAAACGATCTCTGTCTTTGGAGGTAGGAAAGGAGACTTTCAAGGGACGGCAGTGATTTTGACAGTCGTGACGGAAGACCGAGATCGCGTCGGGTAGGTTGAGTGTTCGAGTTATATCGTTTACGAACTGCCTGTCGAAATCGTCCTGGTTATGATTGTGAGAATCCGGCACGCGCTCGATGACAGAGTAGCAGCTTTTTGCAGCCATCTGAGAAGCAGTTCTGGCGATGAGGATGTCGCGAGAGGCTTCGTGATACCCAGGGACAGTATCGAGGATGTTTCGAACTGAGTCGTCAAATCGAGATGAGGCGCCGGAACGGTTGTACTGACGATTTGCGTGAGGATGGGCCATCGAGGATGAGTTGGAGAGCCAAGAAATTGAGCAAGAAGAGCTTCAATGGAAGAAAGACGATCACTGAGTGACGCGACTGATTGATAAATGTCGTTGGAAGGCTCGGGCGGTTGACCAGGCGAATTCGAGTTATAATGATTGCCACTGGATGAATAAAATTGATGAGAATCAGCATCACGTGGACGTTTGGCCATAGCGCCAGATAACCGACCGCTCGCCGTGAGGAAAGGGCGCGGAGTGAGGAAAGGGCGCGGAGTGAGGAAAGGGCGCGGAGTGAGGAAAGGGCGCGGAGTGAGGAAAGGGCGCGGAGTGAGGAAAGGGCGCGGAGTGAGGAAAGGGCGCGGAATGAGGAAAGGGCGCGGAGTGAGGAAAGGGCGCGGAGTGAGGAAAGGGCGCGGAGTGAGGAAAGGGCGCGGAGTGAGGAAAGGGCGCGGAGTTCATTAAAAGAACCCGAAAGCCAGCCTTAGTATTCTGAAACAATTATTTTTTTCAATTTCAAAAAAATTAAAAAAATAATTTTTTTGAGCTTTTCAGAAGCTTTTCACAGTGCAATAGTTGATGAAAAACCCGAAATTCGAGCCAAAGATTGATTTTTTTAAAAGTTCGAATAAGATCTTTAAAAACTCTCCAACATCTTTTTCGAGACCATTAAGGGGATCAAACTTAATAGAAGCCTCTAAATTCTCAATTTTTTTTTTTCGAAACAAAGAGGATTTCAGTCTTGATTCTTCACCGGAAGAACCCGAAAGTCAGCTTTAGCGTTCTAAAATAATTATTTCTTGATTTCAAACTTGAAAACAAACATTCTGAGCATTTTTAGCGTCTCTAACATTGCCATAATAGATGTCAAAATACAAACTTTCAGCTAAAAAAATTAATTTTTTTAAAAATTCGAATGAGATTTTCTAAAAAAATCTAGCACACCTTTTTTTAATCTCATGAAAGAGTCCAAACTTAATAGAAGCCTCTAAATTCTCAACTTTCTTCAGAACAAAGAGGATTTTTGCCTCGATGCTTCAACGGGGAGGACCCGAAAGTCAGTAGAATCGATCGGTCAATAATCTTTTTTGTTTCAAATTCATTTTTTTGTTTGCTTATTTTAAGCTCAAAAAAATTATTTATTTGTGATATTCGGAAGCTTCTCGCCCTTTCAATAAGAAATATTTGAAGTCGAAAAATGACTATTTATCTGTTGGTTAAAATTAATTTTAAAAAAACTCTCCCACCCTTTTTTTAACATCATGAAGAGGATCAAACTTAATAGAAGCTTTTAAATTCTCAATTTTCTTCAGAACAACGAGGATTTTTCGCCTTGATTTTTCCACCGTGCCCCAAAGTCAGTAGAATCGATCGGTTCGGCGTTCATAATCGCTTTTTGATGTTGTTATTCTGCACGCGCGCTGTTGCCAACGCACACGTGATATAAAGAATAGTAATAGCTTGGCGTGGCGCCATTTCGGCTCGTTTTTTTGATGGGCCGAAAAAAAGAAAAAGAAACGTTCCTTTCTTTATTTACTTTTTGAAATTGAACACATTTGCGTGTTGAAACTATGCACGCGAGACATTTTTTTGACAGTTTTTACGATTTGTTTTCAAATTATATATATTTTTTTGAGGAGCTAATTTCTTGGAAGAACTGGCAAAAAAATGCTCTTTGATGAGCCAAAAAAATTTTTTTTTCCTTTTTTTGTGTGTTTTGAAACTACTTACACGATCTGCATTTTTATGATTTTATTTTTTTGAGAATTATCTACTTTTCTGAGAAGCTAGTTTCTCGGAGGAACTGGCAAAAAAATGCTCTTTGTAATTTTTTTGAAGAGCGTAAAAAAATGATTTTTTTCGTTTTTTTGTGGTGCGTTTTGAAAGTACTACAAAAAAATTTTTCACATTTTTTTCCATGATTTTTTTATTTCCAAACAAAACCATCTTTTCAATATCCCATTATGAAGAAAAATTCGTCAAAAAAATGGCCTTTTTTTCTAAATTTTAACAAGTTCTAAAAAAATTTCGCCTCAAGACCTTTCAAAAAAATCTTTCCATGCTCCAACCTCCGTCTCATTAGATTTATGAACAGCCTCCTTAAAAAAATAATCCAATTTCCCTTTTCTTCTCAAATTAGTTCATTTAATTAGCCTTTTTCTTCTCAAAAAAAAAAATGGAAAAAGTTCCTTCTACTCATCCGATACATAAAAATAGACGATGTTTACAGAAAAAAAAGATTCTCAGAAATCGCTGCTAATTCCTCTCTTTGTCGAGAAGAGAATGATCATATAAACTAGTAAAATCTTGTCGCGAGGAAAATAAAATAATCCCGAGGAAACCTGCTCATTTTTCTCATCCCCTCTAGTTCAAATTTCTTCCGAATATTAACTAGAATCCGCAGTTTGAACTAGGAAAAAAACAATATTTTTTTATTCAATATTATTTTTTTAAATGATGGGGACAATGAAATTAAAGCACAGTCCAGGTTCTTATTAAACCCAAAAATTTTATGCGAATGAACTTTTTTTGACTAAAATTATTCATTGTCTTTCTATAACCAATGCAAAACCTACAATAAGAAAGTATAGTTCTTCAGAAATACCCACATTCAAAGGAACTATAATTCAAAAAAATTGGGAAACTTCATCTTTCACTTCAAAATGGTTATAGGAAAAAAATTTTTGGATTCAAATTTTCTACAGAAAGCTCAACCATTCCAACCCGTATCCTTCAGAAAACCTCAAAAAAGTGTATTTAAATGAACTATACTTCAAAATTTGCTAATTACCTTTCTCAAATCTCCACCCACTGTGGAAACGAAACCATTAAGCTCATAAAGATGGCCTATTTTCCAAATTTAACCTGAAATTCTCTACTCAAAACTTAAGCAGAGCATTCTAGATCCTTTAAAAAATCTCCCAAAGGTTTATTTGAATAAACTATATTCCGAAATTTGCTAATTTCCTTCTCAAACCTCTAACCAACGTGAACACGAACCCATTAAGCTCAGGTGGTTGATTATTTTTTTAAATTTAACCTAGTTAATTTTTTTATTTTTTTCCCCAATCCCTAACCAACATAGAAACCATCCCATGAAGCTCATGAAGATGGGCTATTTTGCGAATTTAACCTAGGTCACTTCGATTATCACCCCAATCTCTAACCAACCCTAAAAAATGACCCATGAAGCTCATTCAAATGGACTATTTTTCAAATTTAACCCGAATTATTTTTTAAATTCGCTTAAATCTCCACCAAACGTGAACACGAACCCATGAAGCTCATGTGGACGGCCGATTTTATAAAACTGACCATAGGTCTTTTTTATTTTTCCCCAATCCCTAACCAACATGGAAACTAACCCATGAAGTGTGTACGGCCTATTTTTAAAATTTGCTCTGGATTATTTTTTATTTTTGCCCCAATCTCTAACCGAAACGAACCCATGAAACTCATTTTAATGGACTATTTTCCAAGTTCAACCTAGATTATTTTTTTATTTTTCCCCAATTTCTAACCAACATAGAAACTAACCAATGAAGCACCTTAAGTTGGACTATTTTTTGAATTACTTAGAAAAACCCATGAAGCTCGTGTGAACAAACTAACTTTTTTAAATTTAAGCCCAATATTTTTTTTTCGCCCTGTTCTCCAACCAACATGGAAACTAACCCATGAAGCTCAGGCGGTTCGACTATTTTTAAAATTTACTCTAGATTATTTTTTATTTTTGCCCCAATCTCTAACCGAAACGAGCCCATGAGACTCATTTAAATGGACTATTTTCTAAATTCAACCTAGATCATTTTTTCTTATTTTTCCCTAATTTCTAACCAACATAGAAACTAACCCATGAAGCTCATGTGGACGTACTATTTTTTTAATATATCATTTTTTTGCCCCAACCATGAATTCAAGCTCAAACAGTGCTTTCCTGTCTGTCCCAATTTAGTTCCTCCCCCATCATCAAAAATCGAATCGAATCGAACCCCCTAGTGAGCGCTTTTTCGTGAGCGTCGGTTTTTTCTTTTTCCGGCCGGTGAGCGGGTGTCGCCAGTATCGATTTTTATGGCCCTCGCCGCCGCAACGTACACACACACACGAACGCTCACACACATCCACACAGGGGGGACGCACAGAAGAAGGAAAAAAAAAAACCGAAGACGAAAAAAAAAGTCCTCTCCTCGGGCCGCGTTCCTTTTTTTTCCCGTTCACTTCTTCAACTTCTTTCCTTCATTTCTGCTCACCTATCCGTCTTAAATGACTGGATTCTGCTTAAAAATTAAGCTTAATCATCGAGTTAGCAGCTTTTTTTCAAAGCACAGTTCGGATAATAAATCTGAAGTCTTGTTTTCTTCCTCTTCTTCCTTACAATTCTGCTCACTTCTCTGCTTCAAATGGCCAAAATTTAATCGATATGAAGCTTAATTATGGGCTCAGAAGATTATTCAAAACCAAGCTAGCGCGAAATTTCAATACTTCACTTCATTTCTGCTCACCTATCCGTCTTAAATGACCGGATTCTGATTAAAATTTAAGCTTAATCATCAAGTTAGCAGCTTCTTTTTGTGAAAAGATCTGATGAGAAATCTAAAGTCTCGCTTTCTTCCACTTTTTCCCTTTATTTCTGCTCGCCTCCCTTTTTTAAATGGCCATTTTTCAACTAATATGAATCTTTAGTTCCGCCTTGGAACCTCAAGCTCACAAAAGTGCCTCATTTTCTCTACTTATTCAACTTTTTCTGTTCGTTCCTGTCCACCTATCGACTTGAAAAATCATTATTTAACCAATTTGAAGCTAACTTTAGACCAAGCTTACAACAAATTTTAATTTCCTTCTTCGGATCCACTTTTTCAGCTTCTTGCTTGCAATGACTTGATTCTGACAAAAATGAAGCTTGAGAAATGGCTGGTAAGCTCAATAATCCGAGCAAAGCTTCTGGAACAACCAAAATGTTTCCTTTTTCGTACCATTTCGCAGCCTCTTTCCACCTTTCCTGCTTTAATTAACTTAAGTTTAAGCATTCTAAACCTTAAAAACTGTCTCAGAACGTCTAGCAACAATTAATAATTAAAAGATCCATGTATAATCCTTCACAAGCTCAAAATTCCAAGACCAAACTTATTCCTTTTTCGTACCATTTCGCAGCCTCTTTCCACCTTTCCTGCTTTAATTAACTTAAGTTTAAGCATTCTAAACCTTAAAAACTGTCTCAGAACGTCTAGCAACAATTAATAATTAAAAGATCCATGTATAATCCTTCACAAGCTCAAAATTCCAAGACCAAACTTATTCCTTTTTCGTACCATTTTGCAGCCTTTTTCCACCTTTCCTGCTCTAAATAACCTGATTTAGACCAACATAAAGCTCAAAAACGTCCAGATCTCATTGTATAACCCTTCACAAGCTTAAAAGTCGAACCAGAAAAACTTTTTCTGAAACTTAAAGGCACAGAGCCTTGATTATGGGACCTAAATTTAACTAATAAAAAAGCTCGTACACTTCTCTCAAATTACGCTCATAAAGGAAGTAAAAAGGTCCGTTTTTTTTTTTGGTCCATTCCTCCAACTTCCTTCTTTCTTTTCTACCCATTTATCTGCCTCTCACTTAATTTATTATGGAGATTGAAATGATTGTTATAAAAGCCACTAAAAACTCCAAAAAAGCTCACTTTAAAAGCTTAAAAGTCGGAATTTCGGAAAATTCAAAGGCTCAAGAAAAATTGAAAAAAGTTCAACTTTATCCAAGCTTAAAAGTCGAACCAGAAAAACTTTTTCTGAAACTTAAAGGCACAGAGCCTTGATTATGGGACCTAAATTTAACTAATAAAAAAACTCGTACACTTCTCTCAAATTACGCTCATAAAGGAAGTAAAAATGCCCCTTTTTTTTTGGTCCATTTCTCCAACTTCCTTCTTTCGTTTCTACCCATTTATCTGCCTCTAATATTCCTATTTAATTTATTATGGAGATTGAAATGATCGTTATGAGAGCCACTAAAAACTCCAAAAAAGCTCATTTTACAAGCTTAAAAGTCGGAATTTTGGAAAATTCAATGGCTCAAGAAAAAATTGAAAAAAGTTCAACTTCATCCTGTTTTTTTCAGCTTATGGAAGCTGTAGGAAAATTTCTAATCGACATTTTGAAAATTATAAAATTTTGCAACCACATGGCTTTGTAAATCTTCCATCATTTTTTAAATAAATCTCCAAAAAAATCCCTTTTTTTCCATTTTTCTTTTTACTTTTCACCATCGATTTTCATTGTATAAATCGCAATATTCCAAAATCGTTCTTTCTAAAAAAAATTTTTTTTTCAGAATCGTATATGTTTCAAAGGTAGTTTCCCCATCTACAACAGCTTTTATGAGTTCTGGTGAGTTTTTTCTCCATTTTTGGGTCGATTGTTCGAAAATTGCCTTATCTTTCCTAATGGACACCTGCCAGAATCATCACGTTATCAGTTACGACGTGACTAATAAGATAACGGGGCTTTTTGAGTGAAGCTTGTTTAGGTTTTTTGGTACGAAAAAGGCTGAAATAGCATTTTTATAACTCAAAAAGGTCAAAGATTACAGAAAATTTCGAAAGTCATCTTACTTTTTGAGCAAAAAAACGTCAATTTAGTGAACTTTATGGAAAAAAATTTGCTTATAAAAACAATTAACTCTGCTCTCCAAGAGTCAAACCAGGAGAAAAAAATTTAAAATTTTCAGTTTCTTGATTTGAAAAATTGACAAAAAAATCATTAAAATACTTCATTAAAAATTTCTGGATTTGAAAGAAAAAGCGTTAATTTTATCAAGAGAATATTGAAAAACCCTTTCCTTTGAAAAATTCAGCAGTGAAACTGGAAACAGGCATATTTAAAAAGAAAAAAATTTCAATTTTAACTTTAACTTTCAAAAAAACCCCTAATTTGTCAATAAAAAAACCAGTTTTTTTTGTTCAATTTTCAGCTAAAAAAATCCATTTTTTTCTTCTAATCTCATCATTTTTTTCAGTCGGTGGAGTAGCTACCGACACCAGATTTACGAGCCAACATTTCACTTCGCCCCTCAAAACCACCATTATCAACGAATCGGAATTCCCATCGCTGGGCGCGCGAAGTGAGTTTCTTTTTTTTCAAAAATTTAAAAAATATTTCTCAGCTATCAAAAAAAATTTTCTCGGTGTTCCAGGCTTTTTCTAGAACCTGTAAATCATTAGAATTTTGCTCAGAAAGCCCTATAGGGGCCACTAAACAATTAACCCCTATAGGGACCGTTTAATTTTCTCTCAAGAGGTCACTAAAACAACAAAACCCTATAGGGACCCCTCCCAATTTCTTCAGTACAGTCGTAAAAAGCTTCTAGAAGTTTTTGAAGGCGCAAGGAGTAACTTGCCTGAGTATTCAACGTTAATTATTGATCTTGTACGCAGGTAACTTGATTCAACTTTATCAAAGAAAAAGAACCTTTTTTGAAGCCAAAATAGGCAGATCTGTGGCAAAATCGATTTTCATTCAGTGACTTGTATGCATCATGATAAATAGAAAAAGTCCTTCATAAGAATAAAAATAAAATTAAGAGGAAAATAATGACTAAGCAGTTTTTTTTCTTTCATTTATAAATTTCTTAGTGATCCATGATACCTTTTGGCTTCAGTTAAAGTTTGAATTCTAAGAATTTCTGATCCAATTTACTCTATCCTATCAGTTTAAGAAAGTCGAAAACTACTCAGTTGAGCAAAAAAAGTCAGATCTTTTTCTACGAGTTTATAAATTTTAACCCCTCTCAGAACCTCTACAACTTGTTATATCGCTTCTAGAACCTCTACAGCGTGTCTTACCGCTTTCAGAACTTCTAAAACTTGTCTTACCCCTTCTAGAACTTCTACAACTTACTTACCCATTCTAGAACTTCTACAACTTGTCTTACCCCTTTCAGAAGCTCTACAACTTGTTTTACCCCTCCTAGAACTTCTAAAACTTGTCTTACCCCTTTTAGAACTTCTACAACTTGTCTCACCCCTTTCAGAACCTCTACAACTCGATTTACCCCTTTCAGAATCTCTAAAACTCAATTTACTTCTCCTAGAACTTCTACAACTTGTCTTAACTCTTCTAGTACTTCTTCAACTTTTTTTGGGACGTCCACAACTTGTCCTTAACAGCTTTCAGAACCTCTACAACTCGATTTACCCCTCCTAGAACTTCTACAACTTTTCTTAACTCTTCTAGAACTTCCACAACTTTTTTTTACCCCTTCGAGAACTTCTACAACTTTTCTTACCTCTTTCAGAACCTCTACAACTTGTCTTGCCCCTTTTAGAATTTCTACAATTTGTCCTATACTTTCTTGTCCTTAAAAACTTTCAGGACTTCTCAAACGCCACATACAAACTTCTGTAATCAATTATCAACCTAATTGTTTGCAGGCACTCCACTGGGCGGCGGATACTCGCCGTTACCGACGACCAGTGGAGCGGCATTCACGGCAGCCCAGTCGTCCTCGCCCTTCAAAGATGCCTTCCTGCCCAACCATCGGAACTACGGTTAGCTCATCTTCTATTTATTTTATTTATTAAAACTTCATTTTAAAATGCCTGATCAAATTTATTATAATGTGTGTTTGAAGAATTTTAAAAACTTAAAATTAGCTCCTGCGTTATCAAAAACCTGATAAAATTCTCCTAAATCAACGAAATTGATAAAAATTCTTTTTTAAAAGGTCCTTGGCATTTTTAACTAAGGCCTTAGACATTTTAACAACCCCGCAATACGTTTTGAACAAGTTATCAACGATAAAAACTTCAAAATATGACCACCATCAGGAAAAGAATAAAAAACTGACCCTCGAGAAATTTCGAAAAAACCGCTCCGAAGTGCAATGAGAAGCTTCAATAGGCGTATATCTTTAAGCTGAAAACGTACTTGAAAATGAAACTTGATCCTGATAACGATAAAAAAACTATAAACGTAAAAAAATTAAGTTCAATAATAAGAAAAAAAGGCTGTGAAAATTGACAAAAAAATCTATTAGATCCCTTGAAAATCCCTGAAAACTTACTTATAAACGCTTCGAACAATGTAAAAACGGGAGAAAACTTTTTGAAATACAAAAGAAAAAAACGATAAATGTGAATTTTCTAAAAAAATTTTCCGAGAGGGACCACTTCAATTTCGCCGCAGGGCGCAGAATCTGCTTCTCAACATTTTTTTCTTTTCCATTTTCAAAAAAAGTTTTTCCTTTCTATTTTTTTCTTTTTATTTTTTTAAGTAGATATAAAGCATTTAGTATGCTCAGAAGTAGTTTGCTCGAATTTCTTCACGTTAAATCGTTTTTCTTGGCGCGCATAATTTCTTTGGAATATCTTATTAAGGTTCTGTGCGTGATTTATTGTTCATTTTGCTCGTATTTTTTCGCAATTTTCCGGCGAATTCAAATTTGAAGCCAAGAACCTTATTGCCACAATGGCAAACCTGACAAACGATTACCGTGGCGGCGGCATAGCCGATGCCATGAATGCTCATCGGAGTTCGTTTCTCGTTGGCGCTTGGGCGGCTAATAATGGAGGTTTTGAAGTTTCTCGAGTGGTTCTGTATATTTTGGTTGTTTTATTTTCTAGATGAACTTATAGTTGATTTTTTATTCAATTTTTGAATTGAAGAAAGAAGGGGTTATGTTATAAATTGATGTTCATGACTTGGCGGACGAGTTTTATGTTAATAATTTGGTTGGGGAGTAAGCTTCGAATGGAGAAAACTAGTTCAGCCTCAGCGACAACATCAAAAAGCCGAACAAAGATTGGAACTAGTCCCTCGGATGAAATTACTGTGATGAATCCAATGATTGACTTTTGCAGCGACGTTGATGAGATCCGACCCGTCGCTGACCAACCCCGAGTTTCAAATCCAGAACGAGGACTTTCCGGCGCTGCCGGGAGCCGGCGCCCCTGGCAGCGGTTCGGCCGCCGGCATCGACCTTGGCTCTCATCCAACGCAGTCTTTAGTGAGTACTGAGCATCTTTAAGGCTAGGAAAATCTATTTTTGAGAATCGAAATGTTCGTAACATAATTTTAATAATTCTTGATGAGTTTCTGTGACAAGTATGTGTAGAAAAAGGCCTAGAATCGGGATTTTTCCGTCTTTAGGGAGTAATGAGCATCTTTGAGGCTAGGAAAATCTATTTGAACGTTTAAAAAAGGTAACTTGAACTTTTATAATGTAATTTGAAAAGCGCTCGATGATTTTTCATGAAAAATATGTGTAGAAAAAGCATAATTTGGCTTTTTTTTGTTTTCGGTGAGTTTGGAGCTTCTTTGAGGCTCTGACAATCTATTTGAACCTTTCTAAAAAGATGACTTGAATTTTCAGAACATGATTTTAATAGTTCTTGACGAGTTTCTATGACAAATACGTGTAGAAAAAGGCCTAGAATCGGGCTTTTTCCGTCTTTAGTGGGTTTTGGGCATCTTTGAGGCTAGAAAAATCAATTTGAACGTTTAGGGAGGCAATAAATTATTTTTGATTTCCAAATGTTTATTATATATTTTTGTTGAAGATTTGATCAGTTCCCATGTCAATTTTGTTTAGAAAAGGCACTTATTCTGTTGTTTTTCTAGTCTTTAGTGAATTTTAAACACCTGTTAGGCGTCTAGAAAAATAAATTGAACGTAAAAAAAAAAATTAAAATGTTCCCTTTGAGGATAGGAAAAATCATTTGAACGCTTTTAAAAAAAATAACTCGAATTTTTAAAACATGATTTTAATAATTCTTGATGAGTTTCTGTGACAAATATGTGTAGAGAAGACCTAGAATCGGGATTTTTTCAGTCTTTAGTGAGTTTTGGGCACTTTTGAGGCTAGGAAAATCAATTTTAAGTATGAAAATTGAATCTAAACGATTATTATAAGTTTTAAAAAGTCATTGACGAGTTTCTGTAATAAATATAAGTAGAAAAAGCATATAATCGGGCTTTTTTTTTAGTCTTTAGCGAGTTTTAAGCTCCTTTAAGGCTATGAGAATCTATGTGAACGTTTAAAAAAACTTGAACTTTTATAATATAATTTGAAAAGTGCTGGATGATTTTTTTATGACAAATATGCGTAGGAAAAAGCATAAAAATTAGTCTTTTTTTGAGTTCTTAGCAAGTTTGGAGCGTTTTTTTGAGGCTAGAAACATCAATTTGAAGTGTAAAAAAATAAAAATCTAGACGTTTATTATGTGTTTTTAAGAGTGATTGACGAGTTTCTGTGACAGATATGTGTAGGAAAAGTATAGAATCGGTTTCATTTCACCTAGTCTTCAGTGAGATTTGAGCTTTTTCAGGCTAGAAAGTTAATTTTTTTTCAAAGCATAGGTAAAATTCAAATGGGTCTCGAGGCGACGTGTAGATTCAACTCTTCTGTGCCTTTAAAAAGCCTTTTTTGAACAGAATTATGAGTTTTAAAGCCTGTCATTGCTGATCATTAGATGACATTTGACGCGATTTCGCAATATGCCGCGTTGTTTGAAGATCGTGTAGCGAAATTGCATCTTGCTTTTTTTTTCTTAAACGTGTACTTTTAGTTCAATAAGGGTTATTCTATATTCATTCAGGTCTTTTAAAATTTATCCATACTGAAATTAAATTCTAGAAAAAAAAAATTAAGGGTTCCTCTTCAATTTTAATGAAAGGAGGTCGAAGAAAATCTCGAAAACATACGTCGGCTGGATCCCACCCCGGGGCGCGGCCTTCCCCCTGCGGCCTATTTTAGTACATTTTCAAATTTTTTTTTGCGCGCAAAGCTGGAGTGGGATCCGGCCGGGTTATGCTCGAAAATATCCAAAAAAAATCATTTTTAAACGCCGAAATTCTTTCAGTTGACATCCGCTGCTGACTCGTTCGCGTCGGCGACGTCGATGGATCCCTACGCGGTTCGAGCCGCGGGAAATGAGCCCGTCCGCGGCATCATTACCCATCCTGACGGTGGGTTTTTGTTGCTTTCCGACAGAAAAATTTTTTTTTTTGAGGTTTTTGTAGCTTTTTTTCAGCTCTCATGGCTCTTGGAGTTTGACAAAAATCAGATTTATGTTTTTGGGTTTCTTCATATTTTAAGGTCATTTTTTTCAAATAGATTAATAGGAATTTTTGTTTTCTCTAGAAATATTTCCATTTCAGAACCTTTTTCAAAAAAATACACGCTTTCAATAATTTATCCTCCATTTTCTATAAGTTTTGTTCTTTAAAAAAATAGTTCTAATCGGCTTTTTTTCTCTGAACTATGAGCTTGATTTTTGCGAAAAAAATCGGAGGCTATGGAATTTTTGGGCTGAAATTCTAGTGCAATCGTTTCCACCAAATATAGGATTTATTTGTTTTCGTTTCAAAAAGGATAATTTTTTTATGCAATCTGGTGTGAATTTCAGGATCTTCTACAAAATTGCCCAGTTTTTTTGAAAGCCCAGGAAAAATTTTTTTCTTGTGGACTGTAGACTGGATTTTTTTATCTATTTGAAAGAGAAAAAAACAAATTTCATACTAGGGACCTCCAGAGTGGCCACTATAGGTGCTGTTTTCCATCCTAAACCCTTTAGGGGCTTCTCTGGCGTTCCTAGACCTTTTTGTCGAGGATTTCCGAAAAATTTCTTAAGGACCGAGATTTTCACAATGTTTTGTTAATTGGATTGAATCTTATAGCGACTTTTCATTCTCCCTAACCCCTTTAGGGGCCACTCTGGTTTTCCTAAACTCTGATTTCAAGACCTTTTTTGGACGATTTTGGAAAATTTTTTGAGAAATCGTCATTTTTATTATGCTACTTCAATTTTGGGAGTGCCAAGACCTTAATTTTTCAATTTTTTTGAATTTTCAATGTAAGAAATTGAGCATTATGGCTTTTTTACCGAAAAATTCCTAGGAAACTTGAATTTTTACCGTTTCGGGAGTTTCAAGAAGGTTGTTATAGCCGATTCCTAGGGACTTAAGAAGGCGTGGCCTGTCTGCGCTCTCCACTAACTAGGCACTGTCTCGTTTATTTTCGTGTCAGGACCATTTTCTTGAAGCTCAAGCCAACCAGCTATAATATCGTTAGAAAAAATACGAAAACGCGACTTTTGTCATAAGGAATTTCATCTTTCTGAAAGTTTCTAAAGCTGGGATTTTTTCTGTAATCTGAAACTTGATCAAAATATTAAAAATAACAGTCTCCAGAAAGTTTCAGAAAGATTGAATTCCTTACAAGGAAGTTATCATCAAAAACCATTTTTTTCTTGTATATTTTTTTGAAGGTACTTTATATTCTCCTAGATAAGAATAAGAAAATTATTGTTCTAGGCGAGGTATCGAACATTCCGGCTTCAATGTTGGCCGATCAGTTCGGGATGGCGGGCCTCGTGACCTACCTGAGGACGGTCGACAACCCCTCGATCGTCTCCCTGGCCCTCGGCTACGATTTGACGACCCTCGGCCTCAACCTCAACATCTCGGAGTTGGTTTTTGAACTTTTCAAGTCTTGGAAATGAAGTTTTTATGAGGTCATATCCAAAAAAAAATCTTTTAAATTGCCTTTTTTAGGCTAGGATTTTTTTTAAATCTAGTTTTAAGCGCTTTTTTCCGTCCTAGGAGTGGTTTAGATGGGGCGAAATGAATTTTTTCTAGGTTTCTAGCACTTTTTTTTGAGAGACCTTGATTTATTCACTGAACACCTTATAGAAACCTTCTTTTGAAATTTAGGCCACTTAAGGGGTCACTAGAAGAGTTTTGATCACCACTTGAGGGGTCACTAGGAGAGTTTTGAGATTCTAGGCCTCTGAAGGGGTCACTAGGAGAGTTTTGATATTTTAAGCCGCTTGAGGACCCCCTGGGAGAGTTTTGAGCTTTAGGCCACTTAAGTGGTCACTGGGAGAGTTTTGACATTTTAAGTTACTTGAGGGGTCGCTAGAAGAGTTTTGAGCTTTTAGACAACTTAAGGGGTCACTAGAAGAGTCAAAGTGAAGATCTTGATCTATAAGGTTTTCAGAACTGTAGTTGGTCAATCTAGAGTCAAATTGAAGCGTTAGAACTCTAAGTGGCTACTTTAGGGGTGAAATGGAGATTCTAAGTTTTCTGATCTATAAGTGGTCACTTTAGAGTGAAATCAAAGCGAAAGAACTCTAAGTGACCACTTTAGGAGTGAAAGGGGATTTTTGTGTTTTCTGATCTATAAACGGTCACTCTAGAGGTCAAATTAAAGCATTAGAACTCTGAGTGGCCACTTTCGGAATAAAAGAGGGCTTCAAGGCCTTCAGAGCTGTAAGTGCTCGGTACAGAAGTAAAAGTTAAGCTTTGAAACTTTGAGTGACCACTTTAGGAGTTAACTGGAAGTTTCTGATGTGTAAGTTGTCACTCTGGAGGTAAAAGGGAAGCTTTTTAACTGTAAGTGACCACTTTAGGAGTGCAAATGGAGCTTTTCGACGTTCAGGCCTGTAATTTCTCACTCTAGGAGGGGAATTAAAGGTTTAAAACTTGAAGTGGCTACTTTGAAAGTGAAAGTGGCCCTTCAAGCCCTTCTGAACTACAAGTGGTCACTCTAGAGGTGAAAGTAAAATGTTGGAACTTTAAACGAACACTTTAGGAGCGTAATGGAGTGACTACTTAAGTGAGGTTACTTAAGTGACTTTAAGTGACCATTTTAGAAGGGAGAGGGCCTTTAGAGCTGTGAGTGGTCAATCTAGAAGTAAAAATAAAGCTTTGAAACCTCAAGGGACCACTTTAGAAGGGAAAGTGCGGCTTCCAGAGCTACATATCTACAAGTGGTCATTCCAGAGGGGAGTGTTGGAGCTTTAAGTGATCACTTGAGAAGGCTGCAAAACTTCAAGGGATCACTCTAGTAGTCTTAGGCTGCACGAAAGCTTTCTTTGGGTTTTCTCAAAGATTTTTTGTTGTATAGTTGAAGAAAATCACTGATTATAATCCATTCCACCGGTTGTTCAGCGAATTCGTTTGTTAAAGTTGCAGACGGCAGCTTTACGCGACTTTCGGCGGCCCCTGGGCGGACAACCCCATCAGGCCCCACGAATTGGATGTTAAAGTTGGTTTTTATTGATAATTCTCACCTTGAAAATCGAAAAAACCATCCATTTTTCTGAATGATTTTCATTTTTATCACTTCCCCATAGCTCAGCTTTTCACAGTTCTTTTCATTTTTCACCTCAAAAAATGGACATTTTAAGGTACCCGATGAATATTTAACAAATGCGTTGATTCGGGACAAATTACCGCCGGTTAAACTGAATAAGGTTGGTTTTTTTTTCGACATTAGGCTTGAAAAATAAATTTTTAGCCTTTTTGAAGCACTTTTTAAGGTTTTCATAAGGTAAAACGTGATTTTTGAGGTACGCATGCCATTTTGAGCACTTTTTGTCTCATTTTTGAACGTTTATACTTAAAAATTGTGCAGGAGATTACGGTAAGCAGGTTTCTGTACACCAAAACTCTTGGCGCGAATTTAAAACTTTTTGTCGGAAAATTTTGGTTTTTAGGCGTTTTTCAGTGTACAGTAGGGCATTACTAACTTAAAAAACAATTTCCTAGCTTTATATGTTCGAAAAAGATACGGTAAGCAGCTTTCTGTACACCAAAACTTTTGGCGCGACTTTGAAACTTTTTGTCAAAAAATTTTGATTTTTCGGCAGTTCTAAGTGTACTATAGAGCACTACTAACGGAAAAAACAGTTTTTCTCACTTTAAAAATTAGAAAAAAACAGAAGATTACGGTAAGCAGCTTTCTGTACACCAATTCTTTTGGCGCGGGTTTAAAAATTTTGGAAAATAGGGCTTTTTGGCGGTTTTAAGTTTAGTCGATTCGAAAAGGCGTGGCCTGTCTGCGCTCTCCACCAGCCATGCACTATCTCTCATTTTATCGTGTCGGGACCCATTTTTCGCTGGCTCAAGCCAGCTGTAAAGAATCATATCCAGAATGGCATTACAAGCTGAAAAATCAATTTCCCCTTGTCAGAATTAATGAAAAGGATCATTTTTTCAGTTATCGGAGGATGTATTGTTCTATCTTTTCTACAATTGCCCAAACGAGGTTTACCAAATTGCAGCTGCTTGTGAATTGTTCGTTTCGATTTTTAAGAGACTAAAGAAAGCTCCCGTTTCTGTTCAGATATCAAAGAGATTGGCGGTATCATAAGACGGAGGGCGTCTGGCTGACCCGGTCCCAATACGGCGGCGTCAAGGAGCAAACCGGGACTTATGAGAAGGGCCAGTACAACGTTTTCGACCAGATGCAGTGGAGGAAGGTATGGGAAATGTCTGGGGAGCTGAAAAAATGGGCTAATCTCTGTCAGAGGCCTAGGAACGCCAGAGGGGTCCCTATAGGGCTCAGGGATGAAAATGGGACGAAAAAGTGCCCTCTTATAAAACGCAGGTGGTCCCTAGAGGGGTGATGGTCCTGACCCCTAGGCCTCTAAAAGTTAAGTGGTTCTTAAAGGAGTCCCTTTAGGGTTCAGGGATAAAAAGAGCGCTTTTACGGGGCCAGGAAGTGCCTCCTAGAGGGATTAAGGATCTCAGCTTAAAGGTTAAGTGACCCCTAAAGGGGTCTCAGTTCAAAAAGACAAACTTGATCTATTCATCCCCTGTTGACATTTTTTTATTCAAAAACTCTAATTTTCAAAAAGCCCCCTATAGGGATCACTCTGGCGTTTAAAATAATGTATAGGCAATTTTTTTGTACCACTAGGACGTTATTCAGGTGTATAGGGGTTAGGGGAAAAAACAGCTCTATAGCGACCGAAAAAGTGATCCCTATAGGGGTCTGTCGGAGGCCTAGGAACACCAGAGTGGCCCCTATAGGGGTTAGGGAAAAAAACGGGACGAAAAAGTGCCGTCTTATAAAACGCAGGTGGTCCCTAGAGGAGTGATCGTCCTGATCCCTAGGCCTCTAAAGGTTGAGTGGTCCCTGAAGGGATCTTCGTTCAAAAAGACGAACTTGATCTATTCATCCCCTGCTGACACCTTTTCATTCAAAAACTCTAATTTTCGGCAAGGACCCTCAAAGTTGCCCCTGTAGGGATCACTCTGGCGTTTACAGGACGTTATTCAGGTTTATAAGGGTTAGGGGAAGAAAAAACCCCTATAGAGACCGAAAAAGTGTTCCCTATAGGGGTTTAGGGTGTGAGCCCCCAAAGCTTAAGTGGAATTTTTATTCAAAAAAGGCTTTTTTCAGTTTTTTACATGGAGATGCTTCTTCATAGAGTTCATAGAAATCGACTAGAATGTCCCCTATAAGGGCCACTTTTGCAAGCTTTAGTGGCCCGTGGAGGGGAAGGTATAGTGGTTCCTAAGATTGACCCTAGAGGGACCACTCTGAAATTCCTAGGAAGCTGTAATATAAGGAAAAATTTTAGAAAAAGAGTTCATGAGTTTCAGATCCCGAAAGAGCTGAAATTGGAGTACAAGGAGCTGGAGGAGCGGCCAAAGCTTCCGCAAATGTTCGCCAGTGCGGGTCTTGGCACGACGACGGCGACGGCAGCAGCAGCGGCGGCCGCGGCGGCGACGTCGCACCAGGCGCCGGGCTCGGGTCTCGCGCCCGGCAGCGTCCCGACCGCGACAACAGCCCCCTCGACCTCATCGACCATCATGAGCAGCATCGGAAGCCTTCTGAGCGGCGCTGCGACGCCCGTCACCGCGACGACCGCCTCCAACTCGGCGGCCAGCGTTCTCAGCGGGCTAGCGGCGGCCGCCGCCGCTGCCACCACGGCCGCGGCACACCGAGCCACTCCCTCGGCGCAATAGTAATATCAATGTGAGTCTTGGGTCAGGAAAGGTCTGGGAAAAGATAGTGTAGGACAATTTTCATATAACGTGACCGAAAAGTCAATAGGGGTGCTAGGGAATGGAAAAAACGCATTGAAAAGGGGAAACGCTAGGAAAAGTCGAAGGAACCCTTTAAAAAGATTTTTGAGATTATAGTAGACAATTTTCCAAGTTGTAGTAATGTCAATAGAACCTTTATTGTATAGGAAAAGGGAAAAGCTTCTAGGAAGAGCTTTTAAAAAAAAGTTCTAGGAAAAGGAAAAGATCTAGAAAAACTTGAAGGTGAAATTAGAAAACCTTAAGAATTGCCCCCCCAATTCTAGAAGAAGTCCAAAAAAATCGAAAAAAGGTTCTTGAAAGTTCTAGGAGAAGATCTAGAAAAAAACTTGAAGGGGAAGTTAGAGAACCCCAGGAAAAGAAGCAGAAAAAAATTCCCCCATTCTAGAAGAACCCACAAAAAAATCAAAAAAAGGAGGTTTTTTTAAAAAGTTACGTTGAAGCTTAGCTCGAAGCAGCGAGTTTGGTGAGCCCTTCAAGAGCTTTTTTGAGGATAAACTATTAAAAAAATAGCTAGGAAGTTGATAAAAATGATGAGAACTTGAGAATTTGTTGTTGCCAGATTTTTCTATAGGTCTTTATAGGTTTTTTTGGAGATTTCAAGGTTTTTCGATAATTTTCAAGTTCTAGAGGGATATGAGCAGAGGAATTGTACACTAAAAAAAGCAGAATTTTAAAATTAGGCCTTCTAGATAACGATTTTAAGAAGGGGTTTGACAAATTTTGTGAAAAAGCCGTGGCCGCACTTGGAATGGCTCAGTCTGCGTAGCGGTTTTTCAAGGCAGTGCACTTCGTTAGCCATTCCACGTGCGGCCATGACTTTTCTAAAAATAAAAATAACGCATTTTTCCTGTACTTCGTGTAGTATAAAGATAAGTAGTTCGAATAAATACAAGACAAAAATACTGTAGAATAACCAGTTACAGCAGTAAGGCAACTTTGACCAAAATTACTGGAAAAAAGAATATTAAAAATAATAAGATTGATTTTTTTGCAGCGTGTACGAATGTGTGAGAAGCAAGTGAGAGAAGCGAAAAAAAAAAAAAACAAAAAACGAGTTGAAGAAGACGTCCACGTTTGCTGCCCCAGTGCTCGGTGAAGAGAAAAGTCAGAAGAATCCCGCGGAAAAGCCGCTCGGAGCCCAAAAGAACACAAAAATCAGATCCACTTTTTCTCAATCCTCCCAAAAAAAAAAAGAAAAAAAACGAACCGCACCGCCCATTTTATTCCACCTCGTTCCCGCCCGGTAAAGTCGATCTCCAAAAGCTGCACCCTTCTTTTCCGTTTCTCACTGTCCTTTTTTCTATTATCATTCTTTTTCCTTACCCTACAACCGTTCTACGCCTCGTTCCCCGTTGTTTTTCAATTTTTCTCATTGTTTTCTATTGTATTTCTTTTGGGAGAAGAGGCTTTTTAAAGGGGCTTTTAGGAGTAGTTTGAGCATTTTTGAGGAGCCTTAAAAAGGTCGAAAAATCAAGATTTCAGCTTTTTAAGGCGATTTTAGGCTTTCAAATGAATCTAGCGAACTTCTGTTTAGATTTTCCATTTTGAAGCGCTTGAAACGAAAATTCAAAATGACAAAAATGTTGGAAATTAAGCTTGAATTCCAATTTTTTCCGAAATTTCGCCCTTTCCAGGTGCAAAATTCAAGATTCTTTAGGCTTTCAGAAGAATTCCGTTCAAATTTTCTATTTTGAAGCGCTTGAAATTGAAATTCAAGATGTTGAAAATGTTGGAAATTAAGCTTAAAATCCACTTTTTCCGAAAATAAGATCGATAATTTTCTCTAGCCATTCCCAGCCATTGAAAAAACCTCTTCTCTTCCCAAAATTTTCTTATTTTTTCTTCCCCGATCAATCGATTGCCATCAATCAAGATTGTTGCTAGGTTTTTTTTGTCCTTTCCTTTTTTCTCGCTTATTTTTTGGCCTTTCTTGGTGTCGGTATAGTCTAGGGGCTAGGAAAGAAGCGATTTTTGATTGATTTCAATCGGTTGATTTTCACTTTTCGTAGTCGTGTTTTTTGAGGTTTAGGTGATGCGTAGATCAACTAGGTGTGCAGCTTTTTTGTTTTTTTCTCTCCTCGAGCTGATCAAAAGGGAATATAACCAGTGCATTTCTTGTAAAAAAGCCCATGTACATTTCGGGTTACGGTAGCTGAGAAAACAATGTGTAAATAACCTGGCAGCGACGCGCGTGATGCGCCTTTAATCGCCCCTCGGAAAAAAAGGATTGAATCGGGTGTTCGTTGGGGCGAACTTGAAGCCGCATACTACCGTATATCAAATTTTTTTTTCCTGTCGGGAAAAAAAAGCAAACAATCCATTCTGATCTTCTTTACATTAACATCGGGTGTGTGTGTGTTATGAGTGCGTGTGTGTTGGTTTCGCGGACCTTCTTTCCCTTGCGACGACTCGAAAAAGCTCTGGCCGCATTTGGAATGGCTCGAGCCATTCCAAACCCCGAGATTTTCAAGCCGTCCCACCGCCGGTTTCCCTTCTCACGTTCAGTTTGTTAGCTTCTACTTTTTCACTTTCTATTTTCCAAGGCAACAGAAAAAAATCTCATCGAATTGTGCGGTGTATTTTGTGTTTGTGTGGTGTGAAACTCTAGTTATTTTGGTTTTTTTTTCTCGTTTAATTTCACTTCCTGCGGGTTTCCTCCATTTTGTATGTATGTGGCGATATTTCGTCCCAAAACAATTCTTTATGTGGTGCATTTTTCTGTATTTCTCATCCACTGGGTTCCTTTCTCTGCGAATGTCGACGTCTCATTTTGTTTGTTTCTTGTTGTTTCTTCCCTTTTTGTTCAAATTGTAATTTTTTCTCTTGTTCCTCACACATTCGTACTTGATATTGCGCCAATTTCCAACCGTTTTCCCGTCCATCTTGCGCCGTAAATAAATCGCAAATTTAATTCTCTGTTTCATGGCACTGAAATTCGGGAAAAGCCAATAATTTGAAGCTTGAAAAATGACAAAAGACAGCTCAAAAAAAGCTGAAAAGGCCCAAAAAGTCTTGAATGACTCAGGAACCTCAGAGTGGTCCCTCTAGGGGTCGTGGGAGGAAAAACAGTCTCTATAGGGGACTAAAAGTGATCTCTATAAGGGTAAAATTCAGGTGGTCCCTATAGGGATTTAGAGTCTGATATCCATGCCTCTGAAGCTTAAGAGGTCCCTATAGGGGTTAGCAGGAAAAACGGTCACTATATGGGGCTAAAAGTGTTCCCTCTAGGGGTAAAATTCAGGTGGTCCCTATAGGGTTTTAGAGCCTGATATCCGAGCTTCTGAAGCTTAAGAGGTCCCTATAGGGGTTAGGGGGGAAAAATGGCCTACATAGGGCTAAAATTGAGGTGATCCCTATAGGGGTGAAACTTAGGTGGTCCCTATAGGGTTTTCGAGTCTGATATCCAAGCCTCTGAAGCTCAAGTGGTCCCTATAGGGGTTAGCGGGAAAACCAGTAGCTATGGGGCAAAAAAAAGTGATCCCTATAGGTAGGGACCGCAGACGAATTTTCAAAAAAAATTTTTCAGCATTGAGCTTTGTATGGTTTGATAGCTGTTTCGATTTAAAACTCAGAACCGTTTAGTTTTTCGAAAAAGATTGAGGATGAAAAAAGTTATGACGAGAAATGTGGCGCGCCGCGCACCATTTTTTTAGTACTGAAATTTTGGTATTATCCATTTTTGACATTTTTCTCGATTTTTCTTCTAGAACAAGTTTTGATACTGGTCTATTATGATGTAACAAATCATAATAGAGTGCTTAAAGGATGCTAATCAGCTAGTTTGCCGTAAAAGTCGGTATTTTCCAGAAAACAAAAAACTGGCGCTTGCGGGCATCGAACTCGCGACCTCAAAATGAACAATCGCAGCGCACGCGCTGCGCCAAGCTGTTAAGTCTAGCGAGGGGAGCTTCCATCCCCCATACCCTTGAGCCGTTTGAATAGCACAGATTGCCTATTTCAAAAAGAAAAGTTTGAAGTAATTTAGCTATTTTTATCAGAATATGTTCGCAAATCTTTACTCAAACTTTTTCGTGGAAATTCACTTCGAAAAAAAGCTGTTATTTTAGTGCTTTTTTTTGCCTCGTTTAACGATCGCTGCATTAAAAAGGCCCCGTAAATTTTTTTGGCAAAGACGAATTTTTTTATTTTATTTTTTTTTAATTGAAAGATTTTTTTACTAATAAATGCATATAATCGTTTAAAAAACCTGCGTTCGACCGCTTTCTGTATGATAAACGCCGCTAATTTTATTCTCTAGTTTCAAGAGCGTTTTTGCGTATTAAACAACTTTTTCAAGCACATATTCTGTGGAGAAATATTTAAGTAAGCCCGTGATCTAAATTTTTGAAAAAAAGAAAAAAACTCGATTATATTCGCATATTAACGATATTTTTGAATTACGACTTTCGGCACTCCCTAAAATTTTTGGCAAAGACGAATTTTTTATTTTATTGTTTTAAAATTACCGTTACTTGAATCAAAACCATTATTTAAAAAAAGAAAAAGTGCGTTTGACCTGAAAACACATGAAAAAGCAAAAAACGACAAAATTTTTTAGTTGCATTCACGTTTTTGTACGACATTCCGCGCGAACGCATCAAAAAAGCGTGAAACATTTTTTAAACGAAAGAGGAAGCTTTTCTGTACATGTGTGTCAAAATTTATTATCCAGTTCCATATATTTTGCAACTACAGCAAAATGAAAGTTGAAAACCAAAAAAAAGCCACTTTTTCTATCGCGAAAAGGGGCGTGGCTTTGCGGTCCCTACCTAAAGCCCCAAAATAGACGATTTTTGGGTTTTCTTCGACTTGGTCTTACTCAAAAGCTAGGAAATTTTGAAGGTTGAAACTTTCAGAATCGTATTCTGGTACATCAAGGAACGTTTTGGCCAGTCTTCGGGAAAATACCAACCGTAAAGGAAAATAAACTCCATTGTAAGACCTTTGAATGATCAGTGAGATCCAATTCAAACGTAAAAATTTGAAAAACGCCAAAGGATACTAAAAACTGCCTAAATGTTGTTTTTATATCCTTATGAAGGCTAAAGTGGTTCCTATAGGGACCTTTAAAGGCTTCCTTCTAGTGACCACTTGGCCTCCCCCTATAGGGGTCATTAAAAATCGCGAAAATTGACGCATTTTGAACGAAAAAATATCAACAAAGATTTCGATTGAATTTTAATAAACACGTATTTTTTATTTTCCAAATCTTAACAAAAAATTCAATTGTCCCAATAGGGACCACTTGAGATTTAGGGGCTTCGGGGTCAGACTCTAAACCCCTCTAGGGACCACCTCGATTTCAGCCCTATGTAGGCCATTTTTCCCCCCTAACCCCTATAGGGACCACTCTGGGATTCCTTATTCATCCAAGATTTTTTGAGCTTTCTTGATTATTTCTGTTTGAAATTTAAAAAACCCTATAGCAACCTCTTAAGCTTCAGAGGCTTGGATATCAGACTCTAAAACCCTATAGGGACCACCTAAGTCTCACCCCTATAGGTAGGGACCGCAAAGCCACGCCCCTTTTCGCGATAGAAAAAGTGGCTTTTTTTTGGTTTTCAACTTTCATTTTGCTGTAGTTGCAAAATATATGGAACTGGATAATAAATTTTGACACACATGTACAGAAAAAGCTTCCTCTTTCGTTTAAAAAAATGTTTCACGCTTTTTTTGATGCGTTCGCGCGGAATGTCGTACAAAAAAACGTGAATGCAACTAAAAAAATTTTTGTCGTTTTTTTGCTTTTTTTCATGTGTTTTCAGGTCAAACGCACTTTTTTTCTTTTTTTAAATAATGGTTTTGATTCAAGTAACGGTAATTTTAAAACAATAAAAATAAAAAAATTCGTCTTTGCCAAAAAAATTTTTAGGGAGTGCCGAAAGTCGTAATTCAAAAATATCGTTAATATGCGAATATAATCGAGTTTTTTTGTTTTTTTCAAAATTTAGACCATGGGCTTACTTAAATATTTCTCCACAGAATATGTGCTTGAAAAAGTTGTTTAATACGCAAAAACGCTCTTGAAACTAGAGAATAAAATTAGCGGCGTTTATCATACAGAAAGCGGTCGAACGCAGGTTTTTTAAACGATTATATGCATTTATTAGTAAAAAATCTTTCAATTAAAAAAATAAAATAAAAAATTCGTCTTTGCCAAAAATTTACGGGGCCTTTTTAATGCAGCGATCGTTAAACGAGGCAAAAAGCACTAAAATAACAGCTTTTTCGAAGTGAATTTCCACGAAAAGTTTGAGTAAAGATTTGCGAACATATTCTGATAAAAATAGCTAAATTACTTCAAACTTTTCTTTTTGAAATAGGCAATCTGTGCTATTCAAACCGCTCAAGGGTATGGGGGATGGAAGCTCCCCTCGCTAGACTTAACAGCTTGGCGCAGCGCGTGCGCTGCGATTGTTCATTTTGAGGTCGCGAGTTCGATGCCCGCAAGCGCCAGTTTTTTTGTTTTCTGGAAAAATACCGACTTTTTACGGCAAACTAGCTGATTAGCATCCTTTAAGCACTCTATTATGATTTGTTACATCATAATAGACCAGTATCAAAAACTTGTTCTAGAAGAAAAAAATCGAGAAAAAAATGTCAAAAAAATGGATAATACCAAAAATTTCAGTACTAAAAATGGTGCGCGGCGCGCCACATTTCTCGTCATAACTTTTTTCATCCTCAATCTTTTTCGAAAAACTAAACGGTTCTGAGTTTTAAATCGAAACAGCTATCAAACCATACAAAGCTCAATGCTGAAAAATTTTTTTTGAAAATTCGTCTGCGGTCCCTAGCTTTAGGCCGTATTTTTCGTAGAGTAGGAAGTTGTGCAGGTTGAGATTTTTAGGATCTTCATCTGGTACATCAAGGAGTGTTCTGGCCAATATTCAGGAAATTGTCAACTGCAAAGTAAAATAACATTAAAGGCATAGGGGCAGTAAAAACGGTGATTCAGTTCAAAACAGTATTTTGTAGAGATTTTCATTGCGAATCGAACGGTGAACTTGGAAAAAAAAAAGAAAAGAAAAAACCATTTCAAAGACGGAGAGAGGAAAGTTTGAGTTCCCGCAAAAAGGGCGCATTGCAGTAAAGTTGCTCTATGGACAACTGGCTTCGCCATTTTTGGATTTTCGCTTTTTTCTTCGTTTCTTCCAATTTTCAATTTTTTTTTTCTGTTGCCACTAAAGTTCTTCTCGTCTTTAAAAGTTTCTATTCATGTATAATTTGCAAACTATGTTCGCAAAATGCTTCTCTGGGGAAAAATGATGATTTTACACAGGTTTCGATTGGAATTGCGATTTTTTGTGTTTTCTTTATTATCGGTGTGTGTTTTTTGTTTCACTAAATGTTTTTTTTCAGAAAAGAAACTCTTAATTTGAAGCAGATAGCCGGTTATTTTTCACAAAATGCGTAAACACTGTAAACAGTTGTCTGTATACCGATCCAAAGTTTTTTTTCAAAATAAAAGGCGGGAAATTAAAATCGCGTTTTTCTTCAAAATTAGTCACATCTGTAATTTTTTTGAGTACACCGTTGGATTCGCAAAGAAAAACTATATAAAATACTGCTTCAACCTGAAACCCCGTTTTTTACTGCCCCTATGCCTTTAAGGTCAGGTCAGGCTTTTCTCGATGATCATTCAAAGGCCAAATCTCCTGGCCTGAGCTTTTTTTAGTAGGAAAATTACAAAATGTTGGGAAATATCGAAGAAATGATTCATCTATTTGATTGGGTTGGCGGACGGCAGTATATTTGACAGCCACCGAAAAAGAAAGCAAAAAAAAAAGAAGGGGAAGGTTCTTTTCTATTTGCTGAGTAACTGGGGTGTTTATATAAACGGCCACGGATAGGTTGAACCCATCTCGGCTTCTCCTTGGCGGAAACAATGAACGTTTTCGAGCAAATCGTCGACACCGTTAAAGATGGCGTCGAGACGCTCACTCTCACCGAAGTCATCCAGGTTCGTTTTTGATATTTTCTTCATTAATTATCTTTGGAGCTTATGTTACTGACAAGGGTGGTCATTTTGCATTGCGCTTAGTAATCTTCTGAAAATTGGCCATAACACTCCTTAATGTACCTCACGTCAAAGTTTCTGAATTTACACAAAAAGCAAGTGCGCGTTTCGGACAAAAATACGTCATTCTACGTCACAAATTAAACTGAGTATTCAACGTTAATAACTTGTTCGTTCGAACACCATTGGCTGCGTACTTCCGATTTGACTTTTTGCGCCAAAATTTTTTTACCGTGGTACCTGAAAGGTGCCCAACTTTCTAACTTTTCAGGAATAGGGCCTCAAAATCAAGTGAAAACCCTTAAAATATGTGGGAATAGGCTATTTTTGGGCTTTGAGTCCCCGTTCCTCGAAAATCAGAAAACTGTGCAGGTTGAAACTTCTAGGATGTTTTTCTGGTACACCAGGCTCGGGCGTCAGGCTCTGGGCCTACAATTTAAAAGAAAGCCTGCGTGGGCTCTTGAGTTTTTTGGGCCGGGCATTTTGCTTAGGGCCTCCCTAGGGCCGGGCCGGGGGACCGAGAGGTTGACGGGCCGGCCCTCGCACAAGCCTGGGGTACACCAAAGAATTTTCTGGCCAATTTTCTGGAAATTCCTCACAGTAAAATGATCTCAAAAAAGTATCTAGTTTTGAAATTAATTGTCTGAAGCAATCTAGGACACCTTGATATCATATGAGTCAAGAAACTTGCGCCTTCCATTCTGATTTGCTTGATGAAAAAGACCAAGAAAAATCTTTTATCAAAAACTAGGGACCACCGCAGGTTTTCAGAAGCTTCCAGTGTCCAGAATGAATGGAAAACCTCCTTTCAAATGGATGGTATTTTTTTAGTCCCATGATAGACTAACAATTAGTGAAGCCTTTTTTGTTAATATCTCTTCAAAAAGCTATTTCCAGGTTCCTGCTGGTCAAGGCGGCAACATCATCAACAATATGATGCACCAGCTTCCATTCCAACCGAACCAAGGTCCGAACCAGAACTGCCCGGCTCCACAGAACCCGCAGTTCGACCCGAGAAATCAGCAGAACCCGAACTGTCCTCCTCAAAATCAGCAGAATCCGAACTGTCCCCAGCCTGTCGTTGGCGGCATCGGCCTGCAGAATCCACAATACAATCCTCAGAATCCGAATTGTCCCCCTCAAAACCCACAGAATCCGAATTGTCCTCCTCCAAATCAACAAAATCCAAATTGTCCCCAGCCTATCGTAGGCGGCATCGGCCTGCAAAATCCACAATATAATCCTCAGAATCCGAATTGTCCCCCTCAAAATCAGCAACCTTTCCAGAATCCTCAGTACAATCCTCAGAATCCCAACTGCCCTCCAGCTCAACAGAACCCAAATTGTCTTCCTCCAGCTCAACAGAATCCTCAATATAACCCTCAAAATCCGAATTGCCCTCCTATAAATCAGCAGCCTGGTCAAAATCCTCAGAATCCGAATTGTCCACCTCTAGCCCAACAGAACCCAAATTGCCCTCCTATGAACCAGCAGCCTGGTCAAAATCCTCAATATAATCCTCAGAATCCGAATTGCCCTCCTCCAGCTCAACAAAATCCTCAGAACCCAAATCGCCCTCCTCCAGCTCAACAAAATCCTCAGTACAATCCCCAAAATCCAAATTGTCCTCCTATAAACCAGCAACCTGTTCAAAATCCTCAATTCAATCCCCAGAACCCAAATTGCCCTCCTCCTGCTCAACAAAATCCTCAGAACCCCAATTGTCCTCCTCAGAATCAGCAGCCCTTCCAAAATCCTCAATATAACCCTCAGAATCCAAACTGTCCGCCTTCAATCCAACAGCCTCAACTTCCGATTCACATCACCTTTGTACCTGATCAGCCGGCCCAGAACCCAAACTGTCCTCCAGCTCCAAACTCAGGTCTCGATATCCAAATCACATTGTTGAATGATCAAGGTAACACCCAAAATCCGAATTGTCCTCCTCAGAACCAACCAAATCCGAATTGTCCCCCAGGTCAGCAGAATCCTCAATACAACCCTCAGAATCCGAATTGTCCTCCTCAAAATCAGCAACCTTTCCAGAATCCTCAGTACAATCCCAACTGTCCTCCAGCTCAACAGAACCCGAATTGTCCTCCTCCAGCTCAACAAAATTGTCCCCCCATCCAAAGCTGCAACGTTCCAGCAACCTACAATCCGTATAATTGATCATTTTCCGATACCTTTTGTAAATAAACTCTTTAGTTTTCAAAGCAAAGAAAGGAACAAATCAATCAGGTTAGGTAGCCGTGAACCTCGTAAGGATCATATTAGATATTGGCGAAATAGAATCCAGATTTCCGACGCTTGACCAAATACAGACCGTGGCCGTAGATGTTCTTCGACGGTTCAGCCATCAATTTGTCAAAGTTCCTCGTGTCTTGGTCCCAACTTTGAGAATATTTTGTTGAAGTTTGAAAATTGACACATAAGGTTTATATAGTCAATTTTTCCCGAAAGGCGAGGGAGGCGGGGCAGAGGGCGGGATGCGTAGCGTATGCGTACGCGGTTCTTGGCACGAGTTCAATTCAACCGCCAGCGACTGTTTGGAGAGCTCGTTTTTTGCTATTTTCATTTATTTTTCGATTATTTATTGATTATGTTCATTTGTGCATCAAAAATAGAAGAAAATACAGAAAAAGAGCGGTTGCCGAACTTTTTAAAAAGTTGGTTTCGATTGAATTGAACTCGTGCCAATAACCGCGTACGGACGAGCTACGCGTCCCGAAGCTACGCGTCCCGCCCCTTGCCTTTCAAGTCGGGAAACATTGACTATAGTATTAATGATGTCTCGAAGGAACGATTGTGAGACTATTAAGACATTCAAATTCTATTTTTTTTTAAATCAAGTTTATATATTCTTGTGTTCCATTTTATAGAAAAGTCAACAACCGTGTTTACGTATTTCATTCTTTATTATTCCCTCTATGTACATTTCTATTGGCATCGGTTAATTTGGGAAGACCGGCGACGACGTCAGCCTCGATTCCGCATTCGTTGACGGATCTGATGATTCGGAAGAATCCATTCTCTCCCCAGTCGGTGCCCCAGGAGTTGGCGACGATCCAATAAGGAGTCCCGTTTTCGATTCCCCATCCGAGAATCTTGACCGAGTGTACACCGAGTTGATTTCCAGCGGTGTGCTGAAAAAGACCATATCTTTCGAAGTCTTATTACAGGCCAGAATGACTTGGATTCTTGAAGGTTTTCAGATTTTTAATGTCATGTGAAAAACACTCTGTGGATGGCTCCCTCTCTGGTCGGTTTATCGCATCATTAGGGGCGGAGCTTAAGCGACGACTTGACATTCAAAATCTGTACAGACTATACGTGAAACTTCTGTTTGAATTTTCAATCTCTGCGGTTTTACTGACGCTTATCCCGTAAAAAGTGGCCAACTCACGACGTAGATTCCGCTTTTGTACTGGTAGAAATCTTCGTAGGTGTTGAAAGTAGCCTCGACGGGTCCATTGGTCATGATCTCCTTCTGGATGCCGCTGACGGTCTTGGCGACAAAGTAGGCAGAAAGGCCAAAGAGCTTGTCTTGCGCGTATGGGATCGAGTAGCCGGACTGGCAAGAAGTACGGCAAAACGGGGTATCCGGGTCCTCGCAGTTCTTTTTGCATGGCGCAAATGGGTACGGTTTGCATCCCGGGCCTCCGTAGTCACCTCCAGTGCAGGCTCCATTGGCGACCCAGTAATTCCAGGCTTCGATCGGCCAACCTCCTAAAAATCTACAAAACGTTCCAATGTTATAGTCTGTGCCACGACTTGAAATTTCACGGAACGACATTCCGCTGTTCTGCTGCGTGTGTTCGCGAAGCTTTTTTTCGAATCTAGGTCATGCTTTCAATTAATTTTCATCACTGTGGGAGCACATGAAAGTAGAGTACCTTAATAAAAAAAAAATTATTGGTGCGACAAAAGTTCGCAAAGGCTCGCAGCGGCACAGCGGAATGTCGTTCCGTGAAATTTCAAGTCGTGGCACACAGACTTTATTGGCCATGGCGTTTCTGTACACAACCGCCTTCTTTCGAGATTAGGCAAATCCGATAAATGGCTACCTCGGACCTCGGAACGCGCCGTGGACTATTTTAAGCAGATCAAGTAACCACTCAAGTGGACTGACGCTGCTAAAGGGATAGCTAAAAAAAGATCAGAAACGTCCGGGACGCGTCCGACTTGCGCTACCAGAGTGTGTCAGAAGTTGGACAAGACGCATTCGTTTAGCCTAAGCTTTCCCCTTTTTCTAACCCAAGTACCGTATGCCTCAGATCAAAGGTCTCAAAGCGAAGGCCGATAAAGGCGCATGGGAAGCACGCAAACTTCGGTATATTGTCCTTTTTTTCAAGGTTCACGAAACTCATTTTGAAATTTAACTAACCCCGTCGCAGTGAAAATCAGACGTGTTCGGAATTCGCTATAAAAAGTGACGAACCTCCCTCACAGCCTTTGCTGCAGGTGTGTCCACAGCAGGCAAGGATGTCTTCAGCGGAAATAATTGGCTGTTGAGTTCCGTTACTGGCAACGCAAATGCGATCGGAAATCGCCTCGACGGCCCCAAAAGCCCAGGAACACCCGCAGGTCGACTGATCCCGAATTTGCTGGATCGAGGCACATTGGCTCCAGCGAGTACGAGCGTCGAAGCTGGCCGGAATGAGGTCGTCGATGATAAGTTCTGGAGCTCGGTCTTCATCTTTGGGCACAACGAGGAACTCCTCCCGCATCAGCTTCTTCTTCATCTCTTTGACCGTTTTGCCGGTGTGGACAGCAAGGAAACTGCTTTGCGCCTTGTTGACGAAAGACGCCAGCTCTTCTCCGGTGAGTTCATCGACGTTAGGGACAACGAAAGCTAGCGAACACGTGACAATAGCGAATAAGGTGAAGGTTTTCTGAAAAAAAAAATACGTGAAACCTCAACTCTCAAAGGAGTTTTATCAGCCTCGCTTCAACTTTTCGACCCTGGAAAGTAGTAAGTTCAAAGATTTTTTACAATAACTTCTGTTTAGCCCGTTAGCCACGACTTTTTAATGTCTGCGTCTTTATGTTCCCTCATCGACAAGCAAAAAATAGCATGTCAACATGAGAGGATCGCGAGACGAGGAGGGCGCAGAGAAAAAAAGCGGAAAACGGGGTATAGTATGCAAAATTGGAACAGTAAAAACTAAAATACAAGATTAAATACCGAAATTTTTCTCTTTTATTAAAGTTAGAAGGTACATTAACAATGAATTTGATTTTAAAAAGTTATGTAGCACTTTAAAATTAGCAAATTCTCATTTTTGCAAATATTATCCATGGAGCACATTTTCACAAGACTTGTCATCAGGTCTGTGTTTTTTTTGTGAGCATAGATTTATTGAGTGCAAAGCTTTAACAGCCAAAAAAATAGAAATTTTATTTCAAAAATCAAAAAAAGCAAAACGAACCATTATGGAAGGCTCGACAAAGGGGCAGCTAATAAGTTTTTCGCAACGTCTTCAATTTTTGCTCCGTCTTTAGGGGCGTGTCCTTCTTATCAGTTTGAAAAGTTGGTGCAATCGGAAGACCCGATGGTCTCGGCTCTTATCAATTACCGCTGTTTTTTTTTCTTGAGCTTCTTGAGAGGATTGCGGGGAACTTTAAAGAACGATAAATAAAGATATATTTTTACTGCACTTTTTTTATTCTTCTTACGGATCCTTTCTATATTTTTTTATAAAATATAAATGAACTTAATAGTTAACTGTTTGAAATTTCACAGAATTTCGTTCATCAAAAAAACTCAGACGTTCATACCTTTTTAATTCGATTATTCATTAAACTTTTTACTTTTTGAACCGCAGCTTTTTTTGAATTTTTTTAGATTTTGGAAAAGGCTTCCAGTCTAAAAAAATACAATTAGCTCATAAATTAGATTAAAACTTGATTCTCTCGGGAAAATATTTACGATTTTAAGAATCCGGGTTCCAACGACGGTGTGGAAAAGGCTATAAGCTTCTTGGCACGGGAAAATTCAAAGGTTCAACGTTTATTATTTCATCATTCTCGTGTAATCGACGGTGGAGTCTTTCGAGCACAAAGACGTCCTTAAATATTTTATCGATCGGTTTTTTAGTTTCGCGGGGTCTAGGAAAGGTCAAAAGTTGCCTTTAAGCTTGAAATGCATAGGGGCAGTAAAAAACGGGGTTTCAGGTGAAAGCATCTTATATAGTTTTTCTTTGCGAATCTAACTGCGTACTCAAAAAAGTTAAAGATGTGACCACTTTTGAAAAAAGGCAATTTTACTTCCGCGCCTTTAATTTTGGATCGGTGTACGGACAACTGTTTACAGTAGCTGTGCACGCGATGTTGCGGACGTCTCATTAGACTCGCATTTTGTGAGGAATAACCGGATATCTGCTTCAAATTTGTAAGGGTTTCTTTTCTGAAAAAAAAAATTAGATCAAACAAAAAACACACACCGATAATAAAGGAACACAAAATATCGCTATCCCAATCGAAACCTGTGTAAAATCATCATTTTTCACCAGAAAAGCATTTTCGCGACTAAAGTTTGCAAATTATACATGAATAGAAAGGTTTTGTGACGAAAAGAACTTTGGTGACATGAAAAAAATAATAGGAATTTGAAAGAAAGCGAAGATCCAAAAATGGCGATACGTGTTGCCGATAGAGCGACTTTACTGCGCCCTTTTAGGCGGGAACTCAAACTTTCCTTCTCCGACTTTGAATTATTTTTTATCCAAAAAATAAAAAAAATTTAGTTACATGGTTGGTGATTCCTTCCAGAAGGGGTCACGTGTTCAAGGACGAGAACTTAAAAAAAAATCATATCTCCAAAACGAAAAGTTTTCGCAGATAGCGACTTTGGAGGATTGATTCCCAGTCCATCAAGGATTTTTCGAGCACATTTATGAAAAATTCTGAGCCCTCCGTACCTTCCATGTGTGGTGACCCCTTGGTGCTAATTTTTAAAAAAGAAAAAAGGGCATTGAAGGCAAGAGCGAAGCTTTTCCCGTCAAGAAAAAATAATAATGGATTGCCCCGGTATCTTTATTGTACTTGGCCAAAAAAAAAATACATGGACAAAATCAAAAGCGATTGTGGCGGGAAAGGAAAAAAAAGGAGAAGATTTAGGTGAGGTAGCCCGTGACCTCGTAGGGGTCGTAGTACATGTTGACGAAAGAAAAGCCAGATTTCTGACGCTTGACCAAGTAGAGACCGTGGTCGTAGATGCTCTTCGATGGGTCCGCCATCAAGGCTTCCAAGTCCCTCGTGTTCTGGTCCCACCTTCAAAGCTTTTCGATCAGATCAAAAGGAAAACTTTGATTTCAATAGCTTTCACATCTATATTGCTGCATGCTTGATTGATATAACTTATTTTTCATGAAGCGGAAAAGTTATAGTCAATGTTTCCCGACTTGGAAGGCGAGGTAGGCGGGCCAAGAGGCGGGACGCGTAGCGTGTGCGTACGCGGTTCTTGGCACGTGTTCATCAATTCAACCGCCAGCGAGCATTCAGAGAGCTTATTTATCGTTCTTTCAACTCCTTTTTTAATTATTTATTGATTATGTTCAAGTTTGTATCAAAAAATAGTAGAAAACACAGAAAAAAAGCGGTTGCCGAGCTTTTCAATTTTTCGGCGGCGATTAAAATGAACTGGCGCCAAGAACCGCGTACGCACACGCTACGCGTCCCGCCCCCTTGTCCCGCCTCCCCCGCCTTTCAAGTCTGGAAACATTGAATATACTTTTTCTAGGTTAAGGGACAAATAAGGGTTCCCTATAGTAGAAAAAAATGACTGCGGCACTTGCAGTGAAAACGAGAAAACAGAGAAAACGTTCGGCACGCATTTGATACCAATTTTCTCGTAGAACTCACGTGAAAATCTTGCCCATGCCCTCGACCCTGATCTTCACAGGGGAATACAACGGTTTGCCATCGCGCAGACCATATTTTTCCGTCATGTATTTAACGTGGACAGCGGGATTGAATCCGTAGTATATTGGATGCGACTCGGCCCTATTTTCCATTTATCAGATGAGAATCGACAGTTGTAGTTGGTTCAAGTTTCGCGTCATGCACAACCCTCGATTTGAAGAGAAAGCCTGTGCGAGAGCCGGCCGCTTAAAGAGGGAAAAAGCGAAAATCTTCTTCAAGTATGACATCACACCTTTTCACGACAAAAATGTTTCGGTTGTTTTCACAATTGGATTTTAAACGCATAGGGGCAGTAAAAAACGGGGTTTCAGGTGAAAGCAGTATCTGATAGAGTTTTTCTTTGCGAATCGAATGGTGTACTCAAAAAAATTACAGATGTGACTAATTTTGAAGAAAACGCGATTTTACTCTCCCGCCTTTAATTTTGAAAGATGCTTCGGATCGGCGCTCAGACAACTGTTTACAGTAGCCGTGCACGCGAAGTTGCGGACATCTCATTAGACTCGCATTTTGTGAGAAATAACCGGATATCTGCTTCAAATTAAGGGTTTCTTTTGTGAAAAAAAAAGTTTAGTCAAACAAAAAACACACCGATAAAATAGAAAACACAAAATAACGCCATCTCAATCGAAACCTGTGTAAAATCATCGTTTTTCACCAAGGAAGCATTTTTGCGATCAAAGTTCATAAATAGAAAGCTTTTGTGACGAAAAGAACTTTGGGGAGAACAGAAAAATTGAAAACTAAAAGAAACGAAAAAAAAAGCGGAATTCCGAAAAATGGCTGTTGTCCATGGAGCGACTTTACTGCAAAGCGCCCTTCTTGCGGGAACTCAAACTTTCCTCTCTCCGACTTTGAATAATTTCTTCTCCAAAAATAGGAAGTTCTGTACGTTTCCAAGTCCATCATTCGACAAGAAAAATCTCTACAAAGTGGAATATTTGTCTTCAGCCCCATTTTTTACTACCGCTATGCCTTTAAAAGCAAGCATCGAAAAACTTTGAAATTTCAAGTTTTTCATTTTTCTTCGCACTTCCCGCCAAAAAGCTGCGTCGCGTACGCAACTCTCCACCTCTGTCGATCTACCTATCTCGCCTACCAAATGGGGAAGGAATGAAGATATCAAGTTACCAGCTATTCTTCATTTCGTGATTCTTCGAGAAGATCAACAGAACGTGAACGTCATCGGTCATTTCCTTGAAAGTTTGAACGGAATTAGGGAAAGCAATGAAAGAAAAAACTCACCCCATCGAAAGAACATTTACGTGTCGAATACATCTTCGCCACATCATCGATACCGCTATCTTCCCATGTCATGTATCTTTCAAAATATGTTTATTAGATTGGGAATCATTTGCAAGTTTATAATTTGAAATGAAATAGTTATCGCAAGAAAAACTTCGTAGAAAAACGAAACGATGTTTGGCCTGTTTCAGGTTTTGGAACATGGTCTGTTCAGATTTTCAACGTCAAGTCGCCGCCCAAGCTCCGCCCCTAATGGTGCGATTAACCAATTAAAGAGCGAACCATCTACAGAGCTTTTTCGAACGACGTCCTTTAACTTGACATGCAAAATCTGAAAAGCATGTAAGGACTGTATTTAAACTGAGAAACAAAGAAATCTGTTAAAAGGTCATACGAGCATAGAGCAGAGCCGACGATTGCATCGCGATTTTGAGAATCCTTCTTCGTTGCGATGATACGCGCGGTAAATAGGTAGCCGTATAAATCAGAATAATCTTCTTCATTTGGGAAAAACTCGAAAGAGAGCTGAAATTTTATGTTTCTCCATTTTCCTTAGATCGTAAATATCACCTCTAAGTTTCCATCGGCATTTGTGAAGACGACGCAGATCGACACCACGAGCAGGACTGCGTACAGGATTTTGATCGTTTTGATCATTCTTGCAACTAAAACGCAGTGAACTTATATGACAATGATGTTTGAATTCCAGCTCAAAAAAATTTTGAATCACAAAAAATCTTCAACTTGATTTAACCAATCTTGAGCTTGTGTTAAGTGATAACCACACGCCTGTTTAAGGCCGGTCGTATTACGGTAGTTCGGATAGGTTTTTCAGTAATAAAGCGAAAACTTGTGTACTTTTTGTAATGTAACTTACCTTGTAACATCGAGAAATAGGTCCTTAACAAATTGCAAAAAAAAAGAAAATTAAAAAAGTTTCCTGGCTCCGAAACTGACAGCGCAATAATGACCGGTTCTGTGACTATTACAGATATTGATATTCTAATTTAAAGTTCGTGGAGAACACTGATTTCAAAGATTCTCTGAAAGGTGGCAGAAAGTTCTTGACGTTTCAAAAAAGCCAAGAAAAAGACCAACCGAAGAAGCCAGGCAGTTACCTTCGTCGCAGAGTGAAGCAATGACTAGACTCCTCTTTTAAATAATTTATTTTTCTTCACGTTTGAGATTAAAAGTTCAAGACTTTTATCGAGGTCTCCATTTCTCATTTTTGAACCGTCTTGTATTCTCCTTTCAAATGACAGGACAACTGTCCGGGAATGATAAATACGCGACAGCCCATGTCAGTATTGTTGCTTGATTTTAAAAGCTCTAAATACAAGTTCAGAGCGATAGAGAATCAATAAGCACCGTTCAAGGGATGATGGGCGTCTGGGTACCTGGCTCAAGTCCAAACCGCGAACTTTCCATTCATCCAAGGTTTACCTTTGTTTAAATTTGTCCTGTTTAAGATTTTCAATTTGAGATGGGTGATCTTCCACTCAAAAACGGCCTACAAACAGCCTCTCTTCACAAAAATTCAGTTGAAAAATCCGGATCCTTTCACAATCGCGTTTGCCTTAAAAGCGAGAGTTGGTCATCTTCAAAAGTCAACCTATGAAATTTATTTACAGCAAAAAATTTTCAAAATTTCCCACAATCATGGCATCCTGAAACCTGGGGAGGAGAGAGCTATAAAGGTCGGGTAAAAAGTTTTTTTTAGATTTTTTATAGCCGTAAGAAGATGAAATGACTCAAGTTTCGAGTGTCTATGGTTAAACATTGTTAATTTTTTTTTATCGAAGCGGTATTTTGAAGGAATATTACTCCGCTAAAAATGGCCCTACAGGAACCTGAGACGACTCAAAATTCCAAGAAAATCGTAAATTAAGCTCGGTCTATTCCGATTTTGAACTCCGAGTGTTACTTCAAGCTCGGGGCCATTTTTTCCGAAGCGTACTGTATGTGAAAGTCCGCAGTGGCGTGTATACTGTGCGTATCGGTCCATCTCCTTTTTCTTGTTTTTCTAACTTGGCAATGGATCACAACTTCAGGAAATCCTTGAATTAGACTAACTATAAAAACGCGGAGATGGACCCCTCACAATGTGCAAACACGCAAAATGTAAAAATGCGGACTTCCAACTACAGTACTCCTCGCAGAAGGAAAAATCGCTCGTGTCAAAGTACCTATTTTTTTTTTCTTTTGACTTCAAACTCTTTTTTTTTGGACAATGTATATTTCAAAATAATAGTTTCAGCTCTTCCTCCTGGGTTCAGAAGACTGGCCACTCGGAACGAACGAATACGTCCAGCAGAAAATTCGCATCGCCGTGGAAAATATCCGAGTTCCCGAGAATATTACTCCAAGTTGTAGCTTGGTTCGTTTGGAGTCATTTTGGCTTTTGGAAAATCAAATTCGCTCTAAGGAACAATAAGATACATTTTGTTTTTGTATAGTCTGTTCAGATTTTCAATGTTCAAGTGCAATGACGTCATCCAAAAACACTCTGTGGATGGCTCGCTCTCTGATTGGTTTATCGCACCATTAGGGGCGGAGCTTGAGCGACGACTTGACATTCAAAACCTGAACAGACTATATTGATAAATTTTAGTTCATTATTTCCAGGAAGGAAGCCGAATCGCCAAGGAAGTTTTTCGCCGTTCTGCGAACGAGTTTCCATTGGAGCGAATGTACACTAAGGTTTTGCTTTGAATTTATCATTTTTGTACATTCCTACTTTCAGATCAATGTCCTCTTGGAGAAATTCGAAGGAGATGCTTGAAAATAAAAAAAGAAAAGAGTATCATTTTTTTCACAAAAGAAAGACAAGGGAGTCGGGAAGAGAAAGACAATTGTACAAATATGGCATTTTTGTCATCTTTTAGGCCTTGTTGATGTTGTTCAACAATGAGGCGCCTCCTCTTGAAACATTCTCGGAGATCCCTTGGCCCTGTAAATTGTTCATGATTAGAATTTAGAAATTAGAAATTTTACCTTGTTGGAGCCCCAAGCATAGACGGTGGGAATGTAAGAGTATGGAGAATAGGCGTAGACCGAAGGATAGTAGCTTGGGACGACGTAGAAGGCTTGGCTGACGGCCAGGATCGCGCAGAAGGCGAGGATGAAGCTGAAAAAAAGACAAGTGAAATCTATTTTTTGAAACGCCATCTGGCTTGCAAAGCGCTCGCGTTGCGTTTTGGTGCCGATTCAAAAAAAAACCCATAGAACTAAAATTTTCTAAGGAATAGTTCGTTCACTTAATGGAAATGCTAAACATGTATTTGTAGTTCATTATCGGTTTTATTTACAGGAAATATCTAAACACGCATCACAGCCCACAGCTACTATGTAAGGCGAGAAAATTAATTATGCTCGCATAAAAAAAAAATAATAAAAAGAACTCTAAAAAGGTACTGGAATAGGAGAAGCTCACTCAGTGTCTTATAAAAATTTGAAACTCACAATTTGCCGAACATTTTTAGAGGGAGTCGAGTTGGTGCCAATCTCAGAGAACCGACAACTTTTATACCATTTCAAAAAGTCCCAGAATCCAGTTACGTACTACATACAAACATTGTCGTTTTACTATTTTTTTTTTTCCTGCGCACTTGCCGCCGAACACACAGAAAACGTGCTGCTTCGTGGTGAGCAAAAATCGGGAGCTCTTTTGGTTTTTTGTGTTAAAATAGACTATTGCCATTTAATTTTTAGTTTTTGGAGGGGAAAAAGGAAGTCTTACGTTTTTCAAAAAAAAAAGCTTCAAAATTGTCCTCGTGGTATCACTGCTCTACTTAGAATGGCCAAAAGTATTTATTCCGTAGAAAAATAGGCAACGAAGCAGAAAGTGTAATGCAGAAGCAAAGTTGATGAACGAGTAACATCGTCGTCATTAAAAACTTAGTTCCTCCTTCTCTCATTTTTCGTCATTTTTTCAAACTTAATTTTTTTGAATTTTTTCCACCCTCCGATAGATCTTCGTTCCTAAGCAAGCAAATTTAGAAACTAAGATCAAAAAATCGTTGAAATAAACTAAGAAACATCGTCTTCAAGAAGTTCCGAGACTTTGAATCCGCAAAAACAAGAAAAAACCTTCCCACGGGTGTGAAGTTCCCGAGAAGGCGAATTTTTTGATCTTGAGAAAATGAATACAAATCTCCTAATTGTTTTACTCAATGAACAGACTTCAAACCAGTCATGGCTCTGATGCCTTGGCAAGTTTCCGTCTTCATTGCCGAGGTTATTGTCACGGTGCCGTTTTATGCGTCGCTCGTTGTTCTTATCCTGATTTGGAGGCGACATTATCCCGTTTTTCGGTCACCTTACTACACAATGACCTTGGCACAGGTAGAAGTTTTTTTTTCAAAAAATTGTTAGAAGGATCCTTAACTTTTGGTCCTTTTTTGGCGACTTGAAAGGTGGAACTTCTTTGTGACCCTCTCATATTCATGTGCTATTTTTATTTCCTGCCGGTGAGGGAACAGAGAGACGCAGACATGTCAAGTCGTGCCGGACGAACTATATCAAGAAAAAGTTCTTATAAGATCTTCAAGTTATAGTCCGTCTCCCGGGATTTTTCACTTGTGTCTGCGTCTCTCTGTTCCCTCACCGGTGAGGTCAGAGAAACGTGAAAAGAGCATGTCAAAATGAGAGACAAGGAGGGAGCAGAGAAGTTCCAATTTTTTAAGTCAGACTTTTCCCAACCATTTCAAATTCAGGCCTTACCGGACTTTCTCATATCCGCTACATTCACGCTCATATACCTGGCCAGATATTTCCAAATCGGGAACCAATTTTTGTTCAGTCTTCAAGATTACTACTTCCCGAGCTGGGTCAAGAACCAATCCACTATTTTGACTATTATGAAAGCTTTTGGAGTGGCTGTGATCTCTTATCAGCGTTATCTAACACTTTGCAAGCCTCATAGTTGGCTCAACAAGGTATGGACTTGTTTTCGTGAGAAAGTTCTCACGGATGTGATTCATTTTGAATTGAAGACGCGTGAACATTGAAATGTGGGTATGAGCTTTGGGGATATTTTTTTGAGCTTTACCCGATTGAGCAATTTCGCGGAGTGTCAAAGACTTCGATTACCTGTAAAAGTTGGGAAATTCTGTGATTACAGATGTTCAAAAAGAGTCCGCCCTGGTGTCTACTTTTGCTTCTTTGGGGCGTTCCTGTTCTAATTTGTACCCCTGTGTGGATGGACCATAGTACGAGGTTTCTGGATCCGGTCACTTTAGCTGTCACCAACCCTCCTGCATCGACACAGGTATTTTTGTTTCCGTTTTCGAAAATTTACAGGTCTATCCGAACAGCCTGTAGATAAATGCAGCTATTAGGAAAGTTATAAAATCGCTTGGATTGGCTCAAAATTTTCCATTAAATGGGCTTCTTAGTGGTAATTCTAACTTCGCCTAACTTTACATTCCTCATTATTTAGTATACTGCTTCGCGCAAGTAGCTTACAGTCGGGCGCGCGGAAAAATCAACTTTCATGTAAATTTTCCACGGTTGTGGTTGTGTTGAGCTCCTACTTTCTTTTTCTTTCAGATTCCCGCAGTGATCCTCATGTGCAGTCTGGTGCCGACATTCTTAAGCGTCGTATATTTCTACGGAAGAATTTTGCAATTTTTATTATCTCACAAAGATCTTCTCAGAAAGTTACTTCAAAAATGAATGAAAAAGTAAGAAGTTATATTCTCAGAGACGGCGACAAAAGGATGAGAAGAGAGATTCGCCTCAGCCTCCATGTTTTCATCCTCGTTTGCTACTTTGGGCTCATTTTCAGTTATGTCGTCGCTCGGGCGATCTTTGAATCTCTGGGAAGGGTAATCATTCGGAAATCATTGTGAAGAGATAGAATAAGTGAATTCCAGGAAGACCTCTGGGCAACCTATTTGCGGGCCAATTGGGCGCTTCTTCAAGGGAACTTCGCTTTTATTAACCCTTGGACCCTGGTCGTGCTCAACTTTGATGTTCAGCGACATTTGAAGCATTCCAGAAGTGCTTCTGCAGTTGTAAGAAGTATATGAAAACCACGCCGCGAAAATCGAGCCTCCATTTCTACATAATTTCTTTTTTTTCTGTTCTTCTCGCGCTGTAGAAATGGTGGCTCGATTTTCGCGATTATCATATACCCATTGTAAGTGCCAACTCAGAAGAAAAATACCCGAAATTGGAAAAAATTCTAAATAGCTCTATCAACTCTCTGCAACCGTGTCACTCGCAATGGCGTAAAACTCTTTGATAACGTTCCTTGGCCCCTAACGCAAGTCGTATCAAGTCGGGCGCGATTCAAAACAGCCATGTTATTTCAAAAGCTACCCTGAACTGTTGACTTCATATTGAACGTCTCAATTCTGGAAAAAAAAGCTTAAATTTTCAGGAATCCACCAGCCGACCGGGAGTACAAACAGTGGCGGCCAGAGCTACACAAACTAGAAATTGATTATTTTCAAAAATCCTATCATCACTTTAATCACGAAATCAGGAAAATAATATTTAATAAAATATATTTATGGCTCTCTTCTTCGTGCAAATTTTGCTTACGTCTCTTTAGGAAAAAAAAACGTGTAACTCAGACTGATTTTGGGAACTCATTAAAAGTGCGATGCTTGACTTACTTGATTTCACGTACTTTGTTTTCAAAACTAGCAAAAATGATCGAAAATAGATTTGAGGAGGGTTAAAAAAGTGATTAACCCAGTAGACTACTGCTTGACTTTGTTTGGCTTATAGAAAGAAAATTGAAAGTCAAGTTCTTAAAATATACTAGATTTTTTTCGCTGATTCCGAAAATATCTCATCTGAAGGTCACCATTAATATGTGGACCCGAAAAACCAGATGGAAAATCCATAATTCCGGGTTTCCACGACCCTCGGCCCAAAAACGCACTTTGAAAAATTTATTAACTTGAAATTTTGAGGTATTGAAAAAAATTCTAGATTTTTCGCTGATCCCGAAAATATCTCATCTGAAGGTCATCATTAATATGTGGACCCGAAAACCCCAGATGAAAAATCCATAATTCCGGGTTTCCACGACCCTCGGCCCAAAAAAACGCACTTTGAAAAATTTATTAACTTGAAATTTTGAGGTATTGAAAAAAATTCTAGATTTTTTTCGCTGATCCCGAAAAATATCTCATCTGAAGGTCATCATTAATATGTGGACCCGAAAACCCCAGAGGAAAAATCCATAATTCCGGGTTTCCACGACCCTCGGCCCAAAAACGCACTTTGAAAATTTATTGACTTGAAATTTTGAGGTATCAAAAAATTCTAGATTTTTTGCTGATTCCAAAATCGCCTTATTTGATGATCACTATTAATATGTGGGACCTGGAAAACCCGCACGAAAATAATTTTACAGGTTTTTCCTGAAAACAGCTTCGCAGATTTTTGCTGTTCTATCTTTTTTTTTTTGAGGGCTCCGAAAACTTTTTTCAATTACTCCAAAATAATAATCAGTATAGTTGGAAATAGTGGATAACTCATTTCGAATCGAAAGAAAAAATGAGTTCAAGCCCCTTGCAAACTTCTTATTTTTGAATTTTTTAATGGCTAATGCTCAGAGGTGATACCGAAAACTATGTTCGGTGTGGAATGTATTTTTTTTTTTTGATTTTTCAAACTTTTTCATAAACTGAGAAGAAGATGAAGAAGGCATTTTTCTAAAAGCTGTAGTATCTAGAGGAATCTTCTTTACTGTTTTCTCGAAAGCAGTGACGCGGGCGTCATGCGATTCTGCGATCTTCTGAAGGACCCGATGAGTCACGACCAAATCGCCCACAATTCAGTGATTTGAGATCAAAGATGTTAGCAGGCTCAGAATCTTGTCGTCTGTCAGGGCTGACTGCGTGTTGAGCCTCAGTGGCTTCGTGAATTTTGGAGAGGAGTCCTGCCAGTCTTACCTCCCTCCCGAACCTTCCGGAGCAGTAGCGACACTGGCCCCTGTCGTTGCATCTTGAGTTGTGGTACCGCAGACAGGTTCGGCATGCCCGGCCTCTTTCGATGAGTTGTCTGCGCCTTTCTCCTGTTGAGTAGACCGGGCATCCGTCTGATGTGTGGTCGTGGCTCTTCATGTCGTCGAGTATCAGGCAGAGGGAAACGTCGTGATCTGCCAGTCTTACCGCCCTCCCGAACCTTCCGGAGCAGTAGCTACACTGGCCCCGATCGTTGCATCTTGAGTTGTGATACCGCAGACAGGTTCGGCATGCCCGGCCTCTTTCGATGAGTTGTCTGCGCCTTTCTCCTGTTGAGTAGACCGGGCATCCGTCTGATGTGTGGTCGTGGCTCTTCATGTCGTCGAGTATCAGGCAGAGGGAAACGTCGTGATCTGCCAGTCTTACCGCCCTCCCGAACCTTCCGGAGCAGTAGCTACACTGGCCCCTGTCGTTGCATCTTGAGTTGTGGTGCCGCATGCTCGTAAGTTGTCTGCGCCTTTCTCCTGTTGAATAGACCGGGCATCCGTCTGATGTGTGGTCGTCTATCCGTAAGCAGAAGGAGCACGTCACCCTTCTGCCGAGGACTTTTCCCGATCTCCCGAATGGGTACATTCCGGAAGAGCTTCTCCAAATCGTCTAGAAGTTTCCTGCGTGGACCTCTTTCTCGATCTGATGGCGGTTTATATTGACTTCTTGTTCCAGCAAAAGATTCAAAAGAGCTTCTGATCTTTTACTTAAGCTTGACGCATTGATTGATAGTTTTTCCCGGCCAGATGTTTTTTGAAAGGAAACCTGAGTTTCGAGTAATTGAATGAAATCGTTTCTGGTCACAGGTCAACGAGATTTGCAGGCTGACCGGAAAAGAAGGAGCTGAATCAGCGAAGCTGCAATCGCCTTAGTGCTTTGCATGACGCATTTGTGCCGATGCACCATAAAATGGAGAGGGTTACCTTTTTTTCTTCTACTGTCTTTGTTTCCTATCACAGCAATTTCAGGTAAGAAGCTAAGTATTTTTGTGGTTTCGATTTCGAAACTAAAACAAGTCAATTTTTTTTTGCGGAAAAAGGCCAGTCTGGCGGCGAAGGCCACGGGATTACATGGAGGGTGTTTCCCTGATGAAAGCGATTTCAAAGAACTAAGTCTCCTTGAGCACATCTATCGTAATTCTGGTGATATGATAAAGAGTCGGTAAGCTGATTTAAGGATGTAACTTTGCTTTTAGCGAAAAAAAAAACCGAAAAGTTTGAAGCGCGCTGGATTATTTTGTAAAGGCGATTCGTAAGAAATGGCGTTTGGGCGCCAGACTGTTAAGGAGACTCTAAAAAAGGTTGGGGAATGGCTACAGATTCGTTTCGGATTTTCTATTTGGTCGCCTCTACTGATGAGGGAGATATATAGGCTTTGTCACTCTACTTTTGTAAATTCAGAGTTTTCAAAAAATTACGAATAACTTTCCAGGCGTTACTTCTCCCGTTTTGAAGCTGTGACGAAAGATTCTTTTTACTTCATAATAAACAACATTGGGGTTTCGGAAACGATTTTAGTGGAAATGGAGCAAAAATGGAAAATTAACAATGCCTGGTAAACTCGAGCTTTTGCTTGCGTTTTTTTTTTTTTGGAAGAGTTATTTTGAGTTGTTAGGGGCGAACATGTTAGTACACACTAATTCAAAACTACAGTTGCTTTTTTAATTGAAACTTTTGTTTTTTTTGCTCTGAAAGGGATCTGAGAAATTGATGACCCTGTAAGAAGACTGATGATCAAAAACAAGGAAAGCAATAAAAATGATATAAATTACAACCTCGGGCCAAGCCCGACAGAAACCCTGCTGCTGTTGAAAGAGGAAATAAAAAGGATTTTTTCGGAGTCTTCCTGATATTGCTAGTTACATTTTCTTAAACCTTTTTTTTGCTAACGAGAAAAAGGTTCATAGAAATTTGTTAAAAACCTCGGGAATATCATTTCTGATATTGCTCCAAGGTGAAAAAAGATGTCTTCAGAGAGAGTACCATGAAAGTTTTTTCTTGAGTATCACTTCTGAAGTTGCTTTAATGCAGAAAAAAAAATACCGAGAGATATGCCCGGCTTCAGTTCAATCATTTCTTCCGACGATGTCCGTCGGCGGCCAGGTAGAGTCTGATCGCTGTTTGATTTATCTGATTTATTTATCATGCTCTGATATTTTCTGTTATCCAAAAGGAAGGTTGGAAAAAATTCTGTTTTCAGTCCAAAAAAGGAATTCTCACGATTCTCATCCGGGCACCAAACTATGTAGAGAATTGTCGGAAAGGCTCCTAAAAGATGGAGAATAGTCTTAAAGGTTCCTAAAAGGTGGATAAGTGTTGGAAAAGTTCTTAAAAGTGGGATAAGCGTCAAAGAGGTTCCTAAAAAATAGAGAAGCGTCTGAAAGGCTCCCGAAAGCTGGAGAAGCGTCAAAGAGGTTCCTAAAAAGTGGAAGAGCGTCTGAAAGGCTCCTAAAAAGGAGAGAAGCGTCTGAAAGGTCTCCGAAAGGGGGAGAAGCGCCGGAAAAGTTCCTGAGAGGTGGAGAAGCATCGGAAAGGTTCCGGAAAGGTGGAGAAGCGTCTGAAAGGTTTCTAAAAAGTGGAGAAGCTTCGGAAAGGTTCCTAAAGGCTGGAGAAGTGTCAAAAAGTGCCTTTGGTTCGATGGTCCCAATATGGTCTATGGGAATTTTTTTTTGATAAGGTATAAAAATTAGTTTTCGTTAAATCGCAAACCGCTACTCCCTGACATCATTTCATGACATCATTCGTAACACAAGAAATAAGCGTAATCGAAATATTTGGCTATATATTCATTTTATTTACGTGAACATGATTCAGCAGATTATTATTATCTCATTTCATCACGTCGACTGGTCGGTCTCATTGCCGCTCTCGCATGGGATAATATTCCGACGCCCGTCAGCCCTGGACAAGCTGGGCTCCGTACTGTTCCATTATGGTGAAGCAGTTCATTCGCTGGTACTACCCGCGGTCCCACATTGTTTCCCAACGCTAGCTGTCACTCCGGGACGTATTGGACAACGATTGTGGACCGTAACCCGCGCCGACGACTAACTCTTCGATTATACCATGATTCAGCAGAGATTTTCTTCATCTTACTCTGAAGACTGAATAAATTGAATTGAAATTGAAATTGAAAAAATTGAAGAATGGGAAGAGCCTGAATTGCGCCTTTGCATTAAAACTGCGCCTACAGGTTCATGCATTACTTAAGAAAATAGGCTTAGTTTTAAGGCTTCAAACGGAGGCGGAGCGCGCATAGCGCGAAGCCGACTGTGGCTCGCTTCAAAAAAACTCAGCCACAGTGAAAAATTCGTCAAATAAATGAATACTTGACATAAAAGGCATTTAGTTTCAAAACGTGGACACTAATAACACTATCAGGTAGCTCTAAACGATTTGCAAACTTGATACGCGTGGCGAAAAAATCTTTGAAATGTATTTCCCAAAAAAGAGAAAGGAGCATACTGTGCGTAAGCGTGGGCCTCGACGCCTAGGATTATTCCAAACCTTTAAAAGGTTTCTAAAAAAAAGTGAGAAAAAAAAAGTTTCCAATCAAAAGGGGATTTTCAAGTGTGATAACTTTCTGTTTCTCATGTGACCGGAAAAGTTTTCACGTCGAATCTAATTTTATAAATTGGAACGTAAAAAATGAATAAAATGTTATGGCTGCGTGTGCGAATTTTGCAAATGAAGATGATGTCATAGGGATGACGTCAGGGAGTAGCGGTTTGCGATTTAACGCGAAGTATAAAAAAATTCTCTTTTTTTGAAATTTTGTTGATAACGAGTGATAACTTTCTTGATGTGCTAAAAAAATACTTCAAAAATCAACTTTCCTGGGATTTATTATAGAAAAAAAGCAAAATAGGACTTATTCATTTCTTGCTTCTGCCAATTATTATTACCCAACTTATGAGAAACTAGTGCGATTTTTTTCAAAAATTTCCTTATTAATTTTGGCTTTTTACAGAACCTGATGAAATTTAATTTCTTTAGAAAGGAAAGAGAGAGCTTTTTGATGATGAAAATTTATTTAATCCTGGCGAGATTTATCAATTTACGTAATGATTGACCTGGACAATTATTGAAAATTCAAGCGTCGGATTATTAGAATTTCATTAAATGGGACTTTGAACCAGTCAAAAAAATAAGATATTTTTTTAAAAATTTGAGGCCTCGTGCAATTGTATGCAGAACAAATAACACATAAATTATGCTCCGAGGTTTCACCGACATATATAATCGGCCTGATTTCATTTGATTTTTTTTTGAATTTTGCTACTTTTTTGATTTTAGGCTGGATGATTGTTTTTTTATATTTGAATTTCCGGAATTTTATTCATCAAAAATTTTTTTGGTCGGTTGTTAATGAAACAATCATGGTTGGTTTCTTGTCTTTCATACTTTATTTTCCATGAGGCTTGCTTATATAGAGTTAGAGATCGGGGCTTGCTGTGATGGCCCCGATCCCTGTCGGCCTCAGGACTTCGATGTGGTTTAGCTCAGCCATGAGAATGAAAAAAATTCATTTAAAAAAAGGCTGATAAATTCATAGAAAAAAAGGCTGATAAATTCATAGAAATTAAATTATTAAAAAAAGGCTTTCAAATCGGACAAGGTTAAGTTTTTGTGAAGAAGTTTCAATAATTAATTTGTCAGTTCAGATGATTTTCCAAATGTTTCTCGGTTTTTTTAATTCAAAAAAATTTATCTCATCTTGAGTAAAATAAATGGAAATTTTTTTTATGCTAGAGTAGACGTTGAAAAAAATTATATATATAAATTTCAATTTTGCTCAACCATTTCCGGCAATAAAGTGGGATAATAATTGGATTCTTTTTTTCTCGTGTATATTCCATAACTGAACTTTAACTCCGGTAAAAAAATAGGTGGATTTTTGCAATGTTTTCGAGCTTTCATGAATTTTAAAAAAATTGACTTTTTGATTTTTTAACGACTGTTGTCTTTTTGTTCGATAGCTTGAACTTCATTGGCTCACCATAACTTTTTTTTCCGGACCTTTAAAAATATTGATATCGGCAGATTTTTCGACTGAACCTTGTGTATAACTTCAAATCTTGAAGTTCAGCTCCAAGGTGATTTTAAAAAAAAAGATAGATTTTTTGAATCTTCGTGCAAAATTTTGGCGAAAAAGACCAGAAAAATGCTCCGAGACTCACCGAAAAATATGCTCGGCTTGATTTAGATGCTGTTTTTTCCTCTTTTCGTATAGGACTTCTGAAGAGCTTTCTCATGGATGAACTTCAATCTTTCCGGAATCATTGCAGGGGCTAACTGGGCGGCTTCGTCGATGATGAGCAATGAAGTGTCTTTTAGCGCTCTGGAGCAATGATGCAGTCATGGCGATGCTTGCAGATATTCAGGAAAGTTGATTCAACGCTGGAACGCCGTTCGTCCTTTTTGTAACTATTTCAGAAAGGTTTTGATGTCCTGGTCTGTGTCGTTTCTTCTTTCCTCAGCTTCTCTAATAGCTTCGATTTTTTTTTTCTTTAGGCTTTTGGAGGTGTTTTTGAAAATCAATAGTCATCTGATGCAAGTCCCAAACTGATGACTCCGCTTTCGTGCCGCTTGCCGGTCGGTCACCGATTTGCTGGAAGCACTGCTGAGACTGAGGCATCAGTGGGACCGGTTATGGTCACCTGACTCAGCAAGGTTCTTCGCCAAAGCAGCCAGTAACGAAGTTTTTCAAGATGCAGGCGGGGCAGTGATCAGAGCCAAACCGTTTGAACTCAGAGCAGCGGTCAATGCAGCTTGTTGTTCTTCGTCTAGCGTCAAGTCAGCTACTTTGATATGTCTCTGCCAGAATCAGCTTTGTTCTGGTGAATGTAGAGTGACTGCTCCCAAATCAGGTCGGGAAACTTTCGCTGCAGCTGAAGACCGTTCCCTCCTTTCATAGGTGCAAGGCTTCCACCGCGTTTCGGATCTAATACCAGATGCTTCACAATATTTTTGTACATCTCGATTCACGCTGGGAGTTTTTTGGCGTATTCCAGATCCATTCGTAGTGCTGGGCTTGAGGCTGGTTGGGCAGGCGGGGGAGTTCAAAGCGACTTGCAATGAGGTCGCGGCCTTTGTCGGCGTCACCACGCCGGTGGGCGAGAGGAAGCCTCCGTTGTCGTCGTCGGAACTGTCGTCCGAAACGGCGCTGCTGATTTGCTGAGGAGGGGCCGCTGAAGAATCGTGCTTAATCGTGTTGATTTTGGCATTTTGTGATTCAGTGATCTTCTGAATTATGTGATGCGTGTGAACAAAGTCACGAACGATCGCGTTTTTCAAGTTTTTCACGTCGATTATCTTTGCGATTGCTTGGTCGGCTGTTCTTTCTAGCGTTTTGGCAGTCAGTAGCTTGACTGGTTTGGAAAAATCTTGAGGCACAATGGTCTCAGGCGGGCTTTGGGGCGGGGGCATATGCTTCTAAAAGAAGAACGAAAGTTACTCGGGTTCTACGTAAGGAAAAGAAACCGGATGGATCGACCAGGAGCTGCTTATAGTGGGAGAGGCTACCAAGAGATCACTTGATCTCTTACTATAAAAATTGAGAAAGTTGATTTTTGAGAAATCTTTGAAAATGATTAAGATCTCGGGTGATTTTGAGAAACAAAGGACTCAAATCCTGCTCCGAGTGAGTTCTAAAAAAATAAAATTCTAGCAATCAATAAAAAAATTGATTTATATTTAAAAAAACTTGTGTTTCTCATCACTGAACTACTCCGAGGCAAAAAAACACCAAAAATTATGTTCGGCTTCATTTTTTTTTTCGATGTAATGGTGAGTTTTCATTCAAACAGGACTATATTGCCGGAGTTTTCATTTTTATTTTTTTTTAAAGACATAAAATATTAAATAAAAGATGGATGGTGGTGGCGAGTGGTGGCCTTCGGGTCCGCTGCCGGTCCCCTGGTCTTGTCGTCGTTGTGGCGGGGTCGAAGCCTCGCGTCGCGATCGGGTGATCGTCGCGACGGTAAGAGCTGATGTTATTGGCACGCTTCGGAATGTTATCTTGAAAGCCTTTGGGTCGTCTGCAGTGAGCAGAATCCTTAAATTTTTTGCTTCTTTTCTTGTGGTATTACCCAGGAGACAGTCCAACGAAGAATTTATCTCAAACTTGGGTAATTAAACCATATAAATAAAATAGAACGAAACAAAATATAAAATTGCAAAAAGGGGAAATGAAAAGTGGCGACGGGGAAGAGACCGAAAACTGCGGGCGACTGGACGCTGGGGACGACGCTGCACAGTTCAAAGTCAGCGCCTCCAGAGTGGTACCAATTGTCGGCTGGCCAGAGGAGGTAGCCCCAAAAGATTTGAAACAGGCCAGAGACGTCGAGGGAAGGCCCTTTTCCTCTTTGGAGAGTGAACCAGTCTCGTTAATAACGGACCGTCTTTCTTGACTCCATGAGGGGACATTTATCCTCTTGTTTGACGTCTTTGGTCTATTTATATGATTGGTTGTGATTTGATTCACAACATGCAGGACTTTGTCCAGTGTTTCAATGGAGTGGAAATAGCTTTAATAAGCTATGGGCTCCTACAATATTGATCGATTTCAAGTAGGATCATAATAAGTTGTAAATGATTCGGTTCTGAGCATATTTATTTGACAAGCCCGTTTCTTAAATATAAGGGTATCTCGGAACATTACATACATGACTATACGGAACATATATGGAATATTATAAAACAAAATTAGGCGATGACAATTCATAATAAAAGACGGCATGTGTATACATGAAACATTCTATAACAATACTATGGGGGGACCGGGCAAATTCATAATACAAGAAGCATATAAAAGACATTACATAAATCAGGAAAATGAGTTTTTTTTTTGAACCTCGTGGATTTCATTTCTGAACCTTGCTCCGAGAGGAAAAATTGTAAAAATTTTGGAAAAATGAATTTTGGGCCTCGTGAAATTGTATGCTGAAAAAAAATGCATAAAACTGCTCCGAGGGATTTACCGACAAATATGATCGGCTTGATTTTTATTTTTACATTTTTTTATATTTTTATTAAATTTTGCTTTTTTTCGACTAAATTCTCTTTGAAAAAAATTATACATTTTTCTGTGTTCGTTCTTTCGGATTTTTTTAAGGATCAATCAATCAATAAATTAATCGTGATAAATTTTGTGTCAATTTAAGTTGGGATTATTCAATCTTAACATGAACCGAGCCTCTCTCCGTCTTTGTGGAACTGAATGAAATTAAAAAATATCATTTTGAACTGAGCGAAAACATTTTTCTATGAGTTTGAGAAGGAATTTGAAAAAAAGTAAAGAATTTTTCCTGACTTTTGTCTTTTCCACAGGAAACGGCACATTTGGATCAAAGTTGAAGTATTTTTGAATAAACTTAATTAATAATTTGCACCTTTGTTCTCGTTTGGTCATATAAACTTGATTGCATTGAACTGAGAAAGTTTATTTTAAAAAGAACTTTTCTTGATTCAGGTTCTTTTATAGATTTCAAATACTTTAAAAAAATCAATATAATTCAAAAAAAGTCGTTGTGGCAGATCGTCAGCCAATTCCGCTTGATTAAATGAAAGGTGCGCGGTCCTTTTTCAGAAAGTGTTCATTGGGGCATGTTTGATGTTTTTTTCCATTTCTAATGGATTTAAATTTTTTTGCACTATTAAAATTGAGAAAGTTTCTTCGAAAATGATCAAGATCTCAGGGTGATTTTTGAGAAACAAAGGCCTCAAATCTGCTCCGAGTGGGTTCTAAAAAAATAAAAAAATTTCAGCAATCAACAAAAAAATTGATTTATAATTAAAAAAATCGTGTTTTTTTCATTAGTGAACTACTCCGAGGAAAAAAATTATCAAAAATTATGTTCGGCTTCATTTTTTTATAAAAATTGTGTCTTTTTTTCTTCGAACAGAACTATAATGCCGGAGTTTTTTTAAAAAATTTTTTTAAGACATTTAACAAAAATTTATGTAGTTTCCTGGTATCTAAGACAAAAACGCTATTTTTTTATTTATTTTTTTATGGGGTGTTAAAAATCAAGTATATTCCGGTTCTACTCTCCTACGGCTAAAAAAATGATTTTAAAAAAATTTTTAGATGTATTCTTTTTAGCGAGTTTGAATGTGCTTTTTTTAAATTATCGATGTAAAAAGTTTTTTCAAATTATTTTACTCATTTGTTCTAAGGTACAATGTGGGATAGGAATTTGGATTGATAAAAAAATGAATCAATTTTTGAATTTTTTTAACTGATCAAAAAAATTTCTTTTGTTCGATTTTAAATAAGCCCAGCATGATACAATCTCATTTTTTCCTATATTTCGCATTTTCCAGCTCAGAACTGTTTTGTTTCAAACATAAAAAAAGTACTTAAAAAAATCAGGATATGATTTTTAAATCAAAAAAATATAATATATTCCATAAAAAGAAGGAGAAATGAATGGACCTAGGTCAGGAAATTTTCATAAAAACTGCATTTTACTTGAAAAAATATGAAGAAGCTTTTTATTTATTTTAAAAGGACGGTGATGGGATTTAGGGCTGGGATAAAAATTATTGTCCTTCCAAGGAGAAGGAGAAAAGCTTGTTGGATTTAGATTTTTTTTCGAAATTTTAAAAAAATGTTTCTTCCTAAATAATTTCATTTGCCCGGAAATTTGTCGTTTGAAAAAGAGTATTTTCTATTTTTTTAAATTTTTTTGAAAAACCAGAAAAATAAATTGAAAAATTATCATTTGAGCAAAAAAAGAGCTTATTCAATCAATTTATAGTTTGTAGTAACGGTGAAAAAAATGTAACTTTTTAAAAAATTTGGCTGAAAAAAATTTTTTATTTTGAGACCTTGGGAACATCATTTCTGATATTTCGCCGAGGCTGAATTGAAAATTTTTGAAAATACCGAAAAATGTGTCCGGCTTCAGTTTAATTTATTTTTGTTTTGTTTTTTCTTTTGCTGCGATTTGAGGATGAAATGTCTCGTTTTTCGTTTCTTAAGAATAGTTATATTATTTTGTCTTTACCTTGGCTCCACAGTTTATTTTTTTCCAGTGATAGACAAGCTTTTTGGCATTTTTCTCGATTTCGAGAAGCTTAATAATGATCATGTTAAACTTTTTCAAAGCCTTTGAAAAAAATTTATTAAAGATATAAAAAAATATTTTTGAAAGTATTTTTATCATTCATAAGCGGTAGGAGGATCTTGAAAGAAAAAAAGATCTTTGCTCTTGCGAGCTACCTCCTTTTTTTGCAGAAGCTTACTTTGGATGCGGAACGCATAACGCGATTTTAGGAGCCAGAATCTTCATTTCAAAAATAATCAAATAGCAAAGTTAAAATAATAGAAGTGGTAGAGAGAACGACGGCAGCGCGTCCGTGTCCGGCTTCAGTTTATTTTTTTTTTGTTGCTGCGATTTGATGATTTAAAAAAAGATTTTGAAAGTATTATAATTATTTATAAACGGTGGCAAGGACGATTTTGGTAGATATGAAAAACAATTTTTGATTTAAAAGATATTTTTGAATGCCTCGGGAATCTCTAACATTCCTCCGAAGTTGAAAAAATTGATCTTATAAGCTATCAAAAAAAGTGTATAAGAAACCTCGGGAACATCATTTCTGACATTGCTCCAAGGCAAAAAAGACAAAAAATACCGAAAAATGTGTCCGGCTTCAGTTTTTTTTATCCGTTTGAGTCGTTCGGATGTTTCTTGTCTCGTATTGGTCAAAAAAATTGTAGGTGAAAAAGGATTAGAGGTAGGTTTTTTTATTTTCATTTTGAGACAATTGGAATTAAAGTTTTTTTCATAAATATTATTTTTCACGATCTGCGTCTCGTTTGCTAGACGGCATTTTTCGAGATGAACTTCAAATTTCAAAGTTTTGGATTTATTTATCTGCATTGAAATATGTTTCCTTGTGGTTTTTTTGATTTTGAGACACTCAAGAATTTTTCATATATTTTTTGCTGGCTGTGCCTCTTTGGTCAATGAAAACGAAGAAAGGAAACTTTTTTTTTTCAATGTTAAAAAATTTGGTGTGATCATCTGCATTATGGAGACTGAAAAAAAGATGGATTATTATCAAAAAAATGGAATTTTTAAAAAAATTTGGTGTGATCATCTGCATTATTGAGACTGAAAAAAAGATGGATTATTATATTGAATTTTTTTTAACGGTTCTTAAATATTTTTTTTGGCGAGTGGTTCTGTTAGAACTCATAAAGCTTGAAATGAGCTTAAAAAGGAAGTTTTTCAGCCTTGTGATCCTAAAATTGACTCCAAGGTGAAAATTCATGTCAATAAAGAATTATAAATGAACTTGAAACTCGTGAAAATTCAATTTTGAACCTTGCCCCGAGTTGAGAAAAAATTGGAAATACCGAAAAGTGTGCTCGGTTTGAGTTGATTTCTGTACTAATGGTCCAAATTTCTAAATGGTGTGCAAAGGTGAATCGGGAAGTCGATACAAATAGCTACCGGGTAGCAACTTTTAAAAAAGTCAATCGGCGTATGGTAATCGGTGTTCGTTTGTATGCGACAGGGTACTATCTCTATGGTACCTGGGTCAGAGGTCGATGCAAGTAGCTACCGGGTAGCTACCTGACATTCGCGATTGCTCCCGAAAAGTCTGGAATTGCTTCCCGGGTCGTTATTTTTTGTTTCAGCTTTATCCAATAAGACCCCGAAAGGCTTGGGAAGGTGTAAAAACACTGATGCTAAATAAACGACCGATGTGCCAGCCAGTGGCAACCGCGAATTTCAGGTACATACCCGGTAGCATTCAGATACCGATCAGGTACTACCCAGGTACCATGGAGATAGTACCCGGTCGCATACAAATGACCACCGATTGGCTTGAGTTGCTACCCGGTACCTACTTGCATCTCCCTCTCGATTCACCAGTGTGGAAATTTCCTTTATTTTCACCTCTCATAAGAATTTTAAAAAATGGTAATGGGAAGATCTTGCGGCTGGAATTACCTGTATGGCTCCCATATAGAAAAAAATATTTTTTTAGAAATTCATGAACCTTGTGCAAATTTTTATTCATGAAGAATGTTCCGAAATGTATGTTCGGACTGATTTCGATGGTGTTTTCTGCTTCTATCATCACTTCAAACCAAAAAGCTAGTTCTTGAATTTATAAATAACAATTATTTTTTTATTATTTTCATAATATTCTTTTAATGATCCAATGAGTATTTCTCGAAAAAAATGCTGCTGAATTTTTTTTCTTAGGATTAAAATTTTATTTTTATTTCTATTTTAGGAAATCGGGACGAGTAGATTTTGCATGATAAAGAAGTTAAAATAAGGTTTTTCGTATAAAAATCAAAGACCTCGGTAGTTTCTGATCTCTGATAATTGCACCAAGGCGAAAAAATGAATGAATTAAAAATCACCGAATTTTATTTTTTATTTTTTTTTTGGTTGGTT